GTACATTTGTCATTGATAATCGACTTTCATAATATCTATTAAATTCTTCTTGTTTTGTTTTGAAATACGAGGCAGAATTGTTTGCATTGTGCAAGACACTCTCACTGTCACAATACATAATAATCTATTGTTGTTTACCCAAGTTCCTCAATTATCATCTTAATTTAAATAACTTCCTTATATGTTTGGGTGATTGTCATATATTCAATTTTTGTGATAGATAGAGCTACAATATCTTATAACTTGGATAACCTGTAAAACCTGAACAAACATAACATCGACAACTAATTTTGATTCTCCAAAACATAATACAACATCCAAGGTTCCTTTGATAAGAATTATCATGATAATATTTATGCTCTACATCACAATTTGTTATTAATCTACTAACCGGTCATATTGCTTATGCAATGTCTAGTCTTGTACCGATAATGATATTTATAAAACTTCTCACTATTGATGCATACAATACTCGAAACATTTTCATCATCCCCACTTTATTGTTATGACTCATACTTCGGGATAATTTGATAGAAAATGAGGTAAAAATTGGTTTACATCTTTACATGTTGAAGCACTACAAGACTTTAAGTAAATAATTCTTTTGATAAAGTCAAACTTCCCTATTTTTCCTATCTTGGTGGATTTGCATTCCAAAATCTTGTTTGTTGGTTCTTAATTCTTCATATCAGACTTTCTAACCAACTGTGTCTTTAAAACCTCGATTCAAACTTTGTAGGAGCTTATTACCAGCATGTCATTCACATATAATGACAAAATGATAAAATCATTCTCATCAAATATATTATAATAGGTACAATAGTTTGAACTTAGTCTATTATAATCAAAATTAATCATAAATAATCAAATATCTTGTACTAACACTTGGATACCCGATTTAAACTGTATAGAGATTTGGTCAACCTGCAAACTAAATTTTCTTTTTTTTTTAAGTCTTTTGGTTGGAGCACACCAATCCTTTCTCTAAGATCACCTTGAGAAAAATAATATTTGTATTCCCACTTGATGTGGATATGGCCTATGACAAGGGTTAGAGTAAGGGAAGCAAATGAAGTTCATCAACAAGTATTGTTGATTGACCAAATTATGTTTTGAATTAATCAATTAATGAACTTTAGTTTAATTTTGTTTTAAGTTGTAATAAGGACCCAATTCAAAATTTAGTCATCAGCCTTTGGGAGACCAAGAAGTGCATAGCTCATTGACGTTTGGTTGCCACAATTTCAGATACAATCAGTCATTAAGTAGTTTCAATTCTTAGGTTAATGGATCATTATTAGCCTTTATTTGTTTCCATTAAATAGTTTTCAATTCCTATATTAATGGGTTATTATTAGTATTTATTTTCTTTTATTGAGTCTTTGTAATTCTGATGGTAATGCTTCTATATGAGCGAAACCATTTTTATCATGAAATGACAAGTGAAATTTTATTCAGAAATATTAGAGTTTATCTCTTTTATCTTAGTGAGAGTGATTCTCCTAAATTCTTGAGTGATTCAAGAACCCTTGGTTATATCAAAGGACTTTCACATCCTTTGTGTGTTGTCTCCCTTGGGAAGAGTAATTCTTTCCTTCCACCTTCTTTCTAATTCCTAAATTTCTTACAAGGTTCTAACTCTAAAGATCCTAAATTAGTCCTTGTGATTCATATCACCACTAACAATAACCTTGTGGATAATGAGATCCATAGAAAATACATTTTTCACATTATTAACATAGTCCAAAAATTTGTTTTTCTTGACCTTTGAAAACATAGGCTTCCTCTTGATGCAATATACCCATAATCTCCTAGAGTAATCATTGTTATCAATGACAAAATATTTGGCCCCTCCTACGGATACTAGCGATTCCAACACATCATAATAAACTAAGTTCAATATGTATTTCCTCCTGATACAATTTGACAAAAGACTCTCAAATCTCCTTCATTGTGGCATTCTCCACAAATTTGTTATAACTTGTTAATTTCTTCTCACCTTCGATTTGTGATGCTCACGGTCTTTCTTCAATTGCTTCTACATAATTGTCTTTTCTCAACATTATCTTTATCTTCAGTTCTCACAATAAGAAATTATTCCCATTATATTTTTTTATCTCATATTTTGTTGTCATGGTTTTAACTGACTTATGCACCTTTTACTATGAATAGTATTACTTATTGGAACAACAACTTAAACCATAACTAGTACATCAAGTAAGCTCCCAAGAAATAAATGTGAGTCACTAATTGACACACTTAAATACCAAACTTTTTCTTGCCAAAATTTTCATAGATTTGCATTGTGACACTACCACACTTTATATCTAATAGCTAGAATAACTCTTTATGATGTGAAATATTAGATTAATCGTAACCACAAAGTATATTAATAATTTTGTCCAATATTATTCTAATAACTATAACAACAAAATAATATTATAAATAAGAAACCAACCATCAACTCGATCGCATAAAAACTCATAAATAAAATAAAAATGAGAAAAAAGAAACAAAATCAACAATAGAAATAAAATCGACAATAGACAATAATAAAATTTTACTATCGAAAGAAATTATAATATCTTTTTTAAATTTAATGAGAAAATAATAATAATATTATTTCTCTCATAAATAAGGAAACTCAACTATTTTACAATGTGCTAGTAAAAAGATAAGAATGAGATTTGGATGATTTCTAAAATAAATAATGTGTTTATTTTATAACAAGAAAAATAAGTATTAATATATAATTTTGCTGATGTGAGATAAGAATGAGATTTGGGTGATTTATAAAATAAATAATGTGTTTCTTTTATAACAAGAAAAATAAGTATTAATATATAATTTTTCTGATACGTTATTTATATTGTGATATTTTCACGTTAATTATAAAAGTAATTTAGAGAGAAACTATCAATTCTTTGGAAATAAATCAAAGTTAAACGAAAACATAATTCAAGGTTAAAAAAGTTTATATGTATTTTGTGTTGACTTAAGGTTTACGTTAATTGTGTTAGTTTGTTTTAAGCATATAATGTCTGTCGACCACATGACATTATATTTGTGTTGGATTAGCCTACATTAAGTAGCTTTTAAAAAACTCTTTAACTAAAATTTTTTAAAAATTCAACCAAGATGCAAAAGTTAATACGAAATAATTTTAGTGCCAATTTGTACTAGTTTAGTATTGACTTTGATTCACGCTGAAGATTTTATTGTAATAATTACTGACAATTTCTTTTTAAAAACACTAATAGAGATTTCATATGTTAATAATTTGATGTTGTTAATAATAAGCCACCATTTAGATTAGTACTAATGTAACTATAATTATTATAAAAATTTATAAATTTATGTAGGATTGATTGATTTGGTTTAGAAATTAAATGTATATGATTGTAAGAAAATGTTTTTTATTTGTCGAGTTTCACGTTTCACACGTTTATAAATGTACTTTGTCTTTTTCTTTTGTTTATATATATATATATATATATATATATATATATATATATATAATCAATTTATTTTCAAAATAATATTAAATATTTATTATAAATCCTTATCATTAATTTTTTTAAGTAAATGATCTAAAATAAAATAAAAAATTTGATAAAGTGAATGATAATTTTTTAATTCTTATAAGAAAAAGAGACTCTAAATATTAGAGTTATTAATTTTATAAAAAGTAATTTTAAGTTTAATCTAATCTGATAAAACTAATTTGTAATATTAGATTTTTAATTTACTTATGTTATAATTTAATCATATTATAAATTTATAATATCTTTTTAATTATTACATAAAATATAAAACTCATACATATATTTAAGATGAAGACAAATTGCTCGAGTGTCTCTTTTATTTAAACTGTTAAGGTTAACATGATTTCACTGCTTTGTTCTTAGATTTTTCTTTCTTAATAGATAAATTTTAGAGAGTTTAAATTTCTGACAGGATAGAAGGCTTGTTTGATGAATATATATATTATTTTTTCTGAAATTTATCAAATAATAATCATCATAAAAAATACTCATTTTTAACTATTTTTATTTAGTCGTCATTTATTTATAATTTCTTAACAATTCTAATACATTAAAAATCTTACACATGTTCACACTTCATGGTCTTCAACACTATACATATCCAACATAGAATTATATATTTATGCATGATCGGATATAATACCATAAAGAACGATACAATTTATATATAATAAATATTATTAATATGAATTCTAATACTATTTTATATAATAGAATTTGAGTGTTAACCTCATATTTTAATGACGATGATGAATCATCTTAAATGTAAAATTAACTATTAATGACATGATAAACCCAATATATTGTAAGTGAATTAAAAAATAGTAAATTTTATATTATGTATTATTACTGATATCAAATTTGTTGTTAATTTATTGTTTTTATTAAAATTTAAGAGATGCTATAAAATCAAATGAAGTTTATTATATATATTTATATATATATATATATATATATTAATTTAATCATATTTATAATTAATGTAAAATCTTTAATATATGCTAAAAAAAATATTTTTAAGAATGTGAAACTAGATATTAAAGATTAATTCGATAGAAACCCGATAATAGATAAAATGATGGGCCAAAAAATATTATTAAATAGGCTTTGAATATCATATTAAAAATAGAAATGTGTCTAATTTAATCCTATAAAATGACTTGAAAATTAAAGTTTACATCTTGATCAGATTTTAATTTAACGTGACATCTCTAATAATTTTAATTTAAAATAATTATTAATAAATTATCGAATGAAAAATAAACCATCAAATTTGTAGTTCTAATCTAAAATAAATTATTATTTTATTATCTTAATATATACATAAAGAATTCTGATTTTTCCAAATGACATTGTAAGCTGAAAGATACGGTGGTGAACATTTATTACTTTGAAGACTATGTGACAGATAAAAATAGAAAGGAAAAACATGTTGAACTGCTGAACTAAAGTTTCTTAAAACTTGGGAAATTGAACTTTTTCACCACATTTGCTCTTTGGAAGCAAAGGACACTCAATGAGATTTGACCCAGAAGTGTCCACGCATAGGTAAACTTGGTAGAGTTGACTGTTATGAGCTGAATCTCTATTACATTCTATCCCTGGGGTGAACCCAGTGCCCTCTTTTATAGCATCTGTGATGCTGTTTAGGGTGTAAAATTCATCATCTGGTTCAATACCTGAAATTCATCAACTGATATTAGCGGAATGATTGGTATAACTATTTTTTTTTATCTATCATTTTCTTTTTAATTTGTTTACCTGCTTTCTTGAGGATTCGAAGGAGGTTTACTTTTTGCTTGAGTTTGAGAGTTGCTTCAAAGTACTCACGTTGATCAAGCTCAGATTCTGCACAAGTGCCATGTTTTTCCCATTCATGTGACCAGAATCTCATGCCATTGCTACTTGGGCAGCTCAGGGATGGCCAATCCTTCTCCATGTTGCTTATAATGTCTGAGATCTACACCAAGTATATGTAGAATAATGGCTCATTAATTTCTCTTTCAGTTCACAAATATTCACACTCCAATTAGTAAATCTATCAAATGTTTTTGTTTTGTTACAATATTTTTTTTCTTCGTAATACATTCAAAGCATCCCACATCTTAATTACTTCAAAATCATTCATTTTGGCCCACAGTGCATGGTAAATAATTTATAATTTTTTTTCATCATTCAGGCAAATTTTATCATCAAATTTTCTACCACATTTTTTTTGTATGCACCTGAGATTTATCAAAGACACTGTCAGGGTTGCAGTTTGAGGGCCATGAGCCATCGTTGTAGTTAGGCCAGAGTCCATGAATGCTGAAATCTGCTGCAGGTTTCCCAGTCTTGGGATAACAGCAGCTCTGCTTTGTGTCACAGTATGCTCCTGGCCACTGCATGCATCTCATAAATCAGAATATACAAAATGTGTACATCAATTCTAAGACATGTATAAATGAAACCGCTATAGAAAAAAGAACTAATTAAAAAAACACTTTACTGTTCAAGATTATCGCAGAACTCATGACTAACCTGCTGAACAAAGTAGAAGAAATCAAAGTCCTGAAGGTACACAGCTGATATACATTGCAGAATCAAAAGCTTGGATAAAATGAAAAGGTTGAGTTTCATCTTTGATGCTACCTTTATCTCTTCCTCTCTTAATATATAATTACTTGAGTTTTTTGGCACTTCACAAGGTAAACGAAAGGTTTAAGTAATGGTTTTATATAGGCCTGAAAATATTAAATGTTTCGGATAAAACGATGCTTGAGCTTACAAGGGATGTTATGGAATATGCGAATCATATCAAACTCTTTCTCTATAACTTAATGTACTTGTATCGTGGAAAGTGTACAAGAGTTATCCACGACGTGCTCTGTAAGTTGCCATTGGTTAGTTAATTAATTAATTATTCAACTGTTGTTAATATACACCTTAACCATAATATACGGATATATAAAAATTAGGTTAAATAACTTTTTATTTTATTATTTTTTTTAACGAGATTAACACGTTAGTACGATGTGAGTCAATATGACTATGTTTTATATTTTTTTAATATGAAATCAGTAAATATGAGTAGGTTTTATATCTTTTTAATAATAAAATAAATTGAAAAAAAAATCTAACCTAAAAATTCTTGAATCATGTTTGTTTATCGCATTATGAATATAGGTTATTCTACTTTCTGAAATTATATATAAAAAAAATAGCATTTTAGAATTTCTATAATGTTAATAACTTTAGTTTATATTATATGATAAATTCAAAAACAAACAATATTTTTATCAATTTAAAAAAATGACCATTTTGTATATATTACTCGATTGACAAAGGTGTTGATATATATTTATGTCAACTTGACAGGGCACCTAACCTACCAATAATGAAATATCCATAAATTCTGTTTTACATTTTTCAGCCTCAACGTGACAACTCGTAGGACTATACCATTTCTTATATATATATATATAGATGAAAACATGTTTGAAATTTTACCAACAACGTTAGAATATGAACAATTTAGTTATGAATGTAGGTACATTATTTAAGTCTTGTTTGGTTACAATGTTAAAGACGTAAAGTCTAGTTTATAAGGTTTGTTCATACGAAGCTTTGTGGCAAGGGATGTTTGGTGGTCTTGCGTGCAAGTAAGTCAATTTGAGGGGCTGCTTTAGCGTCTCGATTGCGATTTTAGATTAGCAACCAAAATATTTAGCGACCAAACAAATTGTAAACCCTGTCTCAAATTATATTTCATATGTATACACATCAATAAAAGTGTTGACCATTGGTTTGGGAAACGGTCTTACTTGGGTTAAAATAAAAATGATTACAAGTCTGAAAATATGCAATTGGAATCTTTCATCAATTAATGTAAAATTTTCAAATGGATCACATTCTATTATTTTAGTTACGTGAAACCATATGAACATTGACGTGTTCCAATTGAATGGTTCCTTGTTTATATGCCAGGTAACAAGTTCGATGCTACATGTGGATCCAGATCTAGAAGGAATACTTGAGAGATAATGCAACAAATTTTGTTTTCAACACTAATTATAAGTGATAATAAATTAATGGTCACTAGGAATAATTTAAACTAACAATTTTTACTTAATAGGTAAATATTTCACTTTTATTCAAATTCAAGTAGAACATACTAAATTTATATATACAAAAAAAAGTGTTAACAAATTCAATCTACTTGACATCGATGTGTAAAAAAATTCCTACATTAAAACATCTACCATTAATGATAATTTTAAAAAATGTATTTTTTACGTAAAATTAAGAAAATTAAATAAACTTAACAATAATTTTTTAACTATATGTGACAAGTCTTTTAATATTTAGAAATTGAAGTTAATAATTGTTTAAATATTTTTTTTTCACCTCATCATGAACATCTTTTAAAATAAAGTTATGATGAATTAGAAAGATGAATTAAAATTCAAATTATAATAATATCTTGAAAATAATAATATATTATAATAATATTATGAATATGAAGTTAAGTGACTCTTATGTTAAGATATAATATTAAAATTTAGCATAATTTTAATAAGAGAGTTTTTGTTTCATTCACATCACTTAATTATTAATTAGGAATTATGTTTTTATGGTTTAAAAGTCTCATAAAATTTCTACAAATTAAAATAAATTTTAAAAAAAGTAATATGAAATATATTTTTTTATAAATTAAATGATGTATAAATTATTTTAGTTTGATTCTTTTTTCTTTTTTACAAATGTTTATGACAAATTTTCTAAAAAAAATTACAATAGCTAAAAAGTTAATGAAATATTTTGTTAATCACAAAAAAAAATGTTTTTCTTTTACTAACTGTTGCTATATATAATTGTCACCCATATAATTTAACTGTTAATAAATATTTTAGCAATCGCTTATATTGTTGCTTGCAAATTATTTAATTAATCACCTTAAAAAAATATCTTTCCTAAATTGGTTACAGAATTTTAATATATTTTAAAGTGGTGAATGTACTTTTAAACTTTTTTAATTAGTTTGAAAGTACTCTACAAATATTTTTTTAGTTCGAAATGTCATCTTGCAGCATTTTTATTCCTAACTCTTAGAAAAATGTTACGTGATTTTCTTTTACCTCTGAACACTTTTGGGTTTTTCTTTTTTTATATAAAGGTTAATAATATATATAATATTAAGAAATTACGAGATACAAATAAGGGGTAATTGCATATCGATTAAAATAATAGTATAGTTTAATTATTGGTATCTAAATTACTTAAAAATTTCATAAAATAAAATTAAAGATGACTAAATACAACTATTTTTTTTTTATTTCTTTACACATTGTTCGCTTTTATAATTATGATAAACCTGCATTTTTTCATTGCTTCCTCAAAATTCAACTGGTTCATCTCACAAAATTAACTTGAATGTTAATTTTAAAACAAACAAAAAATAACAGTGGTGCTTGAATAGATCAAGTTTCAGTTGAATTTAAAAAAAATGGTGTGTTTTTAACAATTTTTCATTCAATATCTGAAAAATAAAATCACCGATTCTTAGGACTTATTCCAGTAGATTTTCACATGCATGATGGAAACAGAAGTTGTACAATGGTTGGCAATAATTGAATACACCATTGTATTGAATAAAGCTCTTTCACATGAAAAGGGGAACAAGAATTGAAATATGATAGATTATCTTACAGAGTAGAAAGATTGTCTTAGAAACTAAAAAGATGGGAACTGAATGTCTGAGCCACATTTTCCACCGGGGAACACAGGGCACTCAATGAAGTCTGAGGCAGAAGTGTTGACGCACAGGTAAACTTGGTATAACTGGCTGTTCCCAGATGAGTCCACATTGCACTCAATGAATGGAGTGTACCCAATTGCATCCTTTATAGCCCCTTTTATGCTGCTCAAGCTGTAGGATCCCCCACTTGGTTCTATTCCTGACAACACACAGTGCAGGGTTCACAATTATTAGCTACAACATATTGCTATCAAGTCACATAAGTATACACAATTTTTTTACATAGATGACAATGTGTGATTGCAATAGAACATATATGTGTTGTTTATGGAAAAGATTATCACCAGGTTTTAACATGTACCTGCAGTTTTAAGTGCTTGGAGGAGGTTGGCTTTTTGTCTAAGACTGAGAGCTGCTTCAAAATAGTCATGTTGTTTGAGGAGTGACTCTGAACAAGTGCCATGTTTGTTCCATTCATGGCTCCAGAATGTTATCCCATCCCCACTTGGACATGCAAGTGTGGGCCAATTACTTTGCAAACTACTAGTCAGATCAGATATCTGTCATCATAATAAATATAAATTAATCACCATGGAAACAGAATACTGTTCAGGAATAAAATATGCTGAGATTATGATTTGAGGGTTAGAAGAAGTGTTTTTTTATTTAAGCTTTTCAACGTAGCAGTTATGGCATGACCATTTGAACTTTACAATAAAACAGGAAAAAGGTTCCATCAAGACACGTTCAGATAATAGAGGTTTCAAACAATCGTAAAATACACTATGTTGTTCTTAAGATAATATTTTTTATTTGGTGTGTTTCAAAAACAAAAATAGACCGGTTCATCTTTAAGGGATAGACATTATTACTTCTCTGTCCCTTGGTATAAAAAAAAATATATTTGCAGACTAACTTTTATGTACAAAAGAGAAAAGAAAAAGTGTTCGTATTATGAGGGGATAAAAAGACAAACATCTTTTATGACTTTCAAACTGGATACAATAATTGTGGGCCAAAAGCCCTTTTGATTCAAATGGAAGAAACAGAAAACAAGATAGGAAAACACTCATCACACAACTTGCATATTATATTATCAAAAGAGAAAACTTTGATAACATCAGAGATGTTATTTGTGTTATTTATAGATTACAATTGAAGTATCACATGTAATTTTTTTTCATTAACAAGTTATGAGATATGATAATGAAGAACCTGAGATGGGTTGAAAGGGTTGTTAGGATCACAGTTAGAAGGGTATGAGCCATCATTGTAATTAGGCCACAGACCATGGATCCCAAAATCTGCATCAGGCTTTCCACTTGTGGGGTAGCAACAACTCTTCTCTGTGTCACAGTATGATCCAGGCCACTGGAAAAGGCAAAAGTTTAGTGCATTATTTGATTAAAAAATTCCTTATAACACAAAGCATGAATGCATATTTTCCAATGAAATTCTACATTACCTGCTGAACAAAGTAGAAGAAATCAAAATCCTGTGCAGCACAGAGAAGTGACAAATACTGCAGCAGCAGCAGAAGCTTGAGCAAAATGGATCCCTTAGACTCCATTTTCACCTCTCTATTCTTCTCCAAGGTATTAAAGGAATTGCTAAGGAGGGTGATTTTTATGGTTTTGATTTTGAGTGAATGCTACATATATATACACACTCATTCTCTTGTCTTATTATTAGTCTGATATTGTTTACGTGTGAACTGTTGCAAAATACCTGTAACATGTCGGCACTCTATTTTTTTTTTCATTTTAGTAAATTTTATTAATACCATGTATTTTGGACTAGAAAGTATTTTAATAATTTAAAAAATAATAATGTTATAGCATTGTCTTACCAACTTTTATATTATATAGAAATCTCCATTCTTCAAATGTAAGACAATTTTTTGGGAGGCTTAATTTTATTAATTTTCTTAAAATACCTTGTGTATTTTTTTGTCAAACATAGATAATAATCCTACCATTGGAGTCAGGTGAAATTATTATGTGTGAAAAAATTATCCTAGATATTGAACTTGCAATCGTTAATTAAAGGTGAAATAACTCTATATTGATTTCATGCACCTAATAGTGATTTTATTAATTTTAATATTTAATTTTATATTTTAAGAGCTTTGCAATTATTAATGATTTAAAAAAATTCCTTTTACTTTATGTTTTCTTTATTCTCGAATCTCATCTTGAAAGGTATGCAATCCTACCATTTGAGTAAAGTAACATTATTATAGATGAGAAAACTTATCATATATTATTGAACTTGCCATAGTTAATTAAGGTTAAAAAACTCTACATGGATTTCATGCACCTAATAGTGATTTTATTAATTTTAGTATTTAATTTTATTTTTTAAGAGCTTTAAAATTATTATTGATTTTAAAAATTTCCTTTTACTCTATATTTATCTTCTTTTTTCTCAAATTTCTTCTTGAATTACTTTTAGTTTTTTTTTCCATTTTAACGTTTCCTCTTCAATAAATATAATAAAAAACATTAAATCCCACAAAATCATATTATACTCTCTTTTCTAACAAAATCGTGTATTTTTCTTATATTATGGCATGCATATAAATTTCAGATTAAATAAAATAAAATCAAATTTAAATTAATTAATTTCTTAATTATCTATTAAAATATATTCTTATTTTCTATAACCTCAACAGAAAAATGTAATCTTCTTTCATCAATGAAATTCGTTATCAAAACAAACAATTTATGGATTAGAATAAAATTTGATATTTATGATCCATCAAACTAATAAAAACACAGAGACAACTGTTATGCTGTTTAATTTAATATTAATTTTTTTTTCATGTAGAAAAAAAATACAAAGAATGAAACTTTTAGCAATTTGTAGTCTAATAATAATTTTAAGATCATTCATTTGTTTTTTGTTCGGATTAATAATATGAATTTTCAACTCTTTTTCTATTGAAATTATGGTTGAAAAATGAAAGGTATCATAGATTATAATTGATTGGAATAATTTATTACACATTTTATTGTTGAATGTAGTTTTAATCTTGTTTGCATATTTCTTAGTTTAAATAGTAATACAAATCATAAAACCCTTTTACTGATGTGTGTGCTCTTCACATTAAGTAAATGAATTTAAAAAAAAAAACCTTTTCTTCAATCAAAGAACATAAAATTAGTAAAAAAATTACGTTTTAAAATTCAATTTGTTTTATTTTCATTATAATTATTAAATTTTATTCGAATTTATATTAAAAATATATTCATAAATTATTTTTAAATGATAAAAAATTAATTTATATTTAATATGTGTATATATACATTTTTTAATAATTTCATTTTATCTGTTAATAAATTTTCAATTTACATGAATTCTTATAATAAATCAGCAATTGATCAACGTATCTAAAATAATTATTTTTTTTATTCAATAAACATTATGCTTAGTACATAATATGTAGTGAAATTATTAAATATAAAATTTAAGATATGAATTATTATGCATTGTATAGTTTTTTATAATAGTTATATTTTGTTTAAATTATTATTTTTTAGTTTAAAAATATATGCATGAATATAGTTATTAATTTTAAAACATTTAATAGCATATTATAAACTTATTAATTTTTTTCCTACTAGAGATATAGGTTAACATTGTGACTGTGAATGAAATTTTGTCCTTCCAAAAAATGGAAAATCATACTTGGATGAATAGAAACTATAGTGACTACCATCTAAATGAGAAAAGAAATCATCATTGAATGCAGCATACACAAAAAATTTATTACTCACAGTAAAAATCTGCAGCAACATCAGAATATATCTACTGTTACAAAGTAAAATGTACATTATTTTCTTATTCATATTAACAATCTTCCTTGTCAAATATACCGGAAATACGAAAGTTATGTTCAATGAAAATGAACCTAAGCTTCCAAAAGTAATAATTTATACAAACAGGAATTATGTAACTCTGGTCACCAATTATCCAAATTTGCCAATCATGACAATTACTAATTCCCAACATTTCAGAACAGGTCTTGTTTTGTCTGTCTTCAGCGTAGCATAGAGTGGCTATTCCTTCCAAAAACAATTGTGGAATAAATAAACCAGTTTCTTTTTTTTAAATTCTGATGAAAAAATTGAGTATTGGCTCAACACACTCTACTACCAGTAATCCCCACAGGAGCATTCCCCATCTTTAAAATGATGAAATCGCTGAACATCTCTCAGAATAATTTGCCTACCAAAGATCAATGAAATAAATTTAGCAGCGTTGTGGCAATCCACACAGACTCTAAGATTCTTGACCACACGAATTGTTGTTCCAGGGGTAGTATTCAGAAGACCATAAGTTATGGCCAGTTTTTCACTGTGATATCTAATAACAATTTCTTTCTCTTCATCTTCTATGTCTGCATAAAAGACCAGAGATGTGTCAGGTACATACCCAGCCAGCTTCAATTCCTTCACTAATTCATCAAGTGCATGGTGCAATACGGTTGACTTGGAATGAACTCCATCCCCGGCGAAGAATTCGTGGACAACATTATTGACCTCTATTGAGCTACAACCAGGGACTTTCACTGCTCCTTTGTCTGTCATCGTTTTCCTTAGGTGATTCACATCATCCCATCTTCCATTTCTTGCACACAAATTTGACAAAATGACATAATCCCCACCATGGGAATCATCCAGCTCAAAGATTCTCTCAATTACTTGCTTTGCCATTTCAACATTACCATGACTGCTACAAGAAGATAGCAATGTCCGCCACAGAATTGGTGTCGGCTTGATCGGTAACTCATCTATGAACTTATAGGCCTCTTCCAGGCGTCCAGCTCGGCCAAGCAAATCCACCATACACCCATAATGCTTGATACTTGGAACAATCCCATACTCATGAGTCATACTATGGAAGTATTCATAACCTTCCTCTACCAACCCATTGTGACTGCAGGCATACAATATACCTAAAAAGCTTATCTCATCTGGCTGCACTTTTGCCTTCTTCATTTCCTCCAACATTGATATGGCTTGGGATCCATGCCCATGGGTTGCATAGCCAACAATCATCGCCGACCACGCTTGTGTGTCTCTCCTAGGCATCTCCCTGAACACAGAAACCGCATCCTCCAAACTCCCACATTTAGCATACATGTCTATAAGAGCAGTATTCACCTTAACATATTGATCAAACCCATTCTTCTTGACATACTCGTGGATCCACCTCCCTAAGTCCAACGCCCCTAGCAAAGCGCACGAGGAAAGAGCAAGAAGCATGGTGACATCAGTTGGCTTGAGGCCACTTTCCTGCAACTCTCTGAACAAAGCCAAGGCCTCATTGGGCTGGCTACTCCGAGCACAGCTCGTGATGATCGCATTGTACGCAACGACACACGGTTCATCGATCTTGTCAAAGACCCTCCTAGCAGCATTCATGTCATTGCAGGCAGTGTACATGTTAATAAGAGTTGGGCACACATACATATTAGCACTGAACCCAAGTTTAACAGCAAGGCAATGCAGCTGTTTACCTTCCTGAAGCGCCTTGAGCCTTGCACAGGCCTTGAAAAGGGAGGAGAAAGTGTAGTCATCTGGAAGGAGGCCATAGAACAAAACCTGAGAAAAAAGAAGAATTGCTCTGAGAGGGTCATCAAAGCGCGCATACCCACGTGCCATGGTATTGAAAAGAACAATGTCTGGTTGAGGAATTTGATCGAACATTTTGTGGGCATGGTCCATGGAAGCGGTTGTGGGGCTAGAAGTGCAGAAATTTATGAGCTTTTTGATGACGGTGTGGCTGTTATGGAGGTCTGTTTTGATGATGTAGGCTTGGATTTGCTTGAGCTCTCGGAGAGAGGTGCATTTGGGTATGAGAGAAAGAAGGGAGGGTGGAGGTTCAGGTGCAAATTCTGTGTTGAGTTTTGTGGGAGAATGTGCAATGCATTGGATAATGGGTGCTGCCATTGCTGAGAAGCAAATTGCTTACTCACCATAAACTGTGTCTGAAAGTTTAGATATGACAAGAAACAGAGGACATGGAAAACACAAATGGATAGAGTAACGGAATGAACCGGTGGCTCAGTTCACAATAAATATAATATTTACAAATTTATTTATTTCTTCTATTTTTCCAACTTAACAGGATGAAAAAATAAAAATTTATCAGCTTTCTAAGGTTTTGAAACTTGCAAAATTGGAGAATTTTAACATACATTATTATTGTCTTTAGATTATCAGATATTGTTTGGATATACTCTTAAAATAATTGTCCAGATTGAAGCCAAATTACCAGAATGCGTCTGGTGTCATCAAATTCAGTAGAATCTTGATTTTAATAAAAAATAATTAGAAAATATTAGAATCCATAATTTTATTTATAATATTATTTATAGTATTAAAATATTGATTTTTTTTTTTGCATTTCTCTATCTAAATTATCAAATATCCATCATGTTAATCCTTAGTTTAATTTCCAATTTAAAAGTCTACAGGAGTTTGATAATTTTAATATTTATATGCTGAGTGAGCTTATATGACTAGTTTATAATATTTATAAAGGATTGTTTATATTTAAATGGAAATGAATGAGTTGATTAAATAAATAAAAAACATTTAGAAATTCTTTGTTAAATCTTATAATACTAATAATTAATAATTACTCATTCTTTGTTATGTCTAATACTTTATATTATTACCACAACACTAACATAGTATGAAGAGAGGGACATTCCTTTTAAACCTGGCGAATTACCCCACTACAGGTTTTTTATTCCTCGGAGTCTCCGTTTAGGGTTGTTTCCTTTTTATTTATTTTATTTTCAGATATTTATATGTTGTCCTCATCTCACTAACCGCCACCTTGTCTGTGTCTCCACTTCACTCCATTTTCCTACCTCGAGAAGACAAAGAGGTATACCCTGCAAGAAAAAAATGTACTTGTTTCTCCTGGTACTAAGTTTACTACTGTGCAACTACTCTGTCATGTATCCTCTTGGGTTTTCTGTAATTATTTTGCTGTCATTTTCATCCATGTGTCTGGCATTTTGTTTTTTATTTGCTTTGGATTCCTCATGCATTTTTTTTACTGCTTTTCAGAACTGTGCCAAATCCGTGGATGTTGAAGTAGATTAACTGAGGCTAAAATCCACTGTGTTATGATTGTTGCTACTTTTCACACTGTGGCAAGGTTATAAATTGTGGTATGGTAGTTTCAAAAATGTCACACGATCCTGTTAGCAACATAAATGTGGATGGTTAGTGATGCTGCTACCTTTATTCAGTTTTCTCGTGCTTTTTGCACTTTAGAATAGAGATGTTAGAATAATTTGATAGTTGTATCTGTATTGCTTCGTTTATAGATTAGGAATTCTCTCTAGAGCTACTTGATAGATTACCAGCAGTTTCTCATGTAAGTAGTTAAGCCTATGGATTCTGTTGTGTAGTTACCAGAACTCGCTTAACTCAAATTCGGAAGCAAGCTAGATGTAAATACCTGCTATTGGATCAAAAGAGTGTTGACGGTAGCCGCTGCAAACATTCACAAGGAAAATTAATCCGCCTGAAACAAATAAAGCATCAAGCTCGGTGTGACAGTAAGAATAATTTGTCACAAAAAGAAATGATATCTGAACCTGAAAATGAACAACCAAAAAGTAGAATGCTTCGGTTGAGCCAGATGAAACATCAAGCTCGGTCCAAAGGCAATTCAACGGTGACAGATGGGACTAACAAGGGTATGGATCAGAGTCTGCCTTGCAACAGCTTTAAAGGTGAATGAATAACAAGGAAACTAATAGTGTGAAGAGAGGGACAATTCTTGAACTTTGCAACAATTTGATTTTGAATAAGTTAAATACTTATATTCTTTGCTTTTTGATGTTATTTAAAAGTTTAGTTTCTATGGAATAAGCTTGAGAAAACTAGTTGAAGAACTTATGTGTACTTCCAGTTCAAATTAACTGAGTTGGAGCAGAGAGTTAACATGTTTTCCTTAATATTTGTATTGGTTTTGTCTGCAACTTAAGATAACTTATTGCTATCATTGTTACAGATAAAGAAAAAGTGGTTGCAGGGCAAGCTGTGAAGAAAAATATCTGTCAAGGGGGTAAGGTTATTTCTTCCATAAATATCATTAATACATAACAAGACCATCACTCTTTGACTTTGTTCTGTCACGGTTACTAATGGAAGGAACACAGGTTGATGCTCCATACTATTTATAGGCTATTTATAGTTCTCTTCAGTCATGTAATTCCTCAATGGAAACACTCTGAAATTCTTTTACAGTTTAACGAACAATGCCCATGACAGATTATATATACATGTGAAATGCTAGCTTTTTTCTTTGGTAAAGATTAAATACAGAATTTCTTAAAATTATACTGCATAAGTCAGAATCAAATTATAATAGTTATTGGTTTCATTATGAGCTTTGGTAAGAGCTTGAAGTAGCATCCGGAAAATGTCAAGACAACAACCAGCTTAATGCTGATTTGATTGTAATGTTATTCTAATGATACATCATTATCTTTCAATATAGTCATTGATATTGACTTTCATGCTATCTTGATTTATCTTCCAGATTCCGATCCTGCTGTAGAAGGTCTGCCTGAACATAACTTATACAGAGGAACCAGTCTACCATCTGATGGTATGTTTCATATGGGTTCTGTATAATGTACACATAAAAAAAAAAACATTAAAAATTTGGTTTTAAATGAATTTCATCATAAAGAAATTAGGCTAAGAATTGGAAGAGCTGTGATCTTCTTACCTTATATACAATAGAAGCTATAACAAATTCCTCTTTTACATAAACTCCCATTTGTACTTTAGTGTCTTATTTTACATTATCTTATGTAAAATTCTAGGTGATGAATGTCTTTAAGTTTCTAATTTTAAACTTTAGTCTAACTATTATATATACATATAGTAAGATTCACATTTTCTAGGGTATATAGCACAAACAGTTTTTGGTGGAATACAGTCAATAAATGATATTTCATCAATTTTCTGCAGTTTGGTGGGATGTTAAAAATCTTAAGGAACTTCAACGTACTGCAAGGAGATTAAGGGCATTCAAGACTAAAAAACTCAGACAACAATTAAGGACAGAGAGTAAAAGAAATCTTTCTATTGCAAGATTGCATGCGATGAGGACAAGCCTGACTGAGTTAACAATAGGTATGACAAATGCAACGTTACTGAAATGTAATGATTTACTTTCATACATCACATGAGCCAACTGAAACTAGTGGATGTATTTTGGGATCTAATTGCGAGGTATGAGACTTAAAGCCCACATCTTGGAAGTATAGGATTCTTGTCTGATGTTATAAGACCTTGGGCTCTCCTACTGCAATGGATAGCTTTTGTCCTGTGGTTTACATAAGGTTCTTATCAATTGGTATTAGAGGTTTATAGCTGCAAATAAGTGGCTCCTACGATGATAGTGTTGCAATGTTTTCCCAGTTAAAGGGCTAGTGCATAGCCAGTCCGCATATGATTGCTGGCTCAGATGCAAGTGAATGATAGTCTTCATGTTCTGGCAAATCACACATGATATTTAATTTGTAGACAATTTTAATATATGTGCATCAAAATACTTTTATTTTTTCTTATGAGTTATAAATGATTCATTTCAGTGTCAAATCCAAAGGTATCTAACAAGTTAATGTATCAGCAGCAAACTCAGAAGCACAAAAGCAATTTGTACCAATGAAAAGACTACGCTTAACTCAATTGAGACGTGAAGCTCGTTTAGTGAATCACTTTCCTGCTACGCAAGGATTGCCAGGAAACTAGAGGTATATTTTACTCCTTTTGATTGGATGAGAAGTTTTAATATCATGGCATGAAAACTGTAGCAAAACATTTTTTATGTTGAGTTTTTGAATAAAATGGGTGGTCCTTGAGTGATTTATATCTAATTGTTAACCGTTAATATTTGTTTTTATAGCTATAGGAAGTATGTGCAATGGGTATGTGGCCATGTAAAATGTGGTCCTGATGTATTCATATATGTAATATTGGACAAACTGCTATGTTTAGTGAGTAGAAGCTAAAACTATTTAATTTAAGATGCAATCATATGCATGAGGTATGACTAAACTGAGGCTGATTTCAGTATTGATATTTTTATATTTTATTTCTCCTCTTTAGGCATGCTTAAAATTTAATACTAGATAAAGTCTGTAAACAAACATGGGCTATAAATCTTATATTTTTTTTCTTGGGTCATGATGTATTTGTGTTTTGTAGGATGTTGAAGATCACTTTCGTAAAGCACAATACGATTATTATCCATACGTGGAACCTATTTTGCCCTTAAATATCCATGCATTTTAATATGCAAAAACATAGCAATCTTTACCTCAAAGGATTAAGTATGTATATCAAATAGGTTGTAGTTTTAATTCCTTGTCTGAGTTGTTTCTTTGGGGTGAGAAAACTGTAAGTCTTCTATGATTGCTGAGTCCAGAGACATTCTTTGCTTCGAATTGGGGCAGAGTGTCCTTAAATTTTTCTCAAAGAAAAGAAGAAAAAGCATATTAACAATCTTTAATTCTTAATATTCTCATGTTGGTTGGTTTATTGAGAATAAAATCTATCTTGATATCTCCTTTTATAGATTAACTGTAAAACTTTCATACTATCCATGAACTGCATTTTGAATGTAGGCGTTGTTGATATTGGGATGAGCTAATCAGTGCTTTCGCATTTCCCTGCCATAAATTTCACATAGCAAGTTTTGATGGAAGACCAACCTTCAGTTTTTTTGTTTACTAGTACAGATATGATTTGGTAGTAAGCATTTCAAGAGACAAGAACGAGTCCTTACAAGGCTAATATGGAGAACTTAAGCTGGCATACATATTCCTTTTTTATGAACTTGTGTATGGACATCCATGACAAACTTTTATTGGCTCTATTTGGCAGAAAGAAACCTTGATTAGATCGTATGAATAGAAAAATGACTGATATAGATGGATAATTTATATTATATATACGTACGAACTTATGCATGGATCTCCCATTATCAAACAATTTTGATATTGATCTTAAATTGGTTTATTAATTATCATTTTTCACATGGTGTTGAAAATTCTTTTTATAATTATCAGTTACTTGAAATGAAAGTAAAGGAAAACAAGAAAAAACAATGAATTCTCAGTAGCTTTGTTTGAAACAGAGAATAATTGAATATGTATTGGTGTATGATAATCTTTGTTCTTTTTAAATTCAAAAGGTCCTTAATTTAGTTACCCTGATTGGATATCAACGTGAAATAAAGACTGATAAAATCTTTTACTTTTTAAGAATAAGTGGAGTAATTATACACTAAATAAATTTAAATATTTTCTGTAAAATAAATTTAAATATTTTCTGTAAAATAAAATTTCTGATGATTTCTATTAATGATAATAATGTTCCCGTAAATTTTATCTCTTGGGAATACTTAAAGTAATAAAGAATAAGAATTTCAAAAATTCTAATAAACTTTATAGCACTATAAAATAATATTTTAAGCAGGTTTCCATACTTACCATACCATAATATCACATTTTTAGACCATTTAGTATTTATTTATATTCATCCTTTCTATTCTTATTTATTAACTATAATTGTTCCAGTTTTAGTTAGAAATTATAAGAAGTCAATTTTATATATAAAAAATCATCCTTTTTAATATTAATAACCCACATTTTTTAAAGACAAACTTCTTAAATATTTAGCACTTTTCTTAAATATAATTGTATTTTTATTCATTTGTTTTTCTGCCACAAAATTGGACTGTAAATTGATTATTATTATTATTATTATTATTATTATTATAATTAGTAATTATTCTCCCTATAAAAGTAGTGGCATAAGAAAGAAATAGACCCAAAGCCACCGGAGTCCGAACCTGAGGCTTGGACCAAACTGAAACGAATAACAGGATTCGGCGTGGAAACCATTTGACACCACGCCTGAACTTCGCACAAATCACATTTACGTTTTCTTCTTCTCTCTCTAACCGCGGCTAGAGAGAGAACTTCGCCGCCGGCAATCACTCCGGCGATAACATGATCACCGACTGCCTCTGTCCCTCAGACCTTTGATGCGCAGATCGACTGCCCGCACTCGCGCCGTTTCGAATCACAACGACGAAATGGATCCGATCAAAACACGCTCCACCAACCTCTTCGCTCGCAACCCTAAGCCCGGGCCATCGCGGTCCATATCTTCCGTCCTCCTCTTCATTCTCGCGCTCTCCTTCCTCTTTCTCCTCTCTTACTACGCGTTCTCCCCCTGGGAGGGTAGTTTCCGCTATCGGATCATCGTCGACGGTGGGAGCACTGGCACGCGCGTCCACGTTTTTAAGTACCGGTTAGGCAGGGCGTTGAATTTCGGGAGGGAGGGTTTGGCCTCGATGCGCGTGAACCCGGGGCTGTCGGCGTTCTCGGAGGATGCGGATGGGGCGGGAAGGTCAGTTTCGGAGCTGGTGGAATTCGCGAAGGGGCGGATCCCGAGGGAAAGCTGGAGGGAGACGGAGATTCGGTTAATGGCGACGGCGGGGTTGAGGATGCTGGACGCGAAGGTGCAGGAAAGGATTCTGGAGTCGTGCAGGAAGGTGTTGCGTAACTCTGGGTTCTATTTTATGGACCATTGGGCTTCTGTCATTACAGGTTCTTTTTTTTAATAATTAATGCAGATGCGTATTCAGCCGCATCTATCTCTTTCTCAGTGCGTGTGCGTATTGCGAGATGGAGAGAAAAAAAGAAGAAGTTGGGATTAATTGTGTAAAAATGGAAATGTAAATAGGTTTTTACTTTTCCTGACTGGGAAATCTTACCTTGAATGAAGTTAGAATTGTAGGATTTGGTTTCCTGTTTGGATTGGAGTGGTGTTGAGTTGTTAAATGGAATGTTTTATGAAAGGGATGGTGATGGAACTTTGAACATGGGAGCCTTGTTGATGGATGACTGCATTGTCAGTGTGTGAGAGAGGAGGGGGTTTGATGACTTGAAGAAGAAGAATTCTTATTTGGTCTCGGTTTTTTTTTTCTTTCTTACTTGTTTGGTGGACTGTTTATGCTTTTCAACTGCATTAGTTTTATTCCTCTTAATTAGTATAGATAGGGGAAGTAGTTGTAGATGATGGGCATGTAATTTAGGGGACTTTGGGGTTTGATGTAATTTCTAACATTTTTTTTGGTTTGATGTTTGTTATGGTGCTGTAGCTGTATGATGAACTCCCTTGGTGTTCATAATATCGGCTTGGAATTGAGTGGTGAAGGTGCATGTTTTTGTTGTCTCAAGGATTTATTACGTAGTGAATCCAATTGTCACATAATCTCTTTCACACTTTTGCCTTTTTTCTTTTCAAGCATAGTTTAGCTTGCTATCATGCCAATGTGTTCTTGGTGTCAGAAAATCATAAAGTAAATGTGATGCTTCTTTTTGTTTTTTCCATCTCCTTAATTTTCTAATACTTAGTTTTTTTGTAGAACCATCATAATGTCATTACATGTTTGTTGCCATCTTATGGTATGATTCTGGTTGTAAAGGTTCTGATGAAGGAGTGTATGCTTGGGTTGTTGCTAATTATGCACTTGGCACTCTTGGAGGTGATCCTTTGGATACAACTGGTATTATTGAACTTGGTGGTGCTTCTGCTCAGGTACATTTATAGTTTCTAATTATTTAGACTGTCAAGTTTTATATGATTTGACTGCAATTACTTAGTGTGTTTTAATACTAATATATTATAAATAAAGCCACCTTTCTGGTTAGGCTCGTACATACTGTTGGAAAATATGACTAAAGGATTTCTTTCTACCTTATGGTAGGTGACCTTTGTCTCAAGAGAAGCTGTGCTTCCTTCTTTCTCACGAACTGTTACATTTGGGAATATCACTTACAGCCTCTACAGCCACAGCTTTCTTCACTTTGGCCTGGTGACTGGTTTATCTCTTTGTCGTGTTCATTAGGCCTGATCTGATATCATTTGTGTATCTGTCAATATTCTGCATCCTAGATCACAATTCTCAAATTATTTTACACTGAACGAAAATGTTAAGTTCAAATTTTGGTCCCTACACAAAAAAACCTACATTTCAACATATCAGTTTCTACTGTTTGAAAATCTTGCTTTATATAATGATAGGGACATATTATTAACATGTTTTCATGTAGGGAACAAATAATAAAATGGTGTATCTATAGTACATGGAACAAATTTTAATTTACTGAAAAAATCAGAAATTAGAATTCTGTTTTGACCACAACATTATTTCTTTATTGTTTTTATTGGTCCATTTTCATTCAATGTGATTCTCTTTGCAAGTCACATGGCTATCTATTTGTTTGCACTTGGAATGACACCATTGCTTTACACTTTCTAATTACTTTTAATTTTGCAGAATGCTGCTCATGACTCGTGGAAAGAAGCACTTGTATCAGGAGAATATAATTTGGGTAATTAAATGAGTCACATTGTTTAACTGATTTCTTTTTATCCTTGGCTTAATAATTAAAGGCATCTTTAAACTTAATTACCGAACTGTATTACTGTATGATGGTTGGGTATGACTTTTATTGGTTTGAACTTTGACACCTGAATTTCTTCTATGACATGTATAGTAACAGTAGCAACGTTTTCTTTAAAAAATATGAAAAAAATAAAATAACGATATTATACATTCTTATAAATATCTTTCAGAAACATGTTCTATCCAACTGGCTTGATCTGAGTTATTTACAATATCTTTGTTCTGATGTACTACTGGTATTAATATAAATTAATGATCAAGGTTATACTGGTTAAAGTATTATCTAGTCACCTGATTTAAATTTTCTTATTCAGATGTGGTGAATTTTTTCAATTGTTTAGGGATGAAAGTTAATTACTGTTGCTGCACTCTGTATTTAAATTTTGAGGATGTGATGTTGCATCAATTCTAAGTTCATACTAACAATTGACATTTTCCAAACGAAAAAAAAGAGTCCATACTAGACTATTTTCTCATCACCGTGGCTTTGCAATTGATATCCTTTGAAATGTTAATTGTCAAATTTCTTCTGGCAAAAAAAGATTTGAGCTATTCAGTGACTATGTTTATATTCCATTAGTTGTGCCATGTGTCATGTATTTTTTATTTTATTTGTCAATTGTTTCACTTGGATTGGAAACAACCTGCTTCCATTTCTCTATTTTTAACATATTTGCAGGCATTCAGTAGAATTGCATTGTAGCTTCAGATGGTAAAAATGATTTGGTATTGATTCTTTACTCTCCTCAGTGCAGCTTCTCAATCTATTCAAGAAAGGTTGAGGATAGATCCTTGTACTCCTACAGGATACTCTTATAATGTTGAGTTATTGAAGTTCCCTCCGAACTCAGAAAGTGGAGAAAACCATTATCGGTCCACTGTCCAAACAAGGGGGAATTTTTCAGAGTGCAGATCTGCAGCACTTACTCTGCTACAAAAAGGGAAAGGTCATATTTTCAAAAATTTTGTACTGTTAGATGGCCATGAGATTTTCTCCAATGTTCTTTTTATTAAAGTTGGTCATTTCATTTTTTATTTATGCAGAATCATGTCCCTATCAGCATTGTGACATCGGATCAACTTTCATACCAAATCTTCAGGGGAATTTTTTGGCTACAGAAAATTTCTATCACACATCAAAGGTTCTTTTTATGCTTATATGCCTCTTTTACTGCTGACTTGGATCATTGTGCAATTTTGTTGCTGTCTTAAAGGGATGCATTATAGAAAGGAGATAACAGTAATGTACTGTAACTCCTAATATTTCTCAGATTGCTGACATGTGCATGCTCTGTTCTTGTTTTATTATTTTAATTATCCATACATCATTAACAGCACTGAATCTTGAATCTTAATGTCAGTTTTTTGGATTGCGGCCAAGGGCCTATCTGTCCAAGTTGATTACTGCTGGGCAAGAATTCTGTGGAGAGGATTGGTTAAGGCTGAAGGAAAAATATGTTTCCCATGATGAGGATGATTTACATCGGTATTGCTTCTCTTCAGCATATATTGTTGCTCTGCTTCACGACAGTCTTGGAATTGCTTTGGATGATGAGAGGTATTCCTTCTCGTTTTTATTTTAAGGTATTTGACTATTGAGGTTGATAATATTATTAGCACTGCACATTAAGGCCCATTTGTACATGAAACAAATATTTTAGAGCAAATACCAATAACATTAGCTGCATACACTGGTCACCTTTAATGTAAATTGTATTAGCTTATGTATGGAGAAGCTTATTCATTTTTTCTTATTTTATTCTTTTAAGAATGTTTGCGAAGAAGTTTCTTCAAACATGTTCCTTAAAATATAATGAGGGGCTTATAGGCTTGACGGAAGTTGGAGTTATTTTGGTTGGTTCAGTGTAGGTTTGCACAAGGGGTTTGTTTTGTGGCTATGAATTTCTGATGATGGTATTTGGGTAATTTTGGAGTGGAAAAAAGTGGTGATTTTGGTGGTTGAGGCTTGGTTGTTTAACTGCCAAATGGAGGTTTCGGTGGCTGAATGGGGAAGACTTGGTGTAGGCGTGTAGGGTTGATGGATGGAAGCTTCATAGTTTGGTTAGGGCTTAAATATGTCTTTAATCCCTGAAAAATTATTGAGTTTTGATTTTAGTCCATATACTTTTTGTCTTGTTTTTCATCCTTGTAAATTTTGAAATCACTGTTTTTTAGTCCTTATAAAATGTCTAATTTTAGTGTTAGTCCCTGTAAATTTTTTTATTTATTTTCATCCTCCCAAAAATGCGTAAGAATGTCACAATTCAGTATGTTTGCTACCCAAAAGAAAAGGGAAAAAACATATTTGTACAACTTACTGTCAGATTTTAAGATACAACTTGCAAAATGTGTAGTTTGATGACACACAACTGTTAGCCACAACAAAATTTAATGGAGATAAGAGTTCAACCTTAAATTTTACAAAATAAGATTTTCCTGGGTTCAATTGGTAACTAATTTTTCATTAAAGTTTGTGTGCTTGCACTTGCTCTTTGCCATGTATGGTTAGGATTGCATATATATTCTGTTTCTTCATGTCAATGCATTTGTGTTCTTGTTGACTGTATCTTACTGACTGGAATTACTGTTGGGCAGGGTCAAGGTTGCTAATCAGGTGGGAAGTATTCCGCTTGATTGGGCTCTGGGAGCTTTTATTCTGCAAACAACAGCTGATGCACATATGCAGAACCATAACTGGACTGCCACCATTTTCAGTGATGAATCGCCTACTCTCCTCTCAATTATTGGATTTTTTTTAGTGTTGTTAACGGCATGGTCTATATCTAGGTGGAGGAAACCTCAGTTGAAGACAATATATGATCTAGAAAAAGGACGATATATAATCACGCGCATTGGTAGATAAGGCTTGATGGTAGAGCAGATCATGGTTCTTGGTTTACATGTGGAGGCACTGTTGTGATCATGATCAAAATATTTATCCTTTTCTAACTTGACGGCCAACTATTGAAGGCCATTCCAGCCGGGGCTCAATTAGTATATCATTTGATTTTGGATGCAGTATATGGAGTTACTCTTACTGAGGAATAGTGTAGAGTAGCACGTTTCTTTGTTGTTTAGTGGAGTCCAGGAATTGTGTGTTGTGCACTCCCTTCACTTCACTGGTTACGGATAACAGTAAGGCAACAAGTGGAGCAGGTCAGCCTAGGAATTGCCAAGAGAAACTACATGCAGCATCCTTCAACAGAAAACACCTTGTTATGTGGTATTTGTGCCAAACTCTACAAAATTATTGAGTTGATGCTTGCCAATTGCTACATTAAAAAAATCATCATTCCCTACCTGGGAAGTTAATTTTGCAGAAGTTGATATATGGTACATGATTTTATTCGATCGGCTTCGGAGTTTAATAATTAGTTTGTGGTGTAAGCAACTAACATAATGTTGCGTGTGTACATTATATTTGAGTAACATGTTTGTTTCTTGTAAAATATTTTATTTATTAAAATAATTTCTTTAAACTTTTGTGTTAGTTTAATTTATAAAATATAAACATGATTTTTTTTATGTTAAAAATTTCGATTATGTGATAAATACAGATAAAAATTTGTACTAATGCTTCAAATGGAAATGTATTATTCATTAAAAAGATTTATAAAAAAGTTGTGTCAATGAAGTTTTTATACAGTTTATATGTCATTTTTTTAATCTTTTAATTTGGCGTGCGTGGAGGTAATAATATAATGTCAATATTTGTGTGTTGTGTTGGAAGTCTTAGCATTTTGAAGTTTTTGGCTTGTGAAAATTGTGTTAATATTTAAAAAAAGAAGAAGAACGAATCAATTGTTTATTGCGAAGGGATAGTCTTGTTCTTGTTATGTATGGAAGTTAATAAGTTATAGATAGAACTACAGTCTACCGATTAGATTTCACACAAAATCTCTTGGTTAGATTTCATTGTTTCACAAAAGATTTTATTTGTTTAAAATCAGATTTTCATTTGTAAAATAATAAATAATCAATACTTTAACTATTTTTAAAAAATAGATAAAAACCGTATATTTGGACTTTAGAAAGACTAAATTATATATAAAAAAATTATAAATTTTATAAGAATAAAAATATTTTATTTAAACAAAAATGTTAAATCTTGTACCATATTCTTATTTTGTCGTATCAATCATTTTTGTTCCAAGTGAAACAAATTTGAAAAAATAATATTTATAATTTACGGGATTAAACCATTATAAAAAAATTATAAAAAATATTTCAAGAAAATAAGATAATTCCTGATGTGTTACATAATTAAAATAATATCAAGATTCCATTGAAACCCTAAACCACGAATGCATATGATACGATTGTTGATACTGGTCGTTTGCAGCAGATTTAATCTATGGTTGATTGTAGGTGATTGGCAATATACTGTATTTTTTAACCTTGGTTACGGGTAATCTCCATTGTTATCTTGTTTCACTTTTGGTATTTTCTACGTATCCTGAAAGGTCATGTATTCAGCTGTCAAATCTCAAAATGTTTGCCATTTCTTTTCTTGTAAATGGCTAAATTCTATCATATCTAACTAGTAATATTATATACTTTTCTACAATTTTTTTTATTACCATACAAAAAACATTAAGTAATGTATTTTGAACATGTTTGGGACAGTAAAAATCTTCGAATCAATGGGTTTAGTGTCAGTTCTTATTCGAACAAAACCTCTGCAACTCTTCACAAGTCAAATTCCATTAGCGCACGCAAAACGAAAATGGAAGATAAAGGTTAGATGATAACATAACATAAAAGAGATTGGAGATAACCACTTTTAGTAATAACACTCTGATCAAAGTAATGGTATGCGTGAAATGCAAGTTCAATTTAACAAAACATGTTGATTACGGTAGTTAGACAATAGATGTTGCATTTGCCTGAATGCCTACAAGATAGGAATCAACTACTCCAATTTGATCATAGATTTTGTAGGAAACGAAGAGGCTATAATTGCATGGTACCCATAGTTTACTTCAAAACACCAACCATTTCGTATGTTAGTGCGATAAATTTTCAAAGAAACCCATTTTTGAAACAAGTCATGCAAATAGAAGGTACACAAGTCAGAGCAACTCTTTATCACCATGTCCAATTTTATTTGAAGGCACCATGCGTGTGAGTGAGAGTGAAACAAGAGGCATATATAACAGTTTTCTTGGTTCCAACATGCTTTAAGTTCCAAAACTCCTCACTTGTTACCCTCACAACATTGAAGGCCATGTTGAATGTTGACGTGATTGGGAACAAAAAAAGGAAGAGATGTGGGAGGGTTTTCAGGTTCAAGAACTTCGGTGAACCCGGATACCCTGTTATGTTTAGTGGGCCATTTCGTGAGAATGTGAATGCATTGCTGGAATATGCAAATTTGGAGAGTGATTTAAGCATGCCAATGTGGTCTTTTCAACTTGAAGTTCATCACCACCCACCTTTGCATATCTTGTTGTTTGTGATTGAAGAGCCAATCGAGGCAGTGCTGAATCGCCATTGCAAGCATTGTCAATACGTTGGTAATGTTCATCATGTTTGGCTTCCAATTGTAGTTCATAGCATGAAATCAAAGTTTGAGTTGAATTTGACTTGGATTTGAATGTAGCACAGGCTGGGGAAACCATTTGATCTGCAACAAGAAGTATCACTTTGTGTTACCCTCAAAGGTGGCACTTGGAAGCTGCAGGAACTGTGAAGGGTGCTGTGATGCAATTGCTTCAATAAATAATGGTAAGTCAAAATTAATTGAATTACAGGGTCATATGATGCATGGTGTTTTTCACTCTAATGGGTTCGGCCATTTGCTATGTGTCAATGGATTGGAAATGGGTTCAAATTTGGCTGGAAACCAGATCATGGACTTTTGGAACCGTTTGTGCAAGGGATTGCAAGCAAGGTCATTTCAATTTCGATTACTTTTCTTATAAATTACACAACTTCAGGTTCAGTGATTCTAAACTATTTTTTATTTTTGAAACAATCTCTTTTTTAAAATGTCACATTTTGAGATCTAATGATTGTAAAATTACTTTACATTGCTAGTATATAACTAATGTTCTACTTTTTTTCAATATGTCACATTTTGAGTCATATGTATGTGTTTCTTTCTTTTTACAAAATTTAGGTTCATTGAAACAGGCATGTTAATTATCCATTGATTAAAATTATAATTTTATTTCAATGACATGAAAATTTTAACATAAACCTTTATTGACAAATTATTAAAGTGGAATTCAACTTTGATTTTGTACTAACTTTAAATGCTTAAGCTCAACACAATTTTTCTTTTAATTTCCATAAATAAAAAATTGCAAGGTTTCTATTCATAATTTAATTTATTTTATTGATATGGTTCTTATTGTCTTTACTTTTTATTATTTTCATTCTTTTTCTCTCTATTGTCTTGTATAGTTTTAATTTACACCCATCTTCTCCTTCTACGAGAGAGAATTTTTATGTGCATTTTACTAAAAGAGTACTAATAATACACTTTTTAATATATATTCTTAATTATCTTTTATAGTTTCATTGTTTATTTATTTTATATAATTTGGTTCTACTATTAATAAAAGTGATGTGATTACTTTTCATCTAATTAACATTAAAAGTTAAACAAATCACAGTTTTAATTTACACATAATATAACTTACGATTAACTCCTATAACAAATTTTTACAATTAATGAAGTTAAATTCAACGTACGAAATAGTCACATGGTTTTATTTTTAAAAATTAAGAGAATTATTGAATCTTAAAAAGATTATGTTATTGCACTCTTAAAATTATGAGTCTCGATTAAAACTTTTATTAATAGAAAGATAAGTTAGATTAAATAAATAAATGATAAGATAAAAAAAGACTGATTAAACCTATGTGTTCTAACTTATAGTTACTTTAGAAAATACTGGAAGCTACAAAATTAAAAGTGAAGTGATTAGTAGACCATTGAAAATTTATAATTTAAAAATAATAATCAGTAGAAAAAAAGTATTTAAACTAGATGTTATAGATATTTATTCAATTTTATTTTATTTCTTGGACTATAACTTCCTGATAATGTTGATTTTAATTAATCATGTAGAATTTTCCATTTTATCAAGATCATCGTAATAAAATAAATTAACTTGACAAAAAGAAAAAATATTGATACATTTTTATGCATATATATATATTATACATGATAGGAAGGTGAGTTTGAATGACATTTCACGAAAGAGAGGGATGGAACTAAGACTTGTGAACGGAATAGCATACAATGAGTCATGGTTCAGTGGTTGGGGTTACAAATTTGGTCGAGGAAGCTTCGGTGTAACTGAATCGATGTACCACAAGGCCATGCAAGCAATCAGAAGCATGCCATTATATTTGATCATACACCACATCACCAATTCCAACCATGGCATTGCACTCATCTTCTCAAGGTACCAAACACTTTCAAATCACTCCCTTATAACCCTTGGTGACCTATTTTGTTATATGTTAGACCTCAAATCACGCCTTCCTCGTGACACTTGCATTGCTTCCTATAGCACAAATGCTTTGGCTGAGACCAATTGTCGTTGGTCCCCTAAAAGGATTGAGATGGCAACCAGGGTCATTGTTGAGGCCTTGAGAAAAACAGAGTTTAGATGGGTTTCAAGGCAGCAAGTTAGAGATGCTGCTCGTGCGTACATTGGAGACACAGGTTTGCTAGATTTTGTGTTGAAGTCATTAGGAAACCATGTCGTAGGAAACTACTTGGTTCGTCGAAGCTTGAACCCTGTCACCAAGGTCTTGGAATATTGCTTGGAAGACATTTCTAATGTTTACCCATGTAATGAAGGCTTGGTTATGAATAACAAGGTGAAGGATAAGCACAAGATCACACGAGTTCAACTAATGAAAGACATGCTTTATTTATACAAGTACTTTCTCACAGACCCAAAACCAATTATGGGATCACAATTTCTCTCAGCTATACCATTAGCGGCTAGGATAATTCTTGACACCAAGTATTTTATAAAAGATTACTTTGGAGATTTTTCTTCCCAAGTTGACCTAGCTTCTCAACATAAACTCAATCTTTATTGCACAATTTTGGTGAGAAATGATGTCAGTCATGACCAGTACCTAAACAAGGCCTTTATGCCACCCTATGAGTGTATCGCGTTGAAAACAAATGCTACCATCCATGAGTTAAAACTAGAGGTTGAACGGAGTTTTAGGGAAATCTATTGGGGGTTAAGGAGTTTTGTGGTGGAATCAATTGGGAATTTGAGTATCAATGACGCAACTGAAATGGTTTTTGGACTAACCAAAGTGGGTGAAAAAATTGTGCTTGAAGGTCGTCACACTGAGATGAGAGTAAACATGATTGAACAAATGTGTGAAGGTGATCCAAATGGTGGTATGGTGGAGTGCCCCTGTGGAACTATAGAAGATGACGGTGAAAGGATGGTGTCGTGTGATATTTGTGAGATTTGGCAACACACTAGGTGTGTTCGAATTCCCAATGATGAAGAGATTCCTCATATTTTTTTATGCAAAAAGTGTGAACAAGAAATTGTTTTATTCCCTTCTTTGCCATAATTATACAATCATGAATATTTACTCATTCCTTTTCCAATTTCAAGGATATCTTTCAGGCTAAACAATAAGAATTATTTCTATACTACATTTATTTTCTGAAAATCAAAAAATTATACCTCAATTAAAAGATTATCATATTTCAATCTCTTCTTTTCAATTTATTTTATTGATCACACTTTTTCGTTTTATTATTTTGACATGAGAAAGGTGACACTGTATCTTTTCAAATATTATTTGTTATCATTAAAAGACAATGTGTAACTAAGATTAAATAGTCTATCTTCAACCAATTTTTTTTACCTAATTTTCTTTTTTCTGCATTATTCCTTCTTTGTTTCATTTTGTTTAGGGTTTACAGTCTTTTTAACAAACAATAAAAGACTTTACTTAGTTTACCAGCTTCACCAACGTTTCACATTTTTAATACAAACTAAATTTACGATGATATCAAACTGTAATTACTAATACCCAAAAACTTAATAATTGTTTCAGAAATAATTGCCAATTCTATAATTCACTGGAAAGAATAGTCATGGAATAGTTACTAAGATATTATAAATAAATTTATAATATTTCAGAAAAAATAATTAAATAAATAGTTATATAATATAAATGTTAAAGTAAAAAAGAAATATATATATATATATATATATATAATATATATATATATAATTGGGTTAATATACCAATTATATTTGTATTTTTATTTTATATTATAATGTTTTATTTATTATAACAATTCTTTAAAATAATTGTATTATCATATAAATATACAATATATATTATGTTTCATAATTATTTTTATCTCATCTTATTCTATAAAACAATATTATTTTTTATAAATACGAATTTGAAGGGAAAAAAATTATAATCATCAATTATATATACTATTATTTTTTATGATTTTAAATTTGTATAGTATGTATAATAACCAAGATATTTATGATAATCAATAAAAAATAATAATAATAATATTTTAAATATATTTATTTTGTTATTAATTAAGTTGGTAAATATTAATAATCTATATTTTTATCTACAATATTTATATAATTACTAATCACTTAAATTTTTAGTGTGAAATTAGTGATAGAAATATTTTAACCTAGAGACCAAAATATTGGCGAATCTCTAGTGATTGAAAATCAATATCTTGTTTTTTCAATTTTTTTCACATCTTGATATTGAGATTGATAGTTATTTATGCGAGAAATATAATTATATTATAATTAAACTTAAATGTAAGAATGCTAATGAAGTTTTAGATGTTATAATTAAGAGTTTCAAGCAAGAAACAATATTTACAACTACCAAGTAGTTATTATTATTTTCAAATTTTAAAATAAAATTAGTGAGGCAAATGTGTTTTGTCAAGATTGAATTTGGCAAAAGTTTTGTAGCCTGGTCCTAACATTTTTGTGACCAAAACTTAGTAACTACCAAATTTAATTATGTCATTATTAACCTTAAATGCATAAGCAGTTATATTCAACGTTATAAGCTGATAATAATAATGATAATAAAATACTATTATCAACTATATAGTATTATTTATTGATTTAAAATTTTAGTATTTATAATTATCAAGCATATCAACATCATATTTTTATAATTAAGAAAATTAATATCACTATTTAGATAATTAGTTGTTGTTAATTATTTTATTTTGAATATACATTGACTAAAAATGTAATGATTGATTTTTTAGGATTTAAAATTTAAATTTTCATTTTATGGAAAATTAAATATTTGGTGACAATTGCAGTTACTACTTGTTCATCTTTTGTCATTAGAGATTAAATTTGAACCACCAAATTAGTCCTATTCATTTTTAGCAATTAAAATTTAATAATAATAAAATTAGTAAATATTTAATGATCGAAAATGACCTTATTGCTTACCAAATCTTTTTATTAAATTATATTATAATATTTTACTTTAAACATAATTACATTATTAAATTATGTTATAATATTTATTAAAAAAATAATTCTTTTATAAATACTAGAAATACAATACTAAAGTGTATTCACAGTTTTTGGATAAATTATTTTTCAAAAATATTTTTAAATTTTTATTTTATTTTATTTTCTCTCTACTATTTAAATATATATTTTATTTATTTATTATTGTATAATATTTTTCTTTTATATATTTTTTTAATTTTATAAATATAAAATTATAATATTTTTATTTATTTTGTATCAACAAATATTGTAAAAATCATGCTATATATAATTATAAATAAATACATGAACACATTTTCACTAATTATTAATAATTAAAAAATATTAAATTTAATTAGAAAAAATAAATTATATATATAAATTTTTTTAAAGAAAAAAAAACACGTAACAAATCACCCTTTTATTACATGAAACTTATTTCACAACAATATTATAATGAAAAAAATATATGAATAATTCCCACAATAATTTATCTAACAAATGCTTGTTTTATTACTACTACAAATATTAAGTATATTTCAACGGTGAAAAACTTACAAATCTGAATAAGTAGCAGACAAAATACAACTGTAACCATAATTATTATTAATATTGTGAAAATGTCAGATATACCCTTGACCTGACCCACCTCTCGTGCACCCATGTTCTTATTTTTGATGTTAGGGCTTCAAAAACATAACAATTCCACAAAAATTAGTTGATACATCACATTGTTATCTTCGCAACCAAATTGTATACACTCACATTAATTGTGCGTTTTCAATATCATATGGTTTAAAGTAAAATAAATTTGTTGAGAAACAATTGGGAACAAATAGAAAGCAATTATTTTCTTAGTACCTTATTTTTATTATTATTATTATTATTTAATTTAATTTTGTAGCAACCTTTTTTGAACTTGTGTCTTTGGGAGCCTAACTATTTTTAATTTGCATTATTGAAACTGCTAGAAGCTTTCCAAACAAAACAAAAATATTGACTTTTTCACCATCTCTTGAATCTGACTATCAACTACTATTCTATGAACATTGTGGGGTTTGTGATTATATATTATAAATACCACACTTGCATAAATTTAAAAGAAAAGTAAGAGCAGAAACAAAAAAATAAAACAATGTTTTAAACATTTTCAAATCTTTTAAGAAAATAAAAAGTATTTGAATAACATACAAAAATAATGTTACAGTGAGATTTGACTTAATCTCCTAAAACAATATATTTAGTTTTCATTTTATAAAAAATTAAAAATTTTATATTTGTTGTATAATAATGTTATATTCATTAAATTATTTTTACATACATTTAATATCATATTAGTTCTAAAAACTGTGATATGAAAAAATTTAATATATTTTAAGCATTTACAAAATTAAAACATTTATAAAATTATAATTTATCTAAACCTAATATTCATACTGAACAAACAATATTTATTCTCTCTCTGGACAATTTGTTTTTTAATATGACAATAAAATTTTTACATCATATAATATTCATTGTTATTTTCTACCCCATTTATTCACAAAATTTAATAAATTCTAAAATCAAAATTTTATTATAATTAATTAATTAAAATTATAATATGAAAAAAAATATTTTAAAAACTTATTGGGTGCTACAAAAATTGTCTCCTAATCCTAAAATTAAATTATGAATATAGCTAATTAATTGAATTGTCAATGATATATTTTTCTTATTTAAAAATCTTTAAAATATTTATCTAAACCAAATCCTAAAAATTTTAAAAACTGAAGCATCTTTCAATATACTAATGTCTAGTATCTTCAATAAAACAACAGTTAAATATCAATAAAACTATTTTTTTTAATAAAATCACAAATAAAAATTTAATATATACAATGCAGTTTTAATCTAAGCATAGTTTAAGAAGTTCAGTTAGCTCAAAATATTTTTTGTGACGAATGATAAGTTAATTAATTATTTAAATCTTACATAAATCGTTCAAAACACGTTTAATTAATTATTTAAATCTTATATAAATCATTCAAAACGCGTATAATTTTATCATCTGGTAATAGTTTTTAATTTAAAAATTACAAACGATGCTAAAATTAAAATAATAAAAATAATCAAGAAATAGTTACAGAAACAAAATAAAAAAACAAATATTAAAAAATATAATAAAATATATATATATAAAAATTCAGTTATTATACCATGACCAAAACACTGTATAATAAATTATGAAAAATATATAAATCAGTATAAAATTTAATTAAAAGGAATTATGAGAATGTAAAGATTAAAAAAATACAAAGACAATACTAAAATCTTAATTAAAAAGCCAATTTCCTTTGTTAGTAATTATTAGTAAAAACAGATATGTTGATTTTTCAAAAGTCACATCTATCTTATAGATTTTGGGATTGACATTGGACCGTGAAAACAATGACATAGACAACATTGGTAAGAACCGGTCGTTAGCGGCGAGGCCAAGCCATAAAACGCGTTAAATAACGAGAATGACCCTTCGCACGTGTTTTGATAACATTGAAACTCTCAAGTGTGTAACTAGCATTGCACAATATCTTCCTGCTTTCCTTTATCCATTTTTCAAGTAAACTTTTCAAAACGAACAATTAATATAAAAATTAAAATAAAATACAAACAAAACGCGCAACGCATCACATAACACAACACAAAACACAGTTTCAATTGCATTTCTCTCTCTTTCTCGCAATTTCCATCTTCTGGTAAGTTTTGCTCTGGCTTCTCCGGAACCTTGAGATCTGCTCTGCCTAGCCGATTTCACGGTTTCCCTAATTTTTTTTATTGCGTTTGTGTTGTTCTCTCTGAAATTGCGTTTTTTTTTTTTGTTTCGTTAGGGTTTTGATTTGGGTTTCGTTTTTCCAATGAGCGATCACTTGGTGCTGTTCGTTGACCGTCTCGCGCGCCCTGTCCCTGTTGACCCGGTCGTGCAGCCGGCCCAGCTTCCCTCCGAGCCCTCTCCGCCTCCGGCTGCTGCCGATGCCGCCACCGTCGTCGCCGGGAGTTCCGGCACCGCTCCGATGGAGGATCGTGCGGGTGAGGGTGGCGATGAGGAGGAGCTGCTGATCCAAATGGCGGAGTGCCGTATCTGCCAGGAGGAGGACGGCGTTTCCAATTTGGAAACACCCTGCGCCTGTAGCGGCAGTCTTAAGGTAAATTTCTGTCTTTTGAGATTTTATTTTACTTTTTAAATTTTGAATTTTAGGTTGGTTTTGTTACGTTTTGTGGGATTAGAAAAGTGAGAAGGACAAGTCTAATTTTATTTTTGTTAGTTATAATTATTTCTGCAGTTTGGATTTAGATTTTTTTTTTTTAATTTAAATGATCGTTCAATGCGGAAAACTGTTTTTTATGGAGTGTTATTATAACTTGTTTTTGGTGTTGATGGTAGTTACCGAACAGATGAATGCTTTGGGTTTGGGTGGAAGGCTATGAGTTTTTTTATTTTGTGGTGTATATGCATTGTTTTTATTCTAGATGCTACCCTGGTCCAAATGTGTTTATAAGATTTTCCTTGGGATGTGCCATTTGCGTTCTAAGTGTATGTGTTGAAAGCAAAATTGTTTTTTCCCAAAAAAATCAAACCAGAGGCTTTTTCAGTTTTACCCTTTGAACTTGTGTTGGGTTGTTCCTAACTGAAAAACAAGCAAGCTCTTGATTGATTACTTTACTGGGTTTGTGGATTTGATCCATGTTTTAATTGAGAAATGATAGCTAAGTATTCTCATCAGACAGCTTTTTGTGGATTAAGCATGCACTTTTTGCTGGTGAATTCATTAATATGAATAGCCTTTGACAGAAGAATGAAAAAGAAGGGAGGAGGAATATTGTTATTAGAGTCTGTTTGATTTTCATTTTTCACCTCTATTTCGGTATTCTTAATTCTTGAACTGTTGGCTTTTGGTTTTGTGCAGTATGCTCACAGAAAGTGTGTCCAGCATTGGTGTGACGAGAAAGGAGACATTACTTGTGAGATATGTCATCAGGTATGTTACTTGTATAATAGTTTTCATGTTCCGTAACTTTTTCTTTATTGTAAGATTGCTTGTGCTTATTTTAAGTGTCTAGCTTTATTAGGTGGACCTAGATGGGGAGGCGGTGGTTCCCCATAAAGGCTTTCTGCTTTTTCTTGTTCTATATTGAGAACTCTCACAAAATATTACTGGTTTGCCTGTGAGGGTTTAGTGACAAATTGAAGAACTATCTGTGTCCTTGATTAACTTACTCTCCTCTCAATTGAAAAATAGTTACATCTGGAATTTCACTGAGACATTACATATAACAAACAAGATAAACAGGACAAGTCCTGTTGAAGATCTTTCCCTGAGCTAATAGCCAGAATTTATAAGAAAATAGAATCCATTGACCTTAACTGTCCTGTTTGTAGCATCCTCTGCCTACACATCCTCCACGAAATGAATTCTTGTCCTCTCATGGCCACTGATCTGAGAACAATCATCTGCCAACTGCATTTCTAACTACTGAATTCTCTCTTCATGATACATCCGTCCCTTCTCCCCTTAAATAAACAAGCCACTGGTGAGGCCTTCGTTCAGAAACAGTAGGGACTCCATCGCATAAAGTTGAGCTCAATCCATTGTACATGTGATGCCAACACGTAATATGCATGGATTTTAAAAAAAATATATGTTTTTTGTTTTTTTGATTCAATACCTTTTTATATTTCTACACTTTTTTATGGAACGCTAAAGTGGCAATATATTAGAAAAAAGTTGTCTTGATTCTTAATTTTGTTTTGAATTTGAGATTCCTACATGTTTTTGGACGGGAATGTAAGGATGGGATGCCTACTACCCAGGTACCAAACATGGGCATCTTGCTTAGGCGTTCAAGATATTCTGGACTTTTAGATGCATGTATAAGGATGCATCTGGACCATCCACCTTATTCCTTCACTTTCATGCTTATGGGGGAAAAGGGGAAATATTTTTCATGTCTGTGTGTAAAAATATATTTGAAATTTTGTATTCTTAGATTGTAGTAATGTTCAGATTGCTTGTGTAAATTTTATCCTTTGGAATGAACCAAATGTTGATTATCCTCGCAATTATATTTTGTGCTTAATTTGATGGGAGTTAGTTTCCCCCCTTTTATGCATGTCACTCAGCCTTACCAACCAGGGTACACTGCGCCACCACCTCGTCCTAATCCTGAAGAAACTACCATTGATATTGGGTAAGTTGAAATTTTCTCTTTTTAAATAATGGTTTTCGATTACATTCTATGTCTACTGTTATATGTGTAACTTGTATGGAGGCCGTCATGGTTTATTTATGGACATTTGAAACTCATCTACTTAACAAGTTGTCAACATTCTTGCAGAGGTGGCTGGACAATATCTGGCACGCCTTTGGACTTGCGTGATCCTCGCCTCTTGGCAATTGCAGAGGCAGAACGTCAATTTTTGGATGCTGAATATGACGAGTATGCCGCTTCCAATGCCAGTGGCGCTGCATTTTGCCGCTCAGCTGCTTTAATAGTAAGGCACTAACCTTGTGTTTCTTTCTACCAAATATAATTGTGCCATGGAACTGGACAACACAGTAGGATATAGGGTTGGGAAGTGGATAACCAAGCATTTTTTGGATCTTCGAAGCTACATTAGTAAAGTTCAAAATTTAGGTTAAACCTGTTTGATAAATTTTTACGTTTTATTCTTAAAAGTTACTTTTAAATTAAAACTGTTTTGACAATCTCTTCTTGATCTTAACATGTGGAACGGATAATAGAAAAGTTCCTAAAAATAGTTTTTGCAAAAGCTTTTCTCGTTTCTTCATTGAAAAAAAGTCCTTATATTTTCTAGAGCTTATTATTGTGTTTATTAGAGCTTCTATTATTAAGGAAAGATAAAGCCCGAAATAAGCTGGACCAAACGTTGCCTTAAATGATAAAGCTTAGATTCAATTAGTACTGCAGTATACTTGCTCTTCATTTGCTACTCTTTATAATGTCAACAAGCTAGTTAGTGGACATGATTTAAAGCCTAACCCATATTTTGGAGCAGTTAATGGCTCTTTTACTCTTGCGGCATGCACTTTCTGTCTCAGATGGTGATTCTTCTGATGATGATCCATCCAATTTTTTCTCTGTAAGTGACTTGAGTTTCTTTTAGTAAATTTGTTAATATGTCTCATGTTGTACTCATTTTCAAATGCATTTGGAGGCAACCTAATTAGCTCACAATTCTCTTCAGCTTTTCCTGCTTCGAGCTGCTGGATTTTTATTACCTTGCTACATTATGGCCTGGGCAATCAGTATTCTGCAGCGACGACGACAAAGACAAGTCAGTTTTTCATTATAGCAATTCTTATGTTTGATCTGGTTTTACATGGTCAGTCCTTTTCAGAATAACAATGATATATATATGGTTGCATTTTGGGCTGCATACAATGTTTGTGTTCATGTGCATCTAGGAAACTGCATCACGTCAGAGGGATTTTCTTTCTATATAATTTCTGACATTTGGGTATTATATGGTGAAGCAGGAGGCTGCAGCACTAGCGGCAACCCAAGTTGCTTTTGTTCTACAATCTGGGCAGCGTAGAGGCCTACAGTTCGCAATAGCACCAGGACCACCCACGGTACACCAGGAACAAGTGTAATTTCTCTGCTTTTATGTACGAATAAATCAGTTTATTCAGAAGAAGGCTTGTTGAAATGCAGTTCATTTTAACTATTGGTTATCAAAGCTTAAGGTGTATGTACATAAATACTCGGGAGGGGTGGTAAAACGAATCCATTGGTATCCATTCAATTAATCTATCTATGAATGTAACTGAATCATTCAGCTAATGACGACGATATATGAAATAGTAAGATTTATATGGAAAATGACGATTAATGGTCTGTCTAATCGCACTCCCGTTTGGTTAGAATTCGTTGTGGAGCATATTTAGTTGGTGCTTCCGTCTAATGATTAGTGTTCGGAAAACAATGAGAGTGAAATAGTAAAAAGTAGTTGTTACTGGTTTTTATATAATTGAAGCAATTCAATCACACACTCAAAGTAGGAACGGGTGTAGTAAACAAGAATCAGGTGTGCCATATAGAGAAGCAAACTGGGATTGAGTAAGCAGGACGTTTAGAGTGAGACGCAAGCAAATTTTGCTGCTTACATATTGGATTGTGTTTGTTTCTAAGTAAGTTATCTTGTGTTTGAGCTTTTTTTGACTCAGTTTTTGTTTATTTGGTGCGTGTATATTAGATAGAGAGAGAAAGGAGAGGGAATCACTCAAAACATTAATTGAAAGGATAGAATGACGGCTAACTATGAGCTTGTTTGTAGGTGTTTCTGCTTTGGGAAACGTGTGAAAAAGGTGATTCAGTTATATTAATTCTTACAATCTTAATAAAAAAATGGACCTTTTTTTATTTTCTATTTATATAAAGCCAAGATTCATTAAGAAATTATTTTTTCTAGTCTTTAATTATAATAATAATAATAATAATAATAAGTTAAATAATTTATTAAAAATAAGCATTTATATTTTATTTTTACACATTTTTTTTATTTTTTTTCTTAATTTAAATAATTTTCCTTTTTAATTTATTAATTTTTTAATCAATTTTATTAATTTATTTTATTTTCTATTTTCTTCATCTCAATTCAAACAATATCATCTTTTATTATTTTCTCAAATCTATAAATTTGAATATAAATAAAAATCAATCTTATAAATAATGTATTCAAAAAAATTATTTAAATAAAATATTTATCAATTTATTTATACAAATAGGTCTATTTATTTTTGTTAACATATACTTTTGTTTCTCATAATTATTTTTTACTCTCCTTAATTATTTTTCCTCGTTTCTTTCTCATGTCTCTGGTTTTGTTTTTCTCTTTTTTCTCTTACTTATTTTTCTAATTAAAATTATTATACTAAAATTTAATAAAAATATATTAAAGTAAGTTTCTAAAATTAACATTGAAATTAAAAAAACTATCAACTAATTATTTAAATTATGATGATAGTAAATAATTTTATTTATTATGACAATAAATAATTTTATTTATGATAACATAAATAATTATTTAAAATTACTCATCTAAATAAAAAAAATCAAATATTTATGCATTAAATTCATTTTTTTAATAATTTAATCTAATTATAATTAGGTTGAGTTATGACGATTAGTTAGATTAGATCATTTTAAAAAATATTTATTAAAAAGTTACTTTAATATAAATATTTAATCTTTTCTTAATAATTATAAGATAATAACAATATTTGTAATACCTAAAACTTATCATGTAATATTTTTAAATATAATATATTAAATTATAATATTTTTTAATATTTAAATATTTTAATTTTTCAAAAATAATAAAAGATCAATTTTATCAAAGTAATATAATATTTTTAATTAAAAGAATAAGATGAAATGTGAGAAGAAACAAAGAGAGAAGAAACAATAAAGAAAACAAACCCTTAACAAAAAGAGACAAAAATAAATAAATAAATAAATAAATAAAGAGAAATAAAAATAAATAAGAAAAAATAAGAAAAAAAGTATTATATTAGGTCAGATAAATTTATTTCTCATCATTAAATTTATGTTGAACATTAAACCATTATAATTGGATATATAAATTTATAAAGATTTATTTAAATAATTTTTTAAAATATATTATTTATCAGATTAGTTTTCATTAAATTTATATATATATATATATATATATATATATATATATATAAGTTTTTATTAGACTATATATTTATAATTTAATAAATTTGAAATTGTATGTTGACTTATCATAAATGAAAATTTTACCTAAATATAATATTTTATTAGTAAAAATGAAAATGTAAATTTTTTTTAGAATTTCTTTTTAAAATAAATTGAAAATTTATTATTAGTATCATTATTATATATAAATGAATATAAGATTCTAAAGGTTTAAGATTTTTTTTTATAATCTAAAAGTAAAAATAGATGATTATTTTAAATTATTATATTTATAAAATATGAATAATGAGAAAGAATAGTTAGTTTTTAGAAAAATTCCATTCATATATATATATATATATATATATTAAAAGTAATAAATTAACCATTATAGTTATTTAATAATTTAAATTATAACAAGAATTAAATAATAATAAAATTTAAATTAAAAATTTATAAAGGTATATAATTTTTTTTTATATTTAATATGTTCTTTTATTATTTTTTATGTACTACTTGAAATAAACCATATTTAAATTTTAGTATATAATTTCTCGTAAATTACATAGAAGTAAAATAATACTTTAAATAAATATGTACATGTTCCTCGTGAGTTTTTCCAACCTCAATGAAGATGAGATTGTGTTCTAATAGTTTATATATCTATCTTCTCTAACCTAGCTTGTCCTTAACAAAAGGGAAATGAAGATAATCAAATTTAAATATTTGTAAATCAAATCTAATAAACTAAATTAAGTGTTTTCTTACTCAATAAGTATAACTTAAAATTAAAGTATATTTTTTTATTTTAAACAGTACTCAGGTTAAGCAATTCAAAATATTTTGTTTTCATTGAAATCTACATTGTGAATAAATATTAGAAATTATAATAGATGTACATTAATGATACTTTTAAATGGAATTTTTCTATTTTCAATTCTTAACAAGTGTTTTAAGAATATTGGTTGACATCACCTTTTCATCGTAACACTAAAAGATATTGTGTTAAAAGAAATATGTTGTTAGCACTTTTCTATAATTAAAGGTTACTTCTTTTAAACTTCAATATAAATAAAGTAACTAATTTTTATACTAATTAAAAAAAAGTAATTAATATAGTTTACTAATTAGATTTAAAAAATATTCTGTTTTAAAATATTCTTCGTTACAACTTGAGAAAAAAATAAAATAAAAAATAAAGTAACATCTCAATCAGTTGAATGATACTTTTGAAATGGTGATAATGTTAAATAAGATAAAAATATAATTAAAATTAATTTTTATTTAAATATATGCTTGATTTTTCTTCTGATTGGGAAGGGACGCATACAGATTTTATTAGTGCTTCAAATCATTTACGTCTTGTTTGGATTCTCACGTAATGAAGTGCCAATTCTGTTTATTTGTTTCATTTTCCACACCCACAAAAGAGTGATATTTAACGTATAACTTTTTTTTGTCACGACTATGCGAAAAATAGACGTTAAAGCTAATAAAAAAATTGTCATAAAACAGACTATGTTATATTTCATTTAATAATATTAATCTTTTTCTTTTATTATGATAATGATTTAGAAATATTATTAAAATAATAAATAAAACCATTATTAGTGAATAAATTAATTTAAATTTTTACTCTTTTTCACTCTCTTTTTATTTCTTTGATCCAATTTCATTCATTTTTAATCTTTTTCTCTTTTTTCTTTTCTTTTCTTTTTGTCAGCCTCTCGTTTTCTATCCTCCACCCAATCAAAATATTAATCATACAAATGGTGAAACAGAACACAAAATGGAATATTTTAATATGAATTGCACTCTTCCAGTGAATATTATGGAAATGATGAGTAGAATGGTGACGGTAATTAAACTGGACTAAGTTGTGTTTGGCACGGAAAAAATGACTGGAATTGATTAAATGGAATAAGAGGTGTGGGATAAAGTTTTTATTGAGTATGGCATTTACAGGCACGAGACAGTTCAAATTTTTTAACCAGATATTGATTGAATCGGAACTGAGAAAGAACTGACACTCTGACAAATAGGGACCACAGTGGGACAACAGGGAAGTTAATTGGCGTCTGAGAATTTTGTTTTTATCTCTTTTGAACAAAGCAGATAAGCATATATTCTAACACACCCTAGTTATGATTATAACCGAAGATGGCCAACGATTTAAAATCAAAGGCATAGCAAAGAAGCATCTCACTTTAGCTTATGTTTAGGTGACATTCTCTTTGTAGTCTCAACTTTTTTTCCTTTCTTTTCTAAAGAATTTATAGCAGCCAACCAGTCTTATCACCAACTTTGATTGCTCCTGCATATAAAATATGTTCCAAACTTGCAATTCATTCATTCTTCATATTAAAAATTCCCTCATAATCTTTGTACTACTTTTTTTCTTCTCTACCTTGTTTTTTCTGCGTTTAAGAACAACAAGATTTGATTACTCAATTTGACAAGATCATAGGTTCATCAATGCTTACGTTTCAAGCTGTTTAATATGAAGACGTTGTCAAGTTAATCAGAGACTAATATAAAGCAAATAACTAAGAACCAAAATAAAACTATTCAACGATGGGGGATGCTATCTGTAACAATTACAACTCGGTTTTTGCTTTTATCTTCTTTAAGTTGCTTTGCCATTCTTCTTTTGGTGTCTTTTGTGGTTTTGTGGTGGCCTTATTCAGTGTGTGCTCATTGGTCCGTGACCGTCATGCTGAGCCTTATGGGGCACACTTTGGTTCAAAACAAATTTACAAAGAGCCTGCACCTTTAAGACCAGTCTTCAGAATCTAGGAAAGACTAAATGTGTAACATTTTCATCTTTGTTTTGTGTTGCATTCTGTAAAAATTTTAAGCATAGAAACTGGTTGCCACACATTTTTTAACGGAAAACAGGTGTACCTAACAAGTTACCCTTAGCATTGTACGTACCGTACCACACATCCTTTGTTTTAATAGGACCCCACATATCTGAACAAAGAAAATAATGAGTGGACATTATCAATGCTAGATGACACCAAGAAAATAGAGAGAAAAGAAAAAAAAGGATAAATTTCATTGGTGATATATTTTGATTAAAAAATGAATTGTTAAGTGTTAATGGTCACTATAGTTATCAAATGTTGTTGTCTGAAGAGTAAAAAGTAATTGATCATTTACATATCATTACTCTCTAGGCAATAACATTCGAGCATATGATATCAGTATGTTGATATCCATATAATATGTGCATTGACGTACGTCTAAAGCATTTTGGCATACCCTAGGGATCAACGAAGGTAGTGCTGGTGATGTTCTTAATGAAAAGATCAATAAACAAGCCTTTTTTGGGACACAAGAAGAGTGCAATTATTTTCATAATCTTTCTAATGAAATAGTTTGCCCGCCAAAGAGAAAGTAAGCCATTTGGTTTGGAGCCCTTACAAACTAACCATGTAAGAATAGCAAAAGTTACCGCACATACAAAAAAAATAATCTAAAATGCTATATTCTATTTGAAGATAAGAAGCTTGTGTTTCTCTCAATTTGATGGTAATGTATCATGAAAAGCTCTTGTCTAACACAACCAGAGGCCTGTGGCGTATCAGTCTACTAAATAACCAGAAGAGAATAAAAAGCATATTCTTATAAGGAAGGAGATGTGATTTGAAATGAGGTGACACTCTCAAAAGGCAGTTTCAAACCATGGGAGGAAAAATGAAAAATAGAAAGCAACGGGTCATTTTTACTCTCACTTTAATAGTAAGAAAAGAAATAAAAATCTACGAAAGAGGAGATAAATTTCCATGCGCTGGTTGTTTCATTTGGACCATGACCAGTCACCCTTCTTCATATTAAAGAATAATAAACCAAGGAATTTATGCTTTCGACAGTTCCTAGTTGCATGTGATATTTTATGTTAAATAAAGTAAAATTAGAGAGAGAAGAGAGAGGGCAAGAAATTTTGAAGGGACAAATAAAGTTTGGCAACCCATCTAATCTAAAAGTAGGACAAAGCATAAAGGTAACATTCAGCCCAAGAAATCTAGTGGTGTTGTTTTTGTTACCTTGGGAAGTGAGCTTGGAATTCTAAAGTTATTTGGAGATCTTAGAGAAGTTAGAAAAGTACATAAAGCAAGAGTTTGTTTCTTTTGGGGACTGTTCTATTCCCCTATCTCTTCTTTACATAGCCTGCTTGCCGCTGTTGCAATCTCCTGCTTCACCCTGGCCCATCGTCACTGCTATGGTCTTGCCTATTAAAGCAAATAATATTTAACATGGCCCTTTCTTAATAACAAAGGAATTGTAATTTACCATTAACCCCATCATATAATATAAGACCAGAGTTTTTATACGCTGAAAACCTGCACCTTCTGCAAATTGCAACTTGTTGTGGAATAATATGTAATATTCAAGTATAAAATTAATATAATTATAATTTAAACATAAAGCAAAAATCCTAAATCAGAATAAAGACATTAACATAAGTTGGTTCCGTTGTTAATCATTGAAGTACTCCATTAGTATTGATACACAAATTTAAAAGATAGTTGCAACATATAGGCAAAAAGTATGCAAAAGAATTCAATAGATACATATGAGATACCAGAATGATAAATATTTTGAATTATCCAAGTAAGCCAATACCAAGGCTAACCACTGGAGAATGTAAGACCTATTTATCCATATACAAGTATAGCAGTATGATGTGGCAAGATGGACAGAGTCCAGGCAACGGTGTTTGGCTTCTTTTGGCTAAAAATGCAGGCATATGATAGACATGTAGGGAAAGAAATGCAAAAAGAAATATACTTGGCCTCTCAAGGACATTGTCCCAACCCCCTTTATTCATTCTTGTCAGATTCTTCAATAACAGCCTTAATTAGCTAAGATTTGAGGCTTGTGATTCGAGATGAATCTAAAATTCCTGTAGGCCATCTCTGCTTTAATCTTTAAAGCCCCCTTCAAATCTAGTAGGACATATATAACAAGGTTATGTCTACAGGAATGGACCATAAGAACACAGACTAGGAGAGAGCTGCTTATCTCCTGTCCCTCTAAACAGAAAGAACACACCATCTATTCTTCTCGTTTCAGGGTGAAGAGAATATGGTGTTTCATCCTTATAGAAAAATCATTCTTCTTTTGTTTGTGGGGTTCTTAATATCAATTCAACCAGAAAATGTGTTAGGCCTGAGAAGTTCAGACATTGCACTAAGACACAGCCAAAAAGACCAAAGGATATTGTTGCAGAATCAACATACTGTGAAGACCACAGAGGAATTATTAAACACAGAGAAGAATTCAGCCAATTTCAACCATGATTTTGATCCAAATCAGTCAAGCAAAAGAAGAGTGCCAAGAGGATCAGATCCTATCCACAACAGGACTTAACACATTCATCTTCCTTTGATCATGAAAGAAAGCAACACTAAGATGACATCTAAGAGAGCAACAACACTTTGGACGCTTGAAAATGAAGAGCAGGTTAGAATATATAGTCGAACTGTACCTGCATTCTCAAAAGATCTTCACAACAGTTGTTTGGTTTTCTTCTTCTTTTCAATCTAGTTTTAAGAGTTTTGTCAAAGAGAGGTATGTATTTTGTACAGTCAAGCTACTGCATAATTTTTATAGATAGCAACTCAATGAAGCATCATCATCTAAAAAGTCAGTATAGATGATAATCCCAGCTCCTCCAACCGAAAAATGTTTTCCTTTAGTTTAGTTCAGTGAAAGGAAATACCCCATATGCACTAGTATTACAGTTTCAGCAAGATTATAGTGAAATTCTTTTGTAATTCTGTCGTCTTTCAGAAGTATTTCAAATCTAATGATCTTTCGTATCTTCAGTTTTTTTATCCAACCGACAAGTCTTTTCCCTGTATTGCTCATCATTTCATGTAGAGAAGTAAACGGATGGAATTTGTCCCAGTGTCTCGCATTTATTTTGCCTGTTTCTTGCTATTGTGAGGTGCATGTGTTTTCCGAACAAGAATATGGTTTGCTCAGGAAAATTGAAAGAAGAATGCTGGTAAAATTATCAAACAACAAAATAAGTCATGTATATAAAAATAAGATGATAGACTCGTCAGCGCCAGAGGACAAGTAGCTTGCCAAAGCAAGATGTTGTTACTAGTTTAAGTGTTAACCCATCAAGGCATCATTTTTTTTTTCAAAAATATAAATAGTTTCATTTTAGTAATACCTCATTTGTTTTTAAAATCAAAATGGAATACTAAAATATCATTCAGCATGTCATTCCTCTTGTGGATCATCAAAGTCACTACAAGTACAAGCTCTAATAGTAGTATACACAACGTGCAAACTTAAGAAAATGATGTCTCAACATTCGTTGAATGTACGATGTGGGGAAGAGTGGAACAGGAAAATGAAAGTTAATCTCCTTTTCATAATTAACATACACTAAGATTCTTGATAAATGTTCCTCGGATGTGACAGATTGTAATGAATAATGCAGATGTGAATAGTATCAGTTTCGAAAGCATAACATTGGGATTGAAGCATGGGCAGCCTATATCAGACAAGGGTTAGGAAGCATGATGGAACTAAAAGTTCTATATCAGTACTATTTATCACCTATTCATGCTAAAGCAGAATCTATTTATTCATTTTATTTCTTCCAAATCTTTCTGGTTCCTGCTTCCATATAGAGGCTAGAGTGAAGAACTATCCATACTGTATGATCCAAAGCAACAAAATCCATCTGATACCTATTTGCTTGTACACAGATTTCTCTGGTTGCACCCATGCATCATGATCTTTTCTTTCTCCCAGTTGTTCGTGGGTCCATTATAACTGTTTAAATTCATTTAAAAGTTTGATGGCTACAATAATAATCTTATCGAAATAGTTGTTGGAACCACAAGCAGAGCAGAGGTGGCAACATCAAAGTTTGACAAGGAAAATGTTCTTAGTAAACTCAGACAAAGCAACGTGTTCACTGTGTAGCAGTTTCTGATTGTGATGGTAAACTTGTAAGCTCTGGCTAGAGAAATTAGAATGTAGATAACTGTCTTTTTAATGAGCAACCTGTATGCGTAATAAAATTATTTCATATCCCCAAATTGCTGAAGTTAAAAAAATGTTCTATTATTCAAAAAGTAGCAACGTATATTTTCCATAATTGCATATAATACCCCATCAACAACTGATCTACAAAGAATCTATCAGTTCATAACAGAAATTAACAATAACAAGCAGAAAATTATCCTTCAAAAAAACAAATACAAATACCAGTAAGATTTTTGAAAAGTCACATTATCATAGATTTTTGAAAAATCAAAACACAATAAAAAAAAAATTACATAGAAGATTCAGCAATATTATACTGACAATAAACTAAAAATAATAAAATTAAATGGATGTAATACCCAGTTAAAAATAGCTACTTCAAAGTTCATCTTCCATCATCACCAGCTCAAAAAGTTCTGTGCTAACTTCGAACAGACCATAAGATAACAGAAACGTGCGGTTTTACTGTCCCTGAAAATCAATGGGCCAATATCAGTCCATATGACCCAACCCAATAAAACAATTGGGCTAACTATGGGCTGTCTTTATTGATATTAAACTACTCCAAACCTTGTTAGAGATTGATGTGTTAATCATAATGAAAATGTCGAATAGGACATAAAAGAAAAGAAAAAGTTTCTTTATCATAATATAATTTTCTTAATTAAAATTATCAAATTTTGTATCATTTTTTTTAATATTATACTAGTGTAAAAAATGTAAATAAAATAAGGGGAAAAACATAAAAACAATGCATAACGACATATTTACACAGTTGTCCCCCTATAATACGAGAGAGATATTCATCAATTATTTCTTTGTTAGCCTAATCATTTCGAAAGGACACAACTTATAACGTGTTGAATGTGTATACCGACTAAAATTATGGAAGAATTTAAACACGTCCTATAATTAGATTTTGAAGGACCCATTGCAATTATTTTCGGAAATTAAAACATATTTCCGTACACATGTTAGGAATATATCTAGAAATTATGAGCTTATTTAGAACTTTATTCGTAGATATCCAATGCAATTTGCAGAATATGAAACCAATGTAAATTTTTTATTTCATATAATACACCGAGTAGATAGAAATATGCACATGTGAATTAAATACACCACGTATATTTTTTAATATTAGTAAAATTTTCAATTATTTGTAAATTATCCGCCAGATAATTTTTTTATTTATTCAATGGCCAAGAACTTTCAAATATAACTAAGGATGTCAAATAAAAGTAATATTATTTTATTAATATATAATATAAATTAATTTTAAAAAATAAAATAAAATATTACTTTAAACTATTATATTACTTAAAAAAAAAGATAAAAAGGAAGAGTGACTCTTGTTTTTTAAGTGAATGATTCCCTTATAATTTATCCATCAAAAACAATATATATAAAATAAAAAGTAATTTTATTAACATAATTTAAATTTTAAAACTATATTTTATTTAAAATTAATCTTTTAATCTTTTTGTTAATTTTTTGAATAAGTTATCTTATATAAATGTATTATATATTTTAAAAAATTAATCAAGTCACAATTAGTTTACCGAGCATGGACCTAATGTGAATAGAATTAAATTGATAAAAATATGATTCATTTTAAATATATATCAAATTAAATTATAATACCTGATAATTTTAAAAAATCTACACTTATGTGAATATCTTGGAAACCAAACAAAATAAAAAATAAAAACATCTTAATTACAACAGTTAAAAGAAAAAACTTACTTTGCAAAATTAATTTCATTCAACCTTAAATTTACAAATTTTAGTCCAACACGGTCATAATTGTAAGAAACCACGTATGTGGTTTCCGTTACCATTTGTGTCCCAAAAAAAGAAATGTAATAATAGGCAAACAATTATAGGTTGTTTCTTAAGGACAAAGTTTCAGGAGAAAAGAAACGTGAATGTTCGTCCTCATGCTGAGGATTCTGGTTTTGATTCCCATTTTTAGGGTTCATAGGGAAACAACTACACTGGCAGTGGTACGAGTTAAAGGTGTGTTTTGTTGAGAAGGAAATTCATTTGGTCAAATTATCCGTGCCTACGCTAAGCTACATTGTGTCACTCACTACGCGCATGCTTTGCTTTGATCATGACAGACCTGTCAGAGGACCGCTTCATTTAATTGAGGCTGGTTTTGACTCTTTCACCCAACCCTAATTACAAAAAGCCAAATTTCCTGGCTCAAGTGCTCTCTCTATTCCTCCCATTTCATTGGTGATTTAAAAGTTTGTGTCATTTATCTATACACTTCTCTTCTATAAATCCAGCAAATTAAGCACGCCTTAATCTTAACATGTCTTGTCAATGCTATGAAAGAATCGTTAACCCTTTGAATTCTAGTGTAGCATGCATGATTTGACCGAGGATTAGTTCCATGAGAGAGATAGAGAAGATTATGGTTAGCATTTATCATATATCACTATGATCACTCGTCGTGCTTGATTTGATAGAGTAGTGTGCATAGCTAGACTGAAGATCGATCAAATCGTGCAATTGGATCCGATTTAAATCAAAGTTATGTGTATTGTCAGAATTTCTAAGGGTGAGATAATTAATTATTTGAATGATTTCGTGAATTATAGCTAATTGCACATTAATTTCCTTAGTCAAAGTTTGATTTGAATACATGAACGTTGTTATTCGGTCACTAATCTCTCACGGAAAGGAAACACGACCCTGTGATTTGAACTTCCATTCTTAATAATCACCACAAATGTAGAATGATCCCTGCATAATGCTCAAAGGTTTTAACATTCTTCGAGGGAGCGTCCACTCCTCAGAAAATTAAGGGAAAGAGAATAATAGAATTTGGGGAAAAAAGATCTTGAAAACTTTTATTCTGTTCTGTTTTGATTACATCATAACTATTAAAAGGAATTGGGTGCTAACAATCAAACAAAAATTAGGGAAATAAAACAGGAATTAAACTAATAATTTGTAGCAGAAATTTCAGGAATTAATTTGAGCATATCAGGATCTTCTAATTTTGTCCGCAGACATAATTTGAGCATATCAGGATCTTCTAATTTTGTCCGCAGACATAATCAGTCATTCACGCTGGCTTCTTTCTTGCTCGTTTCCTTACTATTGGGTCATCCTTCCTTATTGAGTCCGGGTCCACTTGGTTGGTTTGTATCATTTTCCCCTTCTGCGAACTCACCTTGTCCTCAAGGTGAAAATCGAGATAACAAGTGCGGAAATTTTCCAAGTCTTCCCGGAAGCTTCATCAACTGGACGACCCTCCCAATGCACCAAGAGTTGTTCTCGTGGTTGCCCGTGAACTAACCGAGTTCGCCAATCTAAAATTGCCCTTGGTTGATCAATAGGTTGGTTATCAAAGCTTTCCAAGGGTAAGTCACATGCGAACATCTTATCGAGTACCACGAAAAGGTTTAAGAGCCGACACATGAAAAATCGGGTGAATGCGACTACCAGGAGGAAGTTGGAGTTTGTATGCCACTGTCCCAATGCGCTCGATGATGCTATAAGGACCATAGAACCTCTTCGAGAGCTTGTGGTGTTTCAATTGACGGACTGATGTTTAGCGATACGGTTTGAGGCGTAGGAGAACCAAATCACCAACAGCGAGAGTAATGTCTCGACGATGTGCATTGGCCTTCTGACGCATTCTATTTTGAGCAGCAGTTAAATTTGTCTTCAAAGTGCGGAGTAATTCGTCACGAGAAGTTAGAGCCTCATCCAATACTTGTATAGAAGTGGATTCCCTAGTATATGCCGGAATTGGTGGGTGGTATTCGACCATAAAGAGCCTCGAAAGGGGACATTTGCAAGGCACTATGGTAGCTGGTGTTATAATGAAATTCGGCCCACGGGAGGAATGCAACCCATGAAGACGGTTTATGTTGAGTGAAGGCAAGATATTGTTCCAACCCACGGTTAACTACCTCGGTTTGACTGTCAGTTTGAGGGTGATAGGCACTGCTCATAGCAAGCTTGGTGCCACTAAGTTTAAACAGCTTGCGCCAAAAAGCGCTAATGAAGACCGGATCACGATCAGACACAATGGAACGAGGGTACCCATGGTGACGCACAACCAAAGACATAAACAACTCTGCTACTTTGGAAGCGGTAAATGACGTGGGAAGAGCACCAAAGTGAGCTGTTTTCGATAATCGATCCACAACCACAAGGATAACCGTGGATCCTTGAGAGGGAGGGATAACCACAAGGAAGACCTGTTGAGCATTTTCATTCCAAGAGAATGCATCATGCTTCAGGAGATCAGTTAAAGGAGAAGCTATACTTGCATAATGGACAATGAATTTTCTATAGTATCCGGTAAGGCCTAAGAACCCCCTAAGTTGTTTGACTGTTACTGGTATGGGCCATTTTTCCATGGCTTCAAGCTTGGCCGGATCCGCCTGTACACCCTGAGAAGAAACTATATGGCCCAAGTAGTCAATGAACTCTTGACAGAATAGACATTTGGACAGTTTCACAAAAAAACAATGAGTTTTTAAGGAAGTGAAAATCAATGCTAAATGTTGCAAGTGATCTTCAATAGAGGCACTATATATCAGTATGTCATAAAAAAAAACAATCACAAACCTTCGTAAGTATTGAGAAAACAATTGGTTCATTGCGGCTTGGAATGTTGACGGTGCATTAGTAAGTCCAAATGACATTACAAGAAATTCAAAATGGCCCTCATGTGTGTGGAACACCGTTTTATAAGTGTCACTCGGATGAACCCGAATTTGATGGTACCCTGCACGCAAGTCCAGTTTTGTAAATATTCTTGCGCCACCCAACTCATCCAAAAGTTCATCAATGGTTGGAATTGGAAATTTATCCTTAACTGTAACAGAATTTAACGATCTATAATCCACACAAAATCACCATGTACCATCTTTCTTCTTTACTAATAAGACGGGTGAAGAAAATGGACTGTGGCTAAGGACGATGATGCCTTGATCAAGCATTTCTCGGATCAACTTCTCCATTTCAGATTTTTGAAATTGAGGATATCGATAGGGCCTCACATTGATTGGCTTGGATCCTTCAACAAGATGGATGTGATGGTCAACCGTTCTGTGAGGAGGCAATTCTGTGGGTGTAGAAAAAATGGACTTAAAACGTTGTAATAGATCAGTAACTGGGCTGGGTAGGTTGGATGGAAAATTGCTGGATGGTTCTGGGAGAGAATCAACATCTTGAAGGGACGTCGTGATGGTAAAAACACTGACCACATTATTGGTGTGAACCAATGCTTGAAGCTGATGCAGTGACACTGATTGTGAGCCTAGAGAGGCATCACCTACTAAAGTAACTTGGGTCCCTTGCCACATGAACTCCATAGTGAGAGCCGAATAATCATGAGCAACTTTGCCCAAAGATTGCAACCAAGGAAAGCCCAACACAACATCGGGACTTTCAATGTTCAGGATAAACAAATCCACCTCAAATTTAATGTCCTGTAAGATAAGAGGGACATTATGGCAGCAAAATTGACAAACCAAGAAGGTTCCACAACCAGTTATGACCTTGAAACGATGGCATGGTTTGATAGGTAACCCCAATCGTTCCACTAACGCGGGCTTGATAAAGTTGTGAGTGCTCCCGCTGTCAATGAGGATGGTGAATTTTGTTTGGTTATAAAGGCCGGAAACACGCAAGGAGTGAAGGCTGGATATGTCACCCGAGACATCATCTATTGAGTTATCCTCGGATTCCGGTGGGGGTTCCTCTTCATCCGCTCCCATGAGGATAAGCACGCGGTTTTGGCATCGGTGAGATGGGTTCCATTTCTCATCACATTTAAAACAAAGACCTTTTGAACGACGGTCTCGGAGTTCGGCAGAGGGCATGTTCCGCACGACAGGGTTTGAGTGTGGTGTGGGTAAGAGTGGTGGTAACGATGTTGCAGTATTGTTTGATGGGTTATTTGGATTTGAATTGGATCGGTTTGTTTGATTGTGGTTAGGTTAGGTAAGTGAGCCTGTGGAGTGTTGTGGGCCGCGAGACCACAATTTGCCTATGGTTGGTGTGTCATCAAAATGGGTCTCATATGCTCTGGCCATGGCGAAGGTTTCCATTAACGTAGCAGGTCGGTGAAATTGCAATTCACGTCTCAAATGCTTTTTCAGTCCCGTAATGAAAAAACTGATCAGTAGTGATTCGGAGATACCATTGACCTTGTTCATCAATTCTTCAAACTGGGCTTGAAAATCAGCTACAGAGCCGGTTTGAGTTAATTTGGAGAGTTCACCTTCAATGTCTTCGTACTGAGTTGGACCGAAGCGGTGGCGAACAGTGGTGAGAAAAATTGGCCATGATAGTAACAAATTGTTACGTGTTGCCCATTGGAACCAGCAAGCAGCGCATCCGTCAAGATGAAAGGCTACGATCTGAAGTCGGGACTCTTCCGGAGTTTCGTGGAAGTTGAAGAAAGCTTCAATTTGGAAAATCCAATCCAAGAGATTGGAACCATCAAAACGTGGTACGTTTAATTTGAGCGCACGTGACGTCTGCCCGACAAATGCATTCTGTGGTTGTTTTTTGCCTTCGACGTGTAAGTTTGCGACCTTCAAATCAACTTCTACCAGGTGTTGGTGGAGTGTGGAATGAACTGACTCGGTACGGAACTCGAGTAATTCGCGAAACTTTACCATCTGTGCATCGATATTGGATTGAAGGGCGCTCATAAGCTCAGTTGTGTCCATGATGAAAGCACCAATGATACACTCTGCTGCAGAATGCTCAAAGGTTTTAACACTCTTCGAGTGAGTGTCCACTCCTCAGAAAATTAAGGGAAAGAGAATAATAGAATTTGAGGAAAAATGATCTTGAAAACTTTTATTCTGTTCTGTTTTGATTACATCATAGTTATTAAAAGGAATTGGATGCTAACAATCAAGCAAAAATTAGGGAAATAAAACAGGAATTAAACTAATAATTTGCAGCAGAAATTTTAGGAATTAATTTGAGCATATTAGGATCTTCTAATTTTGTCCGCAGACATAATTTGAGCATAACAGGATCTTCTAATTTTATCCACAGACATAATCAGTCATCTACGCTGGCTTCTTTCTTGTTCGTTTTCTTACTATTGGGTCATTCTTTCTTATTGGATCTAGGTCCACTGGTTGGTTTGTATCATAGAACCACATTAAAGAACCCAAGACTTGACTTTTGATTTTCTCACCATAAATAGGTTAGCGATAGAGAGCTTTCAGGTCGTGTAAAAGAATCCAAAATATTCTTAGTTCAGCGTTTAAAATAATTTTATTGTACGAAAGTTATTATAATCCTAATACATCTTTTTTAACACCTTAATCTGAGATTGCTGTACAAAACATTTTAATCTGAATTCGATAGATAAAATAATTATATATAGATATATAATTACTATTTCATTTAATTTGATTGTCCAAAATTTATATTGATTTCAGCTATCGATTATATATTTTGTTGGGGGTGGACCGTATCCAATTACTGAAAATGTTTTTTTAGCTATTAATTTTGACTCGTTAAATTTAATGCCACCTTTGTTTGATCGATCGCGTAATAATAATATTTGTATTAAGATTCACTAGATCTAATTTTCCATCCTTGCTTGATATTATAATAAAAACATATTAATATTATTTATTTTATATAACAATAACATATATGAGGAGTTGGATTTGATAACACTAAAATGTGAAAGCAAAACATATTTAAGTTTATTTATATAATTATATAAAAACTCTTGATACTATTTCTCTTCAATCTAGTGTTATTAATTTATTTAGATTTATGGTTAAAATTAAATTGATATTGCACTTATTTAATTTATTTTGACAATTAATTACTTTTTCAAACAAATTTTAAAAATATACACAATAATGTATGTCGTTAATATTAGTTATATCATATTTTTTGGCTAGTTAAATGTGAAATAAAATTGAATTTGACAAAAATGTTAAGTATGAGAATTTGAGAATATTTGATTGTAAGACATTTTAGCATATTCTAAAGGATGGAAGATTTGGGTTGAGTACAAATATTATTATTTTGTTTTTGTTTATAAATTTTTTATGATAATTTCATCATTATATTATTGTATGTTGACGATATTTATTGAAAATATTTTTAATTTTAAAGGATTGAATAAATAATTGAAATGAAATTCTGGTTGCCATACAAAAATATTATATATAAAAAAGTGCTGTAGAAGTATAACTAATGTTTTAGAGAGTAATTATTATTTCTCTAAACTAAATAATGATTTTTCCTACAAATACTTTTTTGTAAAATGTAATATTATTGGAGGGTACGTATATTTGTGGGTCTTGCCGTGAGAATAGAAGTATCCATGCTTTGTGGTCAATAAAAGCATAAAACTTGCAAGAATGTATCAATTTTATAATGTACAAATAACATGTTTTTTTTTTGCCAAAATAACATGACATGAAGTTAATACACGTATACATACATGTGTCTATATGCATTTATAGCAATAATATTTATAACTAATTACAAAATAATTAAAAATAAAGTCACACACGGTCATACTCTATCAGACTTTTTATTTTTCATATTTTTTATTGCTTATTTTTTTAGTATATTTGACTTCCTTTATACCAAAAAAGAAAGGCATAAACATATTATTATTTGGTCGACTGAGTTTGTAGATTGATCAAAATCAATTAGATATATAGATATATTTGTACCTCCATTACGATTGACAACAAATAGCTCAATTGTTGTGTGTCACATCTACCATTCTTATGGGTTATGGGTTGAAAATTGGTTGCCTAACTCAAAATTTGTTGGATTATATGTCTTACTATTACTTGTAAATTGTTCTCAACAATTTAAGAACATAAAAAGGGAGGGAAAACAGATAATCAGAATTTACAAGCACAAACCCTAATACACGTGTACTTAAAAAAAAAGATTCAAAACACATACTAACACACATCCACAAGATCAGAACAAAAAATAATGAAAAATACGCATTAAACAATCGCATTAGCAGAGAATATAATTAAAAAATTTAAATAATTTGATAAATCTAAATTAGAGTTAGGAGGAGCATGGAGAGAATTGAAGAAAAGGTTTTTGGGTGAAGAGAGGAACACGAAGAATGAATGAATATTTGTCGGGGGAGGATGGGGAAAGGAAGAAAACATTGCATTTGGTATTTATTTGGAGACGGATGAGGTGGCCCTCCACACCCTAAAAGCTTCCTTCCTAAGTTCACTTCCCCCACAAACCGCCACGTACCCCTTCAACACTCACACCAAACTCTGTCTCTTCAACACGGATCAAACAAATTTATTGACCCCAACTAACTCATGAAGTTTTTAAAGTAAAATGGAAACCAAACACCAAGCTTCGATTTTATTTACCACCGTACCAGATTTTTCCATCATGTCTAGATAATTTCACTTCGTCTTCGCCTTCTCATCTCGAATCATTATTAGAGATTTTTGGACCCTTTTCAATTGCTTTAGGCATCTCAATCCCCATCCCCACAACATTTAAACCTCAGATTTTGTCATCACTTCTCATTACAAACCATCATCATCACCACCACCATCATGTTCCACCTCCATCGCCACCCACCCCCTTCCAAAGTCTTGGCTTTAGATTCCTTTTCCTCTTTTTCCTTTCCCACAACACGATTCAACCCTTAAAAGAACACTTCCAACATGTCAAAACTCTAATCCCTGTTTCTCTCTCTATCTCTCTCTTTTCCCTGTTATATCAATCACTCACTCTTGCACAAACTCACATACATGGACCTAACCAACACCAACACCAACACCACAGACACAATTTCTCAAACCACCCAACACCCCACCACCACCACCAACGGTTCCCTCAAGCGACACCACCACACCACCGTTACCCCGCCGCCACAACCACCGTCCACCGTGGTTTCCTACAAGGAGTGCCTCAAAAACCATGCAGCCAGCATAGGTGGCCACGCGCTTGATGGATGCGGTGAATTCATGCCCTCCTCTTCCTCCAATCCCACAGAACCACGCTCGCTAACGTGCGCCGCGTGTGGATGCCACCGTAACTTCCACCGCCGTGACACACAACAATATCAAAATAATCATTCCAACCCCAGGCCCAATTTCATAAGCTTCTACCACTCACCGCCGCCACATCATCATGGCTCAGGCCTGTGCACCAGCCCAAGCCCAGGCCCGAGTCCAAGCTCAAGCCCGCTGTCTAGCCCCAGCCCACCGCCACTCTCCCACCATTTCCCACTTTCCTCCCACCATTTCCCAGGCCCAAGACCAGTCCACGGGCTCTTGACCACGGGAAACGAGCATCTCCTCACGAGTTTCAATTTTTCCGATAGCCCGAGTGGAAGGAAGAGGTTCAGGACCAAGTTCAGCCAAGAACAGAAGGAGAAGATGCAGAATTTCTCCGAGAAATTGGGTTGGAGAATGCAGAAAGGGGATGAAGGGTTGGTGCAAGATTTCTGCAATGAGATTGGAGTTTCAAGAGGGGTCTTCAAGGTGTGGATGCACAACAATAAGAACATATGCAGGAAGCGATCGTTGGAGCCTGGTGAAAAGATCAATGGCAATGGTTCGGATAGTCTTAATAACAATCGTTGCAACACAAACAGCACCACCGATGACACACACTGAGACTAATTAAGGTAGTTTTTTTTTTTTTTTTTTTGTCTACTTTCATGTTTCTAATTACGGATCATAGTTAATTGTCTTAATCTTGATCCTTTGAGAAACTTAGAATTCGCAATGAGGAAGTAGAAAATTCAAAATTGGATACTGTTAGTGATAGTTTTTATTTATTCATGTTTGGATAATTAGTTTTTTGGGTTATTGTTTGAGTTGAGGCTGAAGAGAGATCTAGATTTTTTTTTAGAGGCTATTGAAATGTCACATGAAAGGGTTGTTTTAGTTGATAAGAATAACCTCTGAAGTTAATGTGGTTCCATAAATGTTTCACCCTCTTCTGATATAGCTCTTATTGCTGTCACGTTTATCTCTTGATAAGGACAGGTGCAATTTAAGTAGTTTTATTTTATCTATTTAAAACTATTCATTTACTTTTGGTAAAAAGTGTGCATCTTCTTCAAATGCCCATACTTGTTTGTCCCAGACACTAGTTTCCTCAATCTTGGAATGCAATCTGGGGTTTTGTGCATAACATTGCATGAATCAAACCTCAAAAATTTAATCTTTCCCATTCCTATTAGTTTCTATCTCCTAGCTTATTATATTTGGTTGGTTCAACTTCTGATAGAGAGAAAGTGGTCCTAGCATTTTCTCTTTTGAGGTAGGGGATGATATTTATGACCCATTAAGGGCATTGAATAGGAGATAATTTAAGAGCCTAATATTACATAAATTAAAAAATTAGTAGGTACCTTGGAAAAAGTTATTTATAAACATTTAAGAGAGAAAAAAAAAATCTCCACAAACCAAAAATTACATAAATTAAAAAATAAAAATCATACTAATATAGATCATTGACAAGCTAACTCTGATTTAAAAATGGATCAAAGATTTTATATTGATTCGTACGTGATTGTGAAAATAAAGATAATATATAGTATGAGTAAAACAAAAATTTGCCTTTATAAACTAAACTGTGAAACCAAAATTAAAATTGTTTGTTTATGAATTAGGGTATAAAAAGGAAGAGAGAAGATCTATTTTGGAACTGGAACCCGCATTGAGAATGACAGTTATCTATTATCGTGTTCATCACCAATTATTTAATCAACTTTCCAAATCGGGCTTGGTTCAATGGAACCGCAACTTTTGTGTTATTTTATGAACACCTAATCATAACTCTTCTCCAAGGTACTATATTCCATTATTTAACAATTCACGAGCTAATGAACCCATTCCAAAATCAATAACACGTGTCCTTACCTTCTCCACCATGCTTTATTTTTTTTTTTAAGCATTTCTTGGGATGGGATTGATTCACATTTTAAGATTGTTGCCTAAATTGTAGAAAAAGTTTTCAATCAATGTTTAGTTGAATATTTTGAAACTTATAAGTCGTGTATGCACGATTTTAACAACTTACTTGTTCTGTTCCAAATTCCAATCTTGTGTTTTGAATTGATTTATGTATAATTGCTTACAATTTCTTTTAAGACAGATTATATGTAAATTTTCTGCACTTACATGGTCTTAGTTTACCTGTCTTTCACCTAGTTTTTGTGTGGAAGAGTATCATCTTTTATCTTTGTTCTGTTCATCGATTGGATTAGTTCGGTCTAAATAAAACCCAAAAACGAAAGGAACGGGTTTGTCTGATATTATATTAATTTGAGGAAAAAAATAAGGAATATGTATTCATATAATTTTCACCTGTCCATGTACTCTCTTTTGATCAAGTTTATATTTAACTTTAGCTATATTGAAAATGGAAGAAAATAACAAAACCCTGTCAATAGTAAAAGCAACGTCCCATTTTGTAGAAACTATGGATAGAGATATAAATGGAAAAAAGTAATTCTTTTGTTGAAAATGGGCCTATCAAAAGGACACTTCGGTCCTGCCTTCAGGACTTAATTTGATTTTATATTTTAAATGTATTATAATTTTTAATTTAGTTTAACTTAGCTCAACCGATAAATGGGTAAAGAGTTAATTTTAATCGGATTAAAAATTTAAAACATTATTAATATATTGATATAAAATTAGTTAATTAAAAAATATATTTAAATCAAAATAAAAATATATTTTTAAAATTTAAATTATATTAATTAAAGTAATTTTTATTTAAAATATGTTAATTTAATATATAAATTGCAATATAATAATTTTATTTAATTTAAAAAATATATTTTATTATTATTATTCGTTTTTTAATATTTTTTATCTAAATAATAAATGATTATTAATATATAAATCAATAAATATCTTATTAAACTAATTTATAATATATACATATTTAATAAAATAATATTAATTTTATTATTATTTTAAAAATAATTATTATTCTATAAAATTATTCCTAAATTTATGAGCTAATTTAACTTAAATTCAAAATTAAAATATATCTTATTTATTTTAGGTTATAATTTTTTTTACATAATTTATATTAAACTAATCTATTAAATTAAACCTATTATATATATATATATATATATATATATATATATATATATATATATATATATATTCTCAAACCTCAAGATTTTACAAAATAAGTATTTATTTTTTAATTAAAAGTTTTATTTTATTTATCTTAAAATAATTGATGTTATATGTGAATAATATATTTCGATAAATATACACGGAAAAATATTTAAAATAAAAAATAGTTCATTTAAAAGATTCTGACAAATTCAATCTTTCTTTTTTAAATTTGAATTTATCTTTCTTTACTGACACGTTAAATAATTCGCATTTCAATTAAAAAAATAAAAACCCAATATAATTCAATATATTATTAAATGTTTTGAATTGATTATATTTTATTTATATTTATGAATCATATGAAAAATTTATTTTATAATTTTTATCTATAAATTTCTATAATTTATTTATGAATATGAGATACAGTTATAAAAAAGTTCACAATACATATCTTTATTTGTTAAATTTTATTATAAAATATTTAATAATTTTATAATAGTTATAAAAAATAATTTTATATTACAAATCTCAAACAGTTTAGTTTGATTTGATTTTAAATTAAATTAAAATTAAACTAAAGTAAATCACATTAGATTTTTTGTATTCAATTAAAGTAACATTTTAATAAAAATCAACTCAAACTTATACACAAACACCCTATATATATATATATATAAAAGAAGAAATATAGCATAGTTATTTGCTTCCTAACAATCATTCATTAAAAGAACAAGTTAAATGCATACTCAAGATCAGCTGTGCACAGCAATAACAAGAAATCTCCAATTAGCATGTTGCCATTATCCATTACATCACCTAGATTTGCACAACAAATTAAAACTCCTTAATAAGCTATCATTATTTCTTTCTTGTTACTGTCCTATAAAATTCCAACTTAAAATTAATTATAATATGTGAAATAGTTAAAGAGATATTTAAATCATTTTATATATCATCAAATAAGTAATGACTTTCAATATACCCTTTTTAATAAAGTCTCTCATATTAGACAAAGGTATTAGGAATAATTTTTGGCTTAAGACAACAACAAAAATACTTTTGACCCACAAAAAGGGTAACTTTTGACCTAAGGCAAAAATCAGAAAAAAATTAGGTTTTGACTTTGATACCATATTAAAAAAATAGTGATCAAACATTTTTATATCAAACAATAATATCAACCTAATAAATTGTCGATTGAGGAACAAAATAGTACCAAAAGTGACAAAAAACCAAAGAATTGAAGAAATAATGCTTTGATAGCGTATCGACACTAGTACAAAATTGGTTTTTAACATCAGTTCGATGTAGATACAACCGATGTAGAAAGTTGGTGAGTTAGAGGTTGATACTCCAACCACTAGGTTATTAGGATTTGCTAATAATAACTTACAAATAAATTATATTTATATACAAATAAATGTATATTCGTGTAAATATATAAATATAAAATATATAAATACAAATAAATTTATTTTTAAAATTATTTAATTTAACAAATTTTTATAAATTAATCTAATTATGATTAAGGGTGCAATTATTCCAACTTGGGCAATAGAAGTTGATTCGCAGAGTGAGGGACGCGAGGACAGGTGAAGGGAAACGAAGGTTAAAGATTCGATTGGGGAAGGAGATTGGAGAGACGGTGGTTTTCGCGATTGCAATGGGGGCAGGGGAGTAGGCAAAGAAGGTTTTAATGAGGGAATAGTTGGAAGTGGCAGAGCTAGGTTCCGATGGTTGAGTTGAGCATGACTGGCTTGCGGTGAGCGATTGATGTGGTGCGGTGAAGGGACAAGAGAATGGATTTGGGAGGTTGGATCTTGGTAATGGCTGAAAATGAAGAGCAAGGGAAGAATGAGTGAAAATGGAGGTTCCCAGGGGGAGGCAAGCCTGTAAGGGAGACATATATAAAAAGTCTGTCTAAATTTTTTATTAATTATTATTTTTTAAATAAAAAGACTTTCTACATCGGTTCATCCGGGAACCGATGTGAAAGTACTTTCTACATCGATTCCTAACTGAATCGATGTGGAAAGTCTTAAAAAATTTTAAATTTGTCACCACGTCACTTTCTACATCGGTTCTTTAAGAACCAATGTAGAAAGTCCGATGTAAAAAGTTGATTTTGTATTAGTGCGAACATCAACGAGTGAAATCGAACAATAGAAAAACACAACAAAACACATAAACTACAATCCAATGCGAAATCAAATACCGAAGACCGGAAAGAAAAGGATAAGATGATCAACAAGACTAAAAGACTAGAAATTTTCATTACATATTCTAATATGTCAATGAGTTACAAGAATTTATAAATAAGAAAAGAAAAGAAAAACCATTAAAATGGTTAAAACAAAAATAAATTATTTTATTTTTAATAATCATGCTCATGGTTATGTTCCCATGAATTAATTTGAGCCTTCAAAATAAAACTCGGTCAAATTAACTTACTTGCTCTTGAAAATAATATTAAAATCACCAATTAAAATGATATGACCATCGATACCTAAAAAATTGTATAAAAAGCACTAGAATAAGATTATGACAAAGTTAACATATCTAAGTAAACAAAGAATGTTCTTTTGGTATAATATGATATCTCAAGTGCATCCTTGACATCAAATTAATGCCTAGTTCACTAAGAGAGAAATAACAAAAATCAAATCTTCATCCTTGGGTTTAGGAACTAGAGTGTTTTGGTTTCATGTTCGCTATGATATTATTGTTAAGATCAATTCTCATGTTTGAGGTATTGTCTGTTTTGGAACTCTAATAAGAATAAAATCGTGACGGAATATAACTTCAAAGTAGACAATATCTTGGACATGAGAATTACCGATGCTATCATAACGGATATAAGGTCGGGTCACTCTCGCTTTTGGACGAAACATTAATGCTTATCGTGGGACTGAGAGCCAAGTCTTGCTCTACTTATACCCCTTAATCCTCGATTGAAGGCTATGTTTTAGTACGTTTATGAGTCCCACATCTTTTAGGAATTAAAATTAAAGATAATTTATATATACCTTCCTCTCTTAATCCACTACGACGCCTCTTAATGACAATACATAAATTACCCTTGGTCTTGATTCCTAAATAATATGACACTCATGAACATACAAAAATAGTTATAATGTACAAAAATATAATATGGTCACATCAAAATAGAACATACCACATAAATGGAAGAGATGTTCCCCTCTAGATATCATATTTAAAACAAAAATACATATATAAAATTTATTAGAATTCTTCCCAAATTCCAAAACTTGTGTATTATTCTTTTAAAAGGTTTTATGGTTTAAGATGGGGGAATTCACTTGGGAAAAATAATACTAATCAGATATGAACTCAACTCACATAAATGATTGACACCACCTTTGACCAAAAATCTTAAGACTTTAAGTTATGAATATTTCATCCTTATATGTTGGTTAACATTCTCATTTTTACTCAATGTAGGACTTAGATTCACTCTAAAGTGTGAGTCTCTTTCATATTGGTACATCCCTTCAAGCCCTTCCTAAAGTGTGAATTCTTTTTATATTGGTACATAAAATACATATATAAAATTCATTAGAAATCTTCCCAGACTCCCAAACTTGTATTATTCTTTTAACAGGTTTTGTTGTTTAAGAGGGGGGAATTCACTTGGGAAAAATAATACTAATGAGATATGAACTCAACCCACATAAATGATTGACACTATCTTTAACCAAAAACCTTAAAACTTTATGTTATGATATTTCATGCTTATATGTTAATCAATATTCTTATTTTTACTCAATATGGAACTTAGATTCACCCTGAAGTGTAAGTCTCTTTCATATTGGTACATCCCTTCAAACCCTTCCTGAAGTGAGTTCTTTTTATACTTGTATATCCTCCTCGAGCTCACTAGTAACCCTTTCATGTATCACCATTCCTTATAATGGGACGTGTTTACCTAAGTCACTCACATCTAAAAATTATCATATTTCATAAGATTCTTTTTGTAATTTTTTTATAAAAATGTCAAGAAATAAGTTTTCTACAAATTTAAATATTTTTTTACAAGAAAAATTGCAAAAAATAACTAACATTTTAGTAGTAACGATAAAAAAATTTCGATACAATGATCACTCTTAAACAAATCATCAACTTTAATACCATAATTGAGTTTTCTAAAAGAAAATTCACTGAAGAGAAATAATATTAACGTGATATGAATTCAACCCATATAAAAAATTGACACCACTTTTAATCACAAAAATCTTAAAAATTTAGATTATAAATTTTTTTTTTATGTTTCCTAACATTCTCATTGTTATTCAATACGAAATTTATATTTACTAGACTTCCACACAATAATCACCATTTATATACTTGTTTATATAATCAACCTCAAAATTGGACCTGAATCCACCACTACAAAAAAATCGCGTATTATCAACGGATATTTATCGACGAATTTGTAACCAGTCGGAAAATAATTATTACCGACGGATATAAAATATTTGTGGAATTTGATTTTACCGATGGATATATCCGTCGGTAATTTACGAATAAATTTACCGACGGATATATCTCTCGGTAAATCAGTCAATAAATTAACAATTAATTATCGACGGATATATCCGTCGGTAAATTCATCCGTAAATTACCGATAGATATTTCAGTCGGTAAATTAACAATTAGTAAATATTCACCTAATTAAAAAATTAAATATTTTTTATTTAGTAATTTAATTTAATCATAATTAGATTAATTTATAATAATTTCTTAAATTAAATAATTTTAAAAAATAAATATTTAATTATATATAAATATATAAATATAATTTATTTGTAAATTATTATCGAAAAATTACAGTAGACTTAGTGGTTGAAGTATCGCATTCTAACTCTACAGATCTTGAGTTAGAATGGGGAAAATAATTAATAATAAAGAGAAGGGATTTCTATAAATTAAATAAGCTATATAAGTAAAATATTTAATAAATAATAAAAATATTATCTAATATTAAAATTTCTTGTAGTCCCAATAGAACCCAAATGGCACAAAATGTGAAAGCATTTTCTGACTTCCTTACTTTTACCTTTTATATATTTATTTGTTATTACTATTATATCTTAAACTTGGGTTATTTTTTTTAATATATACCAGAACCATTAATCTCTTAACGGTACTGCCGTTAATCCAGTAATTTGATTGATCAATTATCAAATTATTTTATTGGTTAAACTATTATTAAATTTAATATTATTTGAAAAATAAAGGAAAAAAAAAACATATTTAAGAAATAAAAAAAATCGAAAAATTATTTCAACCAAAATATTAATTTAAAAATTAAAATAATTTTAGTCATCCCAAAGATAGTTTCTCATGAGAAAGTAAAACTTTTAGAATATCATTTTGTTGGACATATATCATAATTTAGTGAGAGACAACTTTCAATTTCATGCACTTGGTGAGGTAGGAATACGAATTCACTCAAGCGATTATTCAAGAGGCTCTATAAAGATCAATCGTAACCCTTTACATGTTTCTAATATATCCGGTGTGCAGAAGGTAAAGTCATTTCTTGATGTTGAGTGAAATGATGGAGTCCACGTGATAGGAATATATGGAATAGGTGGAATTGGTAAAACAACCCTTGCATGTGCAGTAAGAGAAACATCATTGAAGTGGTACATCTACAGGAGACACTTCTTTCTGCACTGGGGAGAAAGACATTAGGTTGAGAAATGCAAAGAAATGAATTCCAATAATCAAAAGTATGCTCAAGGTTTTAGATTCTCTGCATGTTTACCACAATTGCTACTGCATGGACAGCTTTTGTTCACAATTTCTTGTAAGAATTGCGATGAAAGACTTGACCAGATCATGAAGAGAGGGAAGTATCAATGTGAAGTACATATTCTGATCTTCTCTGTTACTGAAATTCTACATTTGTTGTTGGTTATACATACGGCATATATATATATATATTCGTTTCCTTTACTTACACCAAGCCAATTCTCACCTTCTGTTAGTTTCTTTCTGTCTATGTTTCTCGTTTGGTAAGTTAATGCATGGAACTGGTAGTTTTAATCATTGAATTTCTCAATTTGGATGTTTTGGGTGGAATTAGCCCATTTAGCTGAAATTGCACCATGTATGTTTTTATCTCTCTTTTGAAAGTTTGGAAGTGCTAGCCTTTAAATTTGAATCCATAAAGAAACAAATTAAATGTGTAGTGATTCATTGTAACATCTTGTTATGATGTTTGTTGATTGATGCGACGAACAAGCGGTGACTAAACAGTTTATATTTAGTTGTTTTGAAGAACTTGATCTAAATAGAACTAATTGTTGCGCTCTGTGTTCTGTCTAGTAAGAAATGTATTGGTTTTTCTAACTCTCACCAGTCAGGCTCGTGATTGATTGAAAACCTGGGATTATTACACCACTTAATTAAAAACATGGGTTACTTTTGTTTCAACACACAAGTTAAACATGAAGATTCGAGCACACTATTTTGCATAACAGTCATTCAACTATGTACAAGCCCTTTACAAAGAAAACTTGAAAACAACAGTGCAACTCTAACTCCACAATTTACATGTCGGTGGGCGGTTTTAGAACACATCAACCACAAATATTCATTAACACAATATTCTATCAACAAGATATTCACCAATGAAAAACAAATAAAACATAAAATACTTCAACATTAGGACCTTCATTATGGTCCTGTGACAATTCAAAGCACTGGTCCCAAAACTGAAACCTAAAAGACCTAACCGAATCACATCTCAAGAGGTAATCCAACCATTTATTCTTCGAGATCATGGACTGGAGTTATAGATGGGTTGTTCTTTAATTGAGTCTATGTAAGTGCAGAAAAGCATTTGGTTGCAGATGAGGAATGCAGCAATTTTCTTGTTAGTAAATGTTTGTCCAGGGTTTGAATAAGTGGTCCAACTAGTTATGAAAACTCATGGACATGTTTATTGACGCATACTGTGGCCCAAGAAGATGCATACAGAAAATGGAAATATGTATTCCAATTTGATCCCTTGTGTCAATAGAAATTGGAAAGTTAAAAGATTCATCTGTTTTTTTTTTACGAAATTTGATCAGGCACTCAGTTATGACTAGGAAATTGATAGTTGGAGATCCCATGAACTAATTGCATTACATACCACTCAAGATGTTGGTGTTGTGTTAAAATATAATTTACTTAATATATAAGAACTATATCATACTAAGTTCGAATATCATAAACCATTGAGTTTGATATTGTATTTATGGAACATTTTTTTTGGTTCAATATACCTTGCTACATCGTTTCACTCGTGGTGTATCAAGGGTCCACCCTATCTTTCTATAGTCTATACCATGTGCAATCATTCCAACTCAACATCCAAGAATCCTCTCTAACTTAAACACCACTCATTTGGTTAAATAGCAAACAAGAATCCACCATACTCATGCCATACCAAATTCCTCTAATACTAACATCTCGTGATTCCCATTCATATCATGCTATAAATGCTAAGCTCGTTATTCTTGATCTTCTTGATGCCAACACATTATTGAATAGTACCCTTCCCCCTTCTCTCATTTTTTGAAGATTTCATTTAGTCTATAGATTCTTGTGCAGAACTGGTGCTGTTTGGAAGACTTTCTGTATTTCAGTCCACAAGAGCATTCATGCAAGGAATAACTTTTCCAGATATTTGCTTGAACTCGTCCTGCTAAAATCCACTGATTTTGTCAAAGGTACCCTTAATTCAAGTTTTTTATGTGCTTTAATCTTTTCTCTATATGACTAAATATTAAACTATTCACTTTCTTTTAACAAATTTAGTTGTCCTTTCTGAGGAACAAAAACTCATTATATGTGGGGAAAGAGACATCTTATTATGGAATGAGATTCAATAATCATTGTCCAATGATATCTTTTGAATAGTGTGAATATTGCAATGCTAATCAATAGTACACATTGATTGGCTTGGAGATGTGGAGCACATCGTCGGTGTGGGGACTTCCTCGTCAACCAATAATGCAGAGTCTGTTTGTTGGGGTTACATAGAGAGCCTTACTTTGAATTAAAATACAAGACTAAGATTATTCGTGTTTCAATTTTTAATTAAGTTAAGAACGTATTTTGTTTTTATTTTCCATCTGAAATCATGGAACAAGACAAATGTAACAGCTAGCAGAAAGTACATAAAACATCATAAATTCATGAAATATAAGGATATTAAGTCAAAAATAGAAGATTGTGTAAAATGGTTACAAATATGACTTTTGTTGTCATGTTCTTGAAATTACCTAACACCCATTAACGTTTAAAATAAAATTCTTCATAAATTTAAATTACTATATACAGACGTTAAAAGTAAAATTTATATAATTTTTTTTATAAATTAACTTACCTATATACCAATTCTAATTTATAAATAAATTATTTAATTTTTTTGTTCGTAATTTTCTCCTAAAGACACTTGTAGAGAAAATTATTCAAACATATTTTGAAAATAATAATAACAACAACACTACATTTGCTTAGTATACATATTTTCTTACAAAATTTTTCTAAAATTGTGATGATTATTTTTATTGTGTTTTTCTTTTTAAATTGACGTTATAAAAAAAGGAGATAAAATTCGATAATATAATAATAATTTTTAATTATTTATATATTAATTATTTTTAATTAAATAAAAGATGTAAACACATATATGTGATGGAATATATGTTTCCAATCATAATAACACTAATAATAATAATATGAAACTATCCGGGTTTGAATCAACCATTACTTTTTGTATTTGGGTCTTCCTAAACAACACTAATCTCAATAATTCTAACCTAATTAGGTTGGCCCAATATTTTACTTCAATAATTGTTCGTGACCTAATTCGCTAATTGGAAAAAGATATCTTGAGAATCTTTTCTCCACAAACAATTTTTTAATAATTCCATTTAATAATATAATATTTATTTAATTTTAATTTAGTTGAATCCTTATGATTATAATAATAATAATAAATTGTTTTGTCCGGTGAATATTTGTGTTTTTCTGGTTATCTATATATTATTTCTCCTCTCAATTCAATTTGGAGCTACTATTCTCACCTCCTTTTTATTATTTTCTTCCCTTACTTTCAATTCCCTAAATTCTAAACATTAATACACAATTAAACGTGTTCCAGTTTATCTAAGAACAATATCCAATGGAAACATATTTTTAGTGTTAATCAAACTTCTGTAAGTGAAAGGAAACATATGTATGCATGTGAGGGGCGGATCTTCTTGGGAGTTGAGGGGGTCCTAGTCCTCTCCCAAAGTTTTGTAACTCTTATGTAATTTATGATTTTGACTCCCTAAACTATGAATATTTAATATATTCACTTATATATTTACAATTTTATCCTTCCAATCCCTCTTCAGTTTTGTAACTTTCATATCAAATTTAATGATCATTTAATATATTTAAGTATATATTTACAATTTTATCTTTTTCACTTTTTTATTTTTATTTTTTTTATATATTTATTTATTATTTATTAATAATATATTATTTGACCTACATAGGGAATAATAAAGATACCGCTACTGTATGTGCTTTATTTATTTACTATAAAAGTGGTCCTAACTTTAAACGGTCATCTTTGTTTTTTTAATTAAATAATGTTTAAGATCATAACCAAATTTACTTTCATTTTAAATCGTCACTTTAATTTTTTATTTTTTTTTCTTTTTCTTTACTTATTTTTTGTGCATACTGAATGTTATAATGTTTTGTGAATTTTATAAAGTAATGGATTCTTATAATGGTAAGAACTAAACTTTTTTTCCTTCTTTATGCGTGTTACGAAGCCTCATGAATTGAATTGCTCTCCGCGTGCTTTACATGTCTACAAATTCCTCACGAGTTTGAAAACTTTTTTCTTTCCAATTTAAAGAAAAAGAAAAAGAAAAAGTCTTCTAATTGCAACTACTTTTCCTTTTTAAGGTGTGTTTCAGCCAAACCTGTGGTAATATGGAACTGCAACTAAAGATCTTCCATTGACTTTATGTCTCATGTGAGCCATGGAAACATGTTGAGATTTCTCTTTAAACCAAAAGAATAATCAATGATTTATGGACAATAACAAAGTTTAATTCATTACAAATTCAATGCTAATAAGAAAAGTCAACTTCTTAAATAGGTTTTTATTTTTTGGAACAATAAGTCTTTGTTTAAAAAACAAATTTATTTTTACTAATTGAAAAAAAAAAAATTACACAACAGGAAGTCTCATGACAGTAAGAAAAAGTAGAACAAGTGAGTAACTTGGTAGATATGGAATTTAACAAACATGTGAAACTTACAATTCAAGTTTAGAAAAAAAAAAAAAGAAAAACTTTACAATAATAATAAATTAAATGAAAAAGCTTTACTTGCTTACCATTAACTCATGTTTTTCACAAAATAAATGATTGTTAAACCACTTAAGAAGTTTGATGCACTGAAAGTGACACGCACCACCTGCCAAAAACAACACGGTCCAAAGAACGGAAGTCGGCATGCACTAATTAGCATGAATTATGCCATAAATTGACTAGAAACCCTAAATTTTTTCCAAGTGGCTTTGTTTCCATCACCACATTCACATCAAAGAAGAATCTCCATTTAAGAATCCTTCATTCGAAGTTTTCCTTCAAGATTAAAATTTGAAAAAAGAGATAGGCGTAGTTGAAGAGTATTTTGTGTGCAGGTGGAATAGGCTTTTCAGAAAGCTATTGTGTGCCATATTCCTTCGTGACGCCACAAACAACCACTTGTTAACTAGTCCACACATATATGTTATAATTACATGATATAACCAAAAAATTATGCAATTTTATAAAAGAATTGTTGATGAAGTTGATCTAACCTTTTCCTATTTAAAGACACGCTGCTAGATTCCAAATTTTCATACTGTTAGAAGTCTGGTTCGTCACTGAATCCATGATCACATGGTACAATTTGTAGTCTTCAACGTTTTACTCTTAACAACAACACATATAACTCCAAATATATTATTTGCATGCACAGTTTGGATTCAATAATCAAATCATGTTTAATCATTGAGCAAATTTAAATGTTTCACGTTTCATTATATAAACAAATGTATTAGGAGTGCACATATTGACATAAGATATTTCTTTCTTACATGTTTAATCATTCTTTTTTTTTTCTTCTAGCAGGTGGGTTTGGTTTCATGACCACAAATCAGTGGCAGTGGGATCAGATTTTGTACCTGGAATTGAGATAAATTAACAAATAAAACAAACTCTGAGTCCTCTTATCCCTGCCAACCCTAAGAGGAAAAACTTTCATTGCTGCTAACCATGCAAGACATTGACCACTGAATCCAATCACCACCCACTAATTCCAAGTTAGTGAACAAATACAGAAAAGAAAAAAATTGCCTTAAAGGAAAGCACAGTGTCCACTTCAATTCTCTCACACGTGTCAAGCAGAATAGCACGTACCACCGCAAAAACCCACATAACTGTTATGGAAACTACTTTAACTGCTACCAAACCAACACAGGTGCAATCAAAATTCTCCTTAGTTGTCTACTAAAAACTCCCATGTTATAACTTTGTCTAGTTCGTAATATTCTGACTCAAACATGACATATAGTAGTTTTATCAAAATATTGTTTCTACTGATAGATATATAGTAAAAACTCCAACGTTGCTTTCTTTCATTTCTACAGAAGAGCACAATCTTCTCCCACAATTTCGCCCTTTTGGTCCAAAAGCAAATCATCATTGTTCAGATCTCGTTCCGCCACTGATTTTGCTGCCTCCAAGTGGGAAGAGTCCACTCTCTCAACAATGAATGTTTGAAATAAAAATTTCCATGACCAAAGTCTTCTTTGCCTTCTAATTTGGTTTGGAATTTTACTGGTCATGAAAACAAGATCTTTCATTTCCCAAGGTTGATTTGGATTGGATGGGCACTAGGAGCCTCTTTATGGCTAAGACCCACATTGGTTCCATCAACCTACGAATTGTGAATGATTTTGTTTGTGTGAACATGTTGTGGGCCTTTGGTTCTCTGCGTGTGTTCCTTTGCAATTATGTGCTCCATGCTTTGGGATTTGTGCTCAGATATATCTTCAGGTTTGATTAACTTTTGTTGCCATTTTGAAGTGTTTATGCGATTAGTTAATGAGTATGAGAACTTTTCTTTTTCAACTTCAGGTTTCTTCATCTGGGAGATGAAAAAGATGAGGCTATTGTTCAGAAACAACCACACGTTGAGAGCAACCAGTTTTCTGATTCTGAGATTGATGGGTTCCGAGAGGAGCTGGCAAGTTTTCTGTTTTGGAGTGAAGATTTTCCTGAAGAGACAGAAACAGACTGCTCTACCTTTTTCATGGAGGTTGCTCCAGAAAGTGAAAGAAGAGGCGGAAAAACAGAGAACTTTGTCTTTCCCATGAAGCTTGCTCTTGAACGTGAGAAAGGGGATGGAGAAAAGAAGTGCTATATTTTGATGGACCCCCACTGTGATGTTCATGAAGATGGGGTGAAAACAGAGGTGCCCACGGAGAGCTTTGTTCCAAAGGAGATTGAGTTTAAAATTGACGAAGATGGTATGAGTAAGGGAATAGAAGAAGAAGGTTATGTATTTATGAAAAATGACTCCCTCAATTTTGCTACTCACGAAGATAGCACGGAAACAAAAAAGGAAACAGAGGGATTGATTTCCGTGGAGACTAAATCAGATGTTCATCAAGATGGTAAAAAGGTTGGTGATGATGAATCCGAGATCTCTGTTTCCAAAGAGTGTGATAACTCTGATCTCGATCAAGAAAGTATGGAGAGAGAAGGGGAAATAAAAGAACCTGCTTCTGTGGAGATTGACTCTGTTGTTCATGAAGAAGTGATGAAAATCGATGAAAATGAAACAAGGAGTGATCATTTAATGGAGAATGTCTCCAGGGAAACAGTATATGACGATGGGGAGAAAATAAAAGAAAATGAGGGCTCTGTTTCCAAGGAAGAAGAATCTAATGTTCATGGTGACGATACAGAGAAAGAAGAAAATGAAGAGGAAACAGATGGGCCTGTATCATTGGACACTAACTCTGTAACAACAACCACAAGTAAGTGCGAGTACTTATCAGGAAAAGATATAAGTGGGTTCATGGAGGAACCAACAACGTTAAGGTTCAGTTTTCGAGAATTTTACATGGGTCCAGATGTTTTAACCGTTTCTGACAATGCATATGCCAATTCCGAAGTTATTGTCGACAAGGAATTTTCAGAGTTTGGTTCTGAGAAAGACCCTGTAACTCAAGCACAATCAGAAAACTCTGTTCAAGATCAGGTTTTAACCCCTTCCACACATATTCCACTTCACTTTGAGAGTGAGATGTTTGGTGGAACCGATTCATCTGATGAAGATTATTTTCTTTACAACGAAAACTCGCTCACTTCTGATTCGGAGTCAGAGTCATCAAGCTCAAGTGGTGTAATATGGGGCAACAGCAACAAAATTGATGATTCAATAACGTACCAGTTTCTTGGTGGTAAAAATGGTGATGAAGGGTTTGAACCTGAGATTCTGAAGCTGATGATGAGAGAGGAAAGGGAAGAAGATGTAGAGGCAAAGCAATCTTCATGTGATGGGACGGTTTCAGAATTTAGTGCTCATGGCATTTATTCTGAAGATGGGTATGTGGAAATGGAACCCTGTATGAAGGGTTTGAAGCCCTTCAATACACATGATTTTGGTGGTAAAGACTCTGCCAAAGTTGTGGTTAAAGATAAAAAAGAAGAGGTATTCAGGAATGAATTGGATAAAAGTGAAGAAACTAGGTGGGAGGATGAATTGAGTGACTCAGAATCTGATGAGGTTGACTTTGAATGGGAGCATGATGATTTGGTGGAACAACTGAAATTGGAATTGAAAAATTCAAGGCAAGGAGGACTTGCCACAATTTTAGAAGAAGAGGAGGAGGTAGATGAAGAGGAAGAGGAAGTGGTGGAGGAGGAGGAGGAAAGAGTATCCCCGAGAGTGGTTGAAGATCCAGAACCAGTGGAAATTGACGAGAAGCTTGAGTACAAGGATCAAATTGATGAAATTCTAAAGGTTTACAAATGCTATGCAGAGAAGATGAAGAAACTTGATATCTTGAATTACCAGACCATGCATGCATTAGGTGAGAACTAAATTAACCTCCTCTATGTTATATTCTTGTTCTGGAACATTTCACAGTTGAACAAAATTGAATGTTTTCTGTAATGTTTTAATCATGTTTCTTAAAAATGAAAGAGCGTTCAATCTTCACAACACTGACAATCCCTTGTGCTCTTGTCTAATTTCATAATCTTTTATGATTTTAGAATTTTTTTAATGAATTTGGTCACTTTCAATCAACGGGAAGAAATTTTTAAGAATGCTCCTGGATACAATCATGACATGGTGGGGCATTTTATCTTACACCATCATATTTGCTAATTATATGCCCATAAAGCTATTCATGTTTTGTTTATTTTTCGATAATAAAGCCAAAGATAGTGACCAGTCTGCATCATAAATTTCAATTCCATTCTCTACCAATCTTTCCCCTACTTTCCATAGGTCGACTTTATACATTAAAATGAGATTGATTCTCTTTCTACTGTGTAGAGCATCCAATAAAGCTGAGGGAACCTTCAATATTACTTTTAGAGTTTTGACTATGTTTGAAACTTTTGTTTGATTAATGGTTTCTAATATTATACTCTAAGCAAAGAAAACTTGTTTATTCAGCAATGATCACGTTTGCATTATGACTAATTAGTTTTCTTTGTCGTCAATTGCAGGTCTCCTTCAACTAAAAGACCCTATCAAATTAATTTCAATACCAAAATCCACAATCCAAGGTGCAAAGCCTGTTATCTCTCAGAACTTTTGGCCACGCAAAGCATCAAAGAACTCTGACCCATTGGTGAAGTTGGTGCATGAGCTGCATAGAGATTTGGAATTGGTATATGTTGGGCAGGTTTGCCTCTCTTGGGAAATCCTGTGTTGGCAACACAAGAAAGCCCTTGAGTTACAACAGTATGATTCACAAGGGTCTCATAGTCATAGATATAATCATGTTGCTGGTGAGTTTCAACTTTTTCAAGTACTAGTTCAAAGATTCATAGAGAATGAACCATTTCAAGGTCCTAGGCTGCAGAACTATGTCAAGAACCGATGCGTAATTCGCAACTTGCTCCATGTTCCAGTCGTTAAAGGTGCACAAATGGACCATAATTCTGTTCCTTCACAAAGTGCCACCTTGAGTGAGAATCTTACTTTTTGTTGTGAATGTTTTTGCAGAAGATGGTAACGGGGATGGGCAAGAGGGTGCTGCTATTGGAAGTGGAAGGTTGGCAGAGATCATCAAGGAATCAATGTGGGTGTTCTGGGAATTTGTTCGGGCAGATAAAGATTACGTGAATGTTATCTTTAAAGCTTCTCGGCACCAAAGAATCGATCTTAATGACCCTATGATTTCTGGTCTTATGGCGGACATTAAAGCACAACTACAAAAAGTATGTTCTTTAGTGCCTAACCCTCATTTTAGTCTTTAACACTATGATTTTAGTTGCTTAGAAAACATGATCAGTGTTAGTCCTTAACCTTAATGCAAAGGAAGTGAATAAAACGACAAATGATAAGAACTAACTTTTTTCTTAAGCATACCCTATGTTTGATGTTCAATTTGGAGTGAACTCAGTTTAATAACATTTAGTTACTCTAAACGAATATGCTTATATATATTAAAATTTTGTCTGAAAAAGCTTTGTGAAAAACAAGACTTGCGTTACTTTTACAACATACTTAACTTCATCGTGATTACAACATACTTAACTTCATCGTGATTGAAGTTTGCAAACTTTAATTCACATGTTTCTACCAAAGGTAGAAGAATTCAAATGTACCTTTATCTTGGAAGCAATATTTTTTCTTCTTCATTCAGTGCATTAAATTAGCAAAATATTTTTCAATTTTTATCCATAGCCAAAGAGGCTAAACTGATGTTTTTGTGAAAGGAAGATTAAAATGTATAGAAAGGGTTCAAAATGCTCCCAGTTGCTTACAATGTTGGGTTATATGTTGCAGAAAGAGAGAAGGCTCAAGGACATAGTGAGAACCGGGAATTGCATAGTGAAGAAGTTCCAAAGGCACCATGAAGATCAATATGATCATGAGCAATTGGTCGCTCAAGTGGGATTAAGATTGATTTCAAGAATGATGAACATGTCCAGATTGAAAAAAGAACAGCTAATATGGTGTCATGAAAAGTTAAACAGAATCAAGTTTTTGAGCAGGAAGATTGTCCAGGTGGAACCTTCCTTCTTGCTTTTTCCATGTTGACTCAAATCAATTTGTTCTCAATCGTAGAGGGAGAAAAACGCTAGAGGAATAGAAATAGGGATTACCTTTTCACAGAAAATGATATCCTAGTTTACACAGAAATTGGGGACACACATCACAAAATTATCAGTGTTCATGTATATATCATAAGTTATATATAAACTTGTTGCTTATACACCATGGTAATATAATAAATGGCAAGACAAGCTTGGTTAGTTCAATATATGTCTTCTTTCAAGTCATTTTTTTATTTTTAATTTTATGTCCTAAATATGTCTTCTTTCAAGTCATTTTTTTATTTTTAATTTTATGTCCGAAATATTGCATTTAACATAAAAATATCTGTTCAAAATTCTCTCATAAATGAGAGATGCACAAGCCTATGTTTAACTATTGTTTTAGCTTGCATTTGTATGCTAGAAAAACAGATTTTTTTTTTATTTGAAAAAGTTAATGATTTATTTATAAATTAACTTGCAGTGCTTATTTGGTGGGAAACTTAATTTAAGGATGTGGTGACTAGTGCACAAATTTCAATTATCACTCGGTCTAACAAATTTAAGTATTTTATTTTTTACTTAAATAAAACCAACTTTAAAAATGGAGTAACTATAATTTGGAGAATCTTTCCTTAAAACTTATGCTACCATATTTTCGTATATTACTTGCTCATAATTATAAAATTCATCCAAAATCATCGGATTTATTCTCATCATGAACATATATAAATTATATATAAATTGCTTCATACAGACACTGCTTTAGAAATAGGAATGGATTGACTAGTTCGACCTATTAATCTAAAAATTAATTTATTATTTTTAAATAATCAATATTAATTAAATTAGAATAAAATCAGAAAAATAAAAATGAAAAAAATCGATTGAAATAAAATTAAAAGACAATCGGAATAAAAAAATTGAATTTTGGATCAAATTGATTTTAATTAAAAGAAAATATATTTTTTATTAAAAACTATAATATATTTTAATTTTTTTATTTCTTATTAGTTACATTAATTATAAATTATAAATATTTTATTATATTTTTATCTTATTTTAACTATTGTAATTTTAAATTATTTTATATTTATAATTTATGATGATCAGATAATAATTTATATTTTTTATAAAATTTATTACTATTAATAAAAATTTTTATTAAATCAAATTTAATTTAATTAAATCTTTATGTTTATTATGATTTAGAAAGAGAAATGCGTTGTTCCAACGTATCATGCATCAGAATTTAAATATAATAATATCTACATCCTAAAAAAAGTTATTTATGAATTTTATCAGGAAAATCATACAGGTTTGACAAGTATCCTTACAAAACGTGTCGCAATATATGTTTTTAGGGTACCATAGGAAGTAATTAGTCTCATCACTTAAATAAACTTATAAAAAATAATTCAATAATGTTAGTAAATCACACCTCACATAAAAAAATAATAATTTTAATTAATTTTCATGGACTTGACTTATTAAATATGAATAAAATGACGTTAATTAACAAGATTATTAGTGATATAAATGAGGTGATGGTTGATCCGTAAATTGTCTAAGTTTGTAGTATCATAGTATGGATAGTATGGATAAATATATTATAATGAAAAACAATAATATAACTCATGCTAACTCAAAGTAAATTTTTCAATCTTATATATGAGATATTAGAAAAGTAAAAAGCCTAAAATTTTATTTTTTATTCTGAAAAAAATATATATATATATATATGATATTATTAATAAATACTAATAAAGGGAATTATATTTTCCAACTGTTTTTACTTATATAGATTTTCTCAATTTTATTTTAAATGTTTGTAGTTGTTTTATTTTCATTGTGATAATCTATAAAACCTAATAATTTTTTTAATTATTTGTATAGTTTTTTTAGCAATTATATTTTAATATTTGGTAACTATTTTTTTTAACTATTATAATAAGTGAATTTTTAATTGTATTGATTATTTTTTATTATCATACAAAATGATTGCCCTTGAATTCGCATAAATATTTATAATCAATTTATAATATATTATAGATTAATTGAAATTGAATTTGTATTAATATTTTGTATTGATATGGTGAATAAATTTTAAAAATAACCCAGTGAATAAAACAAAATGGGGTTAATTTAATTCAGTGAAGCACCACGGCTCCCCTCACCCGTGTTGAAGTGTTCTATGCGAGTCCGACACCGATATCGTCACGACACGTTGAAAATGTGTGTCCAACTTTTTTTGCAGTGTCCATAAGACCAAAAATGTGTCGTGGGACTTCAAGTCTTGATGGACACAGCGTGACCCAGATTCGACACGGCTCTAACTCGGCGATGATGATAAGGTATAGTTTTTATAAAAAAAATTAAAATTTAATAAAAAAATGTAATTTTTTCCGTTTACATTCTTTTTTCTCTTGCTTTCCTTCCTTCTTATGCATGTTTCCATTTCTGCTCCAAAGGTCTTCCTTTTTCATCTAAAAATTCTTTTGTTATTCCTTTTGCCATTGTAAAGATTTTTTCTTTTCTTCTGCTTTGCTTGCTTCCACTTACTTTCTTCTGTTGCGTGTTGTTGTGTTTTCTTCTGTTGCATTGTACTCTGTTTTCTCAACTGCGTCCTGTTGTGTTTTCTTCAGTTGTATTTTGCTCTATTTACTTTTGCTGCGTCGTGCTCTATTTTCTTTAGTTGCTTCGTGATCTATTAGTCTGTTTTCTTCCGTTGTGTCCTGCTTTGTTTTCTTTCACTGTTCATTGAAGTTTTGTTGTTCATTTTGCTCTATTTTGCTCTCTGTCGTTCAGGTCTTCATTGTTGTTCATTTTGTTGTTCAGGTATTCCATTGCATCATGCTCTGTTTTATCGTCCACTGTTTTCCTTTATAATGTTTCATTTTTTTTTATTAGAATGCGATAGTTATGGAATTATGAACATAGAAAAATCATATGTTATTGGTTTCATTTTTGTAGAAATGAGTAATTCTAGTCAGCCTTTACAAGATGATGATATCAAACCCCTATGGAATTATGTTACAAAGATAAAAAGTGTTGGTGGAGGAGGTGGAAATTATGAAGTAAAATGCAATATTTGTGACCTTACTTTCAATGGATCTTATACTAGAGTGAGAGCACATTTGTTGAAGATTACAGGAAAGAGAGTTAGAGGTTGTAAAAATATAACACCCTTGAAGCTTGGTGAACTAATAAAGCTAGACAATAAAGCTACATTGAAGATAGAAATGTCTAAGGCAAAATTTGTCTATTTGCCTCTAGTTTCTAATGAATCATCTATGAACAACAATGATGGTGTTGATCTAAAAAAAATGAAAGCATTCGGACCACTAGATAAAACTTTCAATATGCAAGCTAGAGAGACATTAGACTATAAAATTGTTAGGATGTTTTACTTATCGGGATTACCATTTCATTTAGTAAGAAATCCTTATTATAGGAGAGCTTTTTCTTTTGCTGCCAATAATAATGTAAGTGGATATCAACCACCAGGTTATAATAAGTTGAGAATAAGTTTGCTTGCTAATGAAAGAAGACATGTAGAGAAACTTTTGGAGCCGATAAAAAATACATGGAATAAAAAAGGTGTTAGCATTGTTAGTGATGGGTGGAGTGATCCCCAAAGAAGACCTCTCATTAATTTCATGACTGTTATAGAGAGTGGACCTATGTTTTTGAAGGCTATAGAATGCTCTGATGAGATTAAAGACAAAGATTTTATAGCAAAACAAATGAGAGATGTAATTATGGAAGTTGGACCTTCAAATGTGGTGCAAATTGTGATTGATAATGCATCTGTATGTAAGGCCGCAAGTTTAATTATTGAAGCTGATTTTTCTTGTATTTATTGGACCCCTTGCGTTATGCACACTCTAAATCTTGTTTTGAAAAATATATTTGTAGCAAAGAATACAAAAAAAAAAATATTGCTTATCAAGAATGTTCTTGGATCACAAATATAGGAGAAGACATTATGTTCATAAATTTTTTTATCATGGGTCACTCAATGAGGTTATCTATTTTCAACTCATTAAAGTTGATTTTCGTTGCTCCAACAAGATTTGCTTCTACTGTAGTCATACTTAAGATATTTAAGCAATTGAAAAAAGGACTCCAAGAGATGGTTATTAGTGATGAATGGTCTTCTTACAAGGAAGATGATGTTGGAAAAGCTAAATTTGTGAAAGATATTGGAAAAGCTAAATTTGTGAAAGATACATTATTGGATGATGTTTGGTGGGATAAGGTTGATTATATACTTTCTTTCACTAGTCCCATTTATGATGCTCTGAGAAAAACGAATACAGAAGCTTCATCTCTCCATTTAGTATATGAAATGTGGGATTCAATGATTGAAAATGTGAGAAAAGTCATTTATTGATATGAAAGAAAGGCAGAAAGTGAATAATCAAGCTTTTATAATGTTGTGCACTCCATATTAATTGAACGTTGGATAAAGAGTAACACACCTCTCCATTGTTTAACACATTCTTTAAATCCAAGGTAATATTTTATATTCCTAAATAAGATTTTAGTTACATTTTTATAGATTATTGTAATCATAATTTTTATTTATATTGTAGATATTATAGTCATGAATGGTTAAGTGAAGATTCTAATAGAGTTTCTCCACATCAAGATATGGAACTTACTTGTGAAAGGGTGAAATGTTTTAAACGATATTTTGTTGATGTGGATGTGAGGAGACAAGTAAATGTAGAGTTTGCAAATTTTTCAGATGGAAGAGAAGGTTTTGATGACATTGATTCATTAAGTGATAGGGGTAAGATGGATGCAAAATCTTGGTGGCTTGTTCATGGTGCTCATGCTCCAATACTTCAAAAAATTGCTCTTAAACTACTTGGACAACTATGTTCTTCTCCATGTTATAAAAGAAATTGGAGCACTTACTTTTTCATTCATTCTATAAAAAGAAACAAGATGACACTATATAGAGCAGAATATCTAGTATTTATTCATAACAACCTCCGTCTTCTTTCAAGGAATTCTCCACAATATAACTAAGAGGAAACAAAAATGTGGGACACACCAGGAGATATATTTGGATCACTAGATGAGAGTAGAATGTTTGAAGTTGCTAATTTATCAGTTGATGAACCGAAACTAGAGAATGTATTTTTTTAATGATGATGTTGAACCACATATTTAAATTTTTATTCATGTCTAATATATATTAGATGTTTTAGTGTCCTATATTTTAAAGTTTTGTCGTATCTCGATGTCCGTGTCGTATCCCAATATTCGTGTTAGAGTAAGTGCTTCATTGATTTAATTTGTAAAAAATAAGATAAAAATTGAAGTTCTAATTATATGAATGTAATAATTTCTTTTAGAAACTATCATATTTATAATATATTAATATAATAATGTTTATTGAAAGATAAAATATCCCATTATATATAAATTATTATTATTACTTATAGAAATGGTTACATTTATATATATATATATATATATATATATATATATATATATATATATATATATATATATATATATGATAAACTTATCTTATTATGTTAGTATTACATTGATGATGATGATTATTATTTTCGTTTTTAGATAGGAGGGTATCATTCATCTAACGGTGAAGAATGAACATGTCATTAGAACCGTTAGATATAGGGCATCAAAACAAAAACCCACAATTCCCTTTAATAACTGCTTGCGGCGCATCTTCTCTCTTCCGAAGAATCCTAACAACACAGACGCAGAGCGTGATCGGAAGAAGAAGATGGTGCAGCGTCTCACCTATCGCAAGCGGCACAGTTATGCCACAAAGTCCAACCAGCACAGGGTTGTCAAGACTCCTGGTAATCCATGTCTTTGATTATGCTTCCGATCTAAACATTTTTATTCCTATTTCAATGCAATTCTGATGGTCTTTTATTTCTATTTTAATACGATTCCAATGGTCTGTATTCGGTGTTGTGGAAATAATGCAGGCGGGAAACTCCTTTATCAGACTACCAAGAAGAGGGCTAGCGGACCCAAGTGCCCGGTCACTGGCAAGAGTATTCAGGGGGTGCGCTTTCTGTTACACTTTTAATTCTTCTTTTTGTGCTGTGTAATTTTCAGTGTTCTATTGTAAACACTATTTTTCAGTGTTCTGTTATAGGCAAAATTTTCATACATGCGAATATTTCTTCCAATCGAGTGTGTTCCGCCATGGCTACGGAATGACAATGAAAGCATCAATGTAATGAAGTGCAAAATTAAGAAAATTTACAACACAAAATTTTCCCCACCCTTTTTCTATTCACCTGTACATTGATTCCCCACACGTAATCCTTCACGTGCTCTTCCTATTTTCCACACTATCCGCAACACCTTGCCTTGACCCATAACAGAATTCTCTGACTTTTTTTTGTGACTTCCAACTTTGTCCTTGCCTCCTTTGCTGATATGGCATTTGGTTTGTATTATGGGAACTTAGTGAGACGAAAAAACCGAATTATTGAGCATTAGTGCGTATAGGAAAAGCGTGGATCTTCTACCAGATCATATTTATATTTCTATTTTTGAGTAAATTGGCATGTGATAGCTCAGCATATTGTAATGTGATATGCATTTGATGTGGCCTTATGAGTTTATATTCTTCCCTGCTTTAAAATATGTTTACACGAGTGCTTTTTGGTTTAATTTGTTTTACCGTCCAAGCTTGTGAGCAGGGCTATGAATGTTTTAGGGTGTGTTTGAAACCTTGTACGATTGTTGTACATAGATAAGTGGGGATGAGCTAAAACAAACGTTGTAAAGAGTATCTAGTTTAAGGATAATAATTTTTTGTAGCTTGGATGATGGAATGTTGAACGATATGTGGTTCAATCTCAGCTTGGTTCATTGGCATTCAATGAATCTATGATACAAATGTTTTTGTATGATGAATGATTTTCCCGTGATTGTTCCATTTAAGTTTAACTAAGCTTCATTGAATTGGCAGATGTTTTTTGCAGTACAGGGGCATATTATGTTTTTTGTTCTGGATTAAACAGAATAACTCTTTTAACTGTGATGATTTATGCCTTACAATTGCAGATTCCACACTTGAGGCCTGCAGAATACAAGAGGTCAAGGTTATCTAGAAACCGCAGGACTGTAAACCGTGCATATGGTGGAGTTTTGTCCGGAAGTGCTGTCAGGGAGAGGTTTGTCTTACTCAAATTTTAACTGCTAGTTATATTTATAATAACTTGTATAATTTAATTGATTGGTTTTATGCTAGTTGATAACTTTACTATACTTGTTGTCTCTGATGCTATAGGATTATCCGAGCTTTCTTAGTTGAAGAGCAGAAGATCGTGAAGAAGGTCTTGAAGATCCAGAAGGCCAAGGAAAAGCAGGCCTTGAAGGGTTAAATTCGGACCACAAAATGAAACACATCTTTTTGGAGGAGAACTGTTAGGTTTGAGTGGTTATAGTAAATCACAATATTATTAGAGTTACTATGTTAGCTTTTATTATTTTGTTTGACTTGAACTCATTCTAGAGAAATTGTTAACTTTGTCGACAATGCCATTGTGATACAGTTTTGTTTGTCTCAAATTTTCTCTTGGTGGTTTATGTTATCATGTTTCCAAAATAGGACTTTGAAAATCCACTCGACTTTATGTGATGTTGGTTATTGATGAAGGTTGGTGTTGCAGTTGCATGCTGTCTTAAGGTCTGTTGAAAATACATAAAAAAAAAAACACTTTCCTTAAAATTAGTTCAATTAACTTGAAAAGCACATAGATTCTATTGGATTGTTTAGATCATGTCGATGGGGAAGGATCAATTTACTAGTTACCCAAGTTTCATCGAGGATCAATTTACAAGTAACCCAGTTTCATCAACTATTATACCTGTAATCCATATGGAAGAAGGGTAAACTACAATATCTGTAATCCGTGTTTCTTTTTTGTTTAATGATCGCTCCTTCAGGTTCACAAAATGACAATACTGAACTTTAATCATAAAGTTGCTGGCCTATCCTAGTTGCCCTTAATATTATCATCTGGCATTAGTTGTGGTTGATTTTAAGCCTTGGCCATGTGCTAAAGAATCGCTGCTGAGTAACTACTGACTAGAAGCAGGCCTGCCTTTGTGATTGGAAACTGGTACGCTTTTGGGAGCAAGGAGGAATAGCCTTATTTAGTTTGTGAAACCATACTCTACTTGTTTTTGTAGTTCATTCCGTGAAGTGGCAAGCACAGCCTGAAAAATGGATGCAGAAGCACTAAATGAGTAGCGGATTAAGGGCCTAATTTGTCTTTCTGTGCACTAACTTGAGCAATAAAAGATTTTGAGTAGTTCCGTTTGTTTTTTGGGTAATTGTCTTTGCCGTTCCCCCTCAAGGTCATTTTTTATTTGCAATATGAAACTTTTCATTTAGTACTCAATTAATCCCTCTCTTGTTAGACCAGGTCATTTTTTTAAGTGAATTGATTTTCATGAAGCCATTTTCTTGTTGTGAAAGATAATTATTTGAAAACAAAAGGCCAGCCACAGCAATTTTTTCAATGTTTTAGGTTGGAATTATTTACAATTTCGTTGTTAGAGAGGCAAGAAATTGAAGGTACGCAGAATGACTTTGGTGGCTGAACCTGTGTTTTCCCGCTGAGTGAAGAAACATTTCAAATAAATCATGACTATATATTTTTATACAAATAATCAGGTCCATCCATATGTGGAATCAAAATAAACTAAAAATAAAGCTACCCGTTATTTGTAATCCAGAATAATATCATCAGACAATGTTCCTTCATGGCATTCATCTATATGAAAAAATTATTGTTCTTCCTGGGTTACCATATTATGAGGATCTTAACGTGCTTTTCTAAGTGCAATAATTTGCACCTACAGTATAACAGTGTGATTGTGCCCTGCATTATTTTTCCATTGAAGAAATGGAGTTTTCATGAAATTTTTCCTAAGCACATCGCCATTCATGTCTTCAATTGTATCTTTTTTGTGACCAGAGGATCGGGTGGGTGCTCGGCAGATGTGATTTGGTAATTAGCAAACACTTTAATTTTAAAAATAGAAGAAGCCCAATGTTTTGTTGACCAAATCCATTGCTCAACTTTCTGCATATTTTTAGCGTGTATTCTGTTCCTTTTGCTGTAAATATAATAGCTTTTAAATACTATTTAGCTGTATACTGCATCATTATTTCTTTATTTTATTTTATTTCATTATGTTCAATTATTAGGTTTTGACATATATATATATATATATATATATATATATATATATATATATTTATATTTATTTATTTATTACAATAACTAGATGTCAACGCTTTCTTATACAAAGTTATCCCTCTTGATTATTTTAGTTCATGTTGTTGTAAACTTTGCAAATCTTTATATGGATTAAACAAGCCAGTTGATATGAAAAACTTTCTCTTTTTTATCTTATGATATCAACAAATCGAGGTGTGGATCATAGCTTTTTCACTAAAAGTCATAGAACTTATTTTAGTTTTAATTATGCATATTGATGATATAGTCTTAACTGGTGATTGTTTATGTGAAATTGATGTGGTTAAGAAAGTCCTATATTCCAATTTTCACATCAAGGATTTAAGGCCTCCTAAGTATTTATTGAATCTAGAAGTTGACGTATCTGATGCTGAAATTTCCCTGTCAACAGAAGTATTGAGGGGTAGAGTTGCTTGGCAATCCCACACCTCCAGCTTATGAGGGGTAAAACAGAAGAAGCTCAATGTTTTTTTTGCCCCAATCTATTTCTCAACCTTCAGCGTATTCTTAACATCTTTACTGTGACTACTACTAGCTCTGTATGGCAACATTATTTCTCTATTTTATTTTGTTTTCTATACTCATCCAATAGGTTCTCACTTATATATATATATATATTTTGATGGTACTGACATTATCAATGCACTGAAAAACTTTCATCATTCAATTCCTTTTTATATACTCGTCCTTTTCCCATATAGATTTTCGTTTGAAGGGCTTCTACAATTTTGTCACTTCCAAAAACAACAAAACACCAGAAATTATTTTACAATTTCAGTCAAAATATATTATATATATATCATCGTTTGGAAAGTTTCCCTAACCACATTGCCACAACAATTTTGTCCACGATCTTTCGCAGCTTGAAACATTGACCCCCGAGTGTAAATCGAATATCTTCCATGCTTGTCTTTTGTTCTTTCACATGAACTCCCATGCATTTCATATTTGCTCTACCTCCACCACTCACCAACAAAATCTCTGCATGGTTCCATCCATTCTCAATATACATCTTTTCAAATTTACCAGTGCCAATTTCAAGACGTAAATCGAACAACATTATATGATTTGCCTGAAACAAACTCGGGGACCTAACATGGACAAAATTCGGGAAACGTTGGCTGCTATTAATGATCAAGTCAAATTCATAGCGAAGAAAAACACCTGAAACTCCAACAACATAGAGAGTAATTGCAGGAAATTTGTTCCGAAACCAGAAAGACAAGGATGGTCCCTTGCTACAGTGATTGGACAAACATCGGATAGTTGATCCTGGAAAACAAAAGTATGTGCTCCTAGTCTTGTACAGTGCCTGTTACTCACACATACATAATTAAGAACTGTGAAGCAAAATAAGTTATTATTATAAGAAATTTAATTATTATCATTATTTTTATTAAGGGAAACATATAATAGACCTTATTTGGACTATATTAGTAGTGGATGTGATATTTGTAGCAAGTATAGCACATGCTACATTGTGGGGTTTGAGTCACGGACACAAAATTCATGAAACAAAAATATGTTACCTGATTCAGTAGCATTTCCTTAGACTGGGAAGTCAACGATGTACAATTCACCGCTGAAAGATATTGTATATTTGATGGTAGGCCTCTAATTTCTCTAAGTTCATTGCATTCATCCAAATAAAGTTTGGTCAAAGAGCGACATGCATTGATGCAAGCTGGAAGGGTTGTGATATTGGTATGATTAAGGAATAAACATGTCACAAGGTGCAAGCGAGGAAGAAGCGTAGCGACAAATTCATCCATCAAATACCAATTACGATCTCTTCCAACCGAACAAAGAGTGACATTCCTCACATTTGAAGATACAATTTCTTGCTCTTGACCTTGGCTCTTTATTTTTGCAAGCATCTTACAAGCGGTTGCTAAAAAAGTGTTTAGTTTTGGCAGCATAAAAATATTACTCGGTAATTCTTGCAGCCTTCTGCAATCATCCACTGACAGGATTGTGAGGCCAACAAGATTTCCAATTGAAACAGGCAATTCTCTTATGCCAGTACCACTCAAACATAGGTAGTTTATGTTTTCCATCTTCCCTAAAATTTCTGGGAAATTCTTCAGACTCAGACAGTATCCAAGGGACATGGTTTTAAGAGAAGTTAAGTTGATGCCACGAGGAAGATCCCTTAGACTGCAACAATGGGTAAGATTCACATTTTTAAGTTTGGTAAGGAATCCAACTGAATCATGGATTGAAACTAAATTCTTGCAGGAATCAAGGTGTAGTTTCTTCAAGTTCGGTGCACCAGACATGTTGGGCACATGTTTTAGTAATAGGCAACCACTTAGCTTCATTTCGGTCAAAGACTTAAATTTCTGCAAAATGCAAACAATAAATATGAGTAATTAGTAGTCAATTAAATTATGAATATTTGTCAGTGTAGTTCATTAATATTCAATACCAAAAAAAACTCTGGTGGAAATACATACCATGATGACATGATTGTCTAACATGATGGAACTCATGGGCAAGTCAAGTATGACAAGCTTCTTTGGATCAAAATTAGATGGCAACAATGGTTCAGGATATTCACGCCATTTTAGCACCCTTAAACACTTTGGGAGGTAATTTGGTCCAACAGAAAAGCGACCACTTTCTATGATCAGTATTTTGAGGTTTTCCATCTTTTTCAACGCATTTCCCTCCCATTGTACTTGTTTATCTTTGAACAGATGTAGCATGATGATCTCAATTTTATCAGACCCCTTTAAAACAAAAATAAATTTCCAAATTACAAAGTAATTTATTGAGCGACAATAGAATGATCATGCTGTTCACCATGACTTTGTCTAAAATCAAACTTAAGGGTCTAACAAGCAAACTCTTCACATACCTTGTTCTCTTTGAAAACATGAAGAATATCTTTGGCAAACCATAATCTACTACGTTGACCTGGCTTCGAAGGTGATTCCAGCCGTACAATTTCTCTACCCATATCCTCAATCAAATCATGCATTCTCACACGATGTTGATCAATTTTTATGAGAGATTTATCAATCAACACCTGGATTCCATACTCAGGGGAAGAGTCACGACCACTACACAATATGTTTATCACATCACTAAGGTAGTAGTCCTTAAAGAAGCAAGCCATGTCTAGAAAAATTTCCTTTTCAAATTCCTTTAAGCTATCATAACTTACTCTCAAGATGTCAAGGATGTTTTTATGAGGAACTTTTTCGTAAGAGTCTAATGCTGATTCCCATTGCAACTTTGTTTTGCCATACAAGTCAGAACCTATTATTTCCAAAGACAATGGAAGGCCATCAGAATAAAGTATTGCTCTCTTTGAAATGTCCAGATATGTAGGCTTAACTTGTTTTCTTTTGAAAGCATTCCAACTAAACAATTCAAAGGCGTCTTTATGATTCAATCCTTCAACTTCATATGTTGTTTCAACACCACAAACACATAGCAAATGCTTATCTCTTGTTGTTATGATAATTTTGCTGCCATAACCAAACCAATCAAGCCCACCAGCAAGTGCTTTTATTTGCTCCAATTCATCAACATCATCCAAAATCAACAGAATTTTCTTCTTAAACAGCCTCCTTTTAACAATGGGAATTCCCTTATTTACATTCCCCAACTTGATGTCTTTCTCTCCTACTAAATCAGAAAGAAGCGTCTCCTGAAGTTGAACCAACCCATGCTTCATAGAATTTTTTCTAATATCACCAAGAAAACAAAGACCCTCAAATTGGTCAGCAATTAAATTGTATACTGCACATGCAAGTGTTGTCTTCCCAATCCCACCGATTCCATAAATCCCTATCACATGAACCCCACCATTTGAATCATCATGCAGCAGTGAGTTTACTTTCTGCACTCGAGACTCTAACCCAACTGAATAATTAGCCACGTACAAAGGGATGCGGTTGAGTTTTTTAGAGACTCCTTCGGTGATCTTCCCTATAAACTCGTATTCATAACTGTTCAAAAGCAAATTTCAGCATAAAAACAAATCACTTCAATCAAAACCATGCCTAGTTTCAACTATGAAAAATTAAATAATTAGAAAATAAGTTAGTTTAAAAAGAATTATATATAGGAAGAAAGAGGAGTCCAAGACAAATGGCTATTAGGAGGAGGTCTTCCCTTTTTACATGCTAGTGTCTCTTGTAAATTTTGAACTAGATCATTTACACTACAAGAAATATTAAAATTACCGACGGTCAAAATCCGTCGGTAATAACAAAAATTCGTCGATAAATGAATATTACCGACGGAATTCCGACGGCCAAAATTTCCGTCGGTAATGATTATTTTCCGACGGCTACAATTCCATCGGTAAATATCTGTCGGTAATACGCGATTTTCTTGTAGTGTTAGAGTATAAACCTTCGTTTTTAAGTTAAAGTATTTTTGAAGTCTACTACTCCCAAATTTCAAATTTGTTATATTCTTTACATTTTTTTTCTTTCCACTTTTTTATTTATTTATTTACTATTCGAACTTTTGTATTTTTAATTTTATTATTATTATTATTATTATTATTTTAATTTTATCCCACTTTCTTTTACTCATTTGAATTTATACCAAAATGAACATTTTTGTCCTTTCTATTAATATAGTTTTATTTTATGATAATGAAAAGACATTCAAAAGCTAAAAGGTCAAAGAAAAGGAAGGATTTTTTTCTTTTCTTTTTGAAAGCCATATATAACTAAAACTTGGTAAACAAAAGAAAATTAATATTATTTTAAATTTTGAAATTAATATTTTTGTTTTTATTAATAATAATTTTTTTCTCAAATAAAAATAAATTTTAACTACTTTACCTTTGCTTAATAGTATTTTTGTTCTAAAATTTTATAACTTTAACTAATGCATGTCATTTGGTTGTATTTATTAACTGTATTTTGTAATGAAGTTAATTGATCTTGTTTTGTATGAGTTTTAGTTTTTTTTTTTTTTTTACTCCTTCTATCTATACTTTATACGAAACTTTTCAAATATTATTTGTTCATTTTTATAATATCCTTTGTAATTAAATAATGTTTTAGTTATATGTTTTAGTAAAAAAAAAAAAGTACTCTCTCCGTTATAAAATTAATTAATTCAGTTTATTTTGTTGAATTTTCAAAATAATGTTATCAATTACTTATTTTTATAGTTAATATTTTTAAAATTTCTCTTCTCATTTTTTAATAAAAAACACATATTCCATGATACTCAACAGTAAATAAAATTTAATGTTTTATAAAATAATACTATCAAAATTATTCTTTATAATAACTTTGGAAAAAGTGATAAATATTTTAAATAAATAACATAAAAGGGCCTCCTCCTTTTATTTATATTGTAAATGCCAGAACCCTAACCCAAGTATTTTAGAGTTAGAGACTAATAAGTCCAATTACTAAATTACTAAGATTTTTTTTATAATATAATTTACAAATAAATTATATTTATATACATATAAATATATATTTGTGCAAATATATAAATATAAATATATTTATATATATATATATATATATTTATATTTATATATTTTGATATATTTATATGTTAAATACGAGGTGCGCTCGAAGGTGAAAATATGTGTCGAGTGAGTTTTCAAGATTTTGATATTAAATTTGTAAGCAAGTCTCTTTATAAGAGTGTGTAATTTAATGATAGAATATAATCTTTATAATTTATTTATATATAATCTTTATAATTTATTTATATAATGATATAAAATAATTTTTTATCTTTTATCTTTTTATTTTATTTTAATTTATTCTTTTTATCTTTTTTTCTTATATTATTTAATTAAAATTATTATATTAAAATAATTTTTTCAATATTAAAAATACTTAAATATTTATTTTTAAAATTATTTAATTTAACAAATTATTATAAATTAATCTAATTATGATTAAATTAAATTATTAAATAAAAAAAGTATTTAATTTTTTTAATTTAATGTTGATTTTTAAAAATATATTTTAAATCTGTCGATAATGTTCGCGATAACTAATTGTTAATTTGCCGATCGGATATATTCGTTGATAACTAATTTTTTATTTACTAAAATTGTTAATTTATTGATCGGACATATCCATTGTTAATTAATTGTTCATTTACCGATGGATATATCCGTCAATAAGACTAAATTCCACAACTACTTTATATCGATTCGGTAGTTTTCATCGATAATCAATTATTTTCCGACGACTATATATCTCGTTTGTAAATATCTCGTCTGTAATTAATAATTTTTTTAGTGACCGTAATAATATTTTTTATACATAAAAGAAAAATAATAAAAAATTATTATCGTAAAAATTATAAATATAAAATATATTAAAGATGAATAATAATAATAATAATAATAATTAAAATAAGTTTAAAATAAAATAAAATAATTATTATTTAAAATTAAGATAATAATAAAAAATAAATATATTTTTCTATAACAAAATTATATTTAAAAAGTTTGAGTTTTAAATTTTTATTTTTATGTTTTATTAAAATTAATTTGACACAAAAATTTAACCGATTTTTGAAGTTGTGTTGATTTTGTGCTTTTTTTTTTTTTGGATTTTATGAAAGGACTGTTTTTCAACTATTTGTGAGAATAATTTGAGAAGATTGTGAAAGAGTGTTGTAAAGAAGAAGGAAGGAATGGATCTTAGAAACAATGGTGAGATACTGACCCATGTTGAAAATGCCAACCAGATAGATCTGCTGCTTTCTGCAGAGCAAGTCTCCAGCTTTTGACCTTCTCCGTCTCCAGCGTCCCACTCATTCTTCTTTCATGTTTCGCCAATGCTTCTCCGTAGCTTCCTTTCTGCTGCCGCACATCACACGGATCCACTTCATAGAAAACTGGCCAAACCAACCTCCCCTTCTCTGTCAAGCACTCCATGATCTTCACAAGTTCTTCCAGACAAAACCTCGACGATGCATACTTCTTTGAAAACACCACAATTGCAATCCTAGACTTCTCTATCGCTTCCATCAAACCTCCTGTTATCTCCTCCCCTTTCTTCAGCCCCTCATCGTCTATGAACGTGTTGATTCCTTTCGCGCACAACGCCTTGTAAAGGTTTCCGGTAAAACCCCTCCGCGTGTCCTCGCCTCGAAAACTCAGAAAAACATCGTAAGCCCATTCGTTACTACACAACGACGACCTTGTTCTTGTCATGTTCTACTAGATGGATGCAGCAATATCATGAATTAAGAATTTTCATAATATCTTTCCATTTTATAAAGGAGGTATTATGGTATTGGTTTTATTCAAAAGAACCATTTTTGAAACCATGTAAGAAGATATTTGAAGCTGATATATATCAATAATGTCAAGCTTTTGTTTCTATAAGGATTTTATACCAAACCTTTCAATAGTCTGTTGAGAGATTTTTAGTTTGGAGTAGCATATGATGGTAGGGACCTTAGAGAAGCATGTGAATGGTGATATTGTTACACGTCTTAATCACATAGCAAAGAAATTTCTTTAATCATGTCAAGCTTCTCATCTTCTTAATTAATTCATTTAACAACCTACTCAGTGTCAAGACAAGGAACAACCTCCTTTGACAATCAGCTTCCATTACACCAACATTTATTCCAAAAATTAATATTCAAAATAAATAGTATCCATTATGTTTATCATTAAATTAAAAATTATAACAATTCTGACTTCACTTATCTGATTTCTGTCAAATTCATCCACCAAAAATGTATTAAAAAAATAATAATAAAAAAAAAAACACACCTCTTCATGAAGCCTACCTTCTATTATTAAAGCAGAATATGATTTGCGTTGATCCATTCTTAAACGTCTTCTGTCGGCCCAACGGTCTCTTAATAAACTGTAGAAGATGAATTTGGGCTTAAAATTTGTTCACTTCGTTTTTCTTATACATAAAACCCTAATTGAATATTTTGTTTCACATTATTAAATGATTTGGTGAATACTCACATGATGTTGAGGTTCCAATACAATGCTTAAAAATTAATTTAAGAGTGCAAAATCGTGAAATTTCTACATTTTTTAAACCAGTTTTGAACAAAAAGAACCTTCATTCTATTGCATTGTGGAAAAATATGATATGATTTGATAGGAAAATATTTAACAAAATATTTCTCATTATTATATATTTTGATTTTGATTTTGATTTTATATTATTATATCTTTTCCTCATTATAAATATAAGACTACACACCCTCATGTTGTGGTACCATCCCTTTCAACAATACCTTTTAAATCAAATAAGTTTTATTGTTTACCTAGAGTGTGTATCTATAAAGGCCCTCTTTTTTGTCATAATTAGAGTGTAACTTCTGTTAAGTTCTTTATGTGCTTTTTTGGTATAATAAATAAGTGAAGTAGCTCAAAAGTAAATAAATAAAAATACATAACATGGATCGTACAAAATTATTATTGTTGAATATAGAAGAAATAGAGTTTGGGATTAATCTCCCTTATGTATAAATCACACATAGGATAATCTATTTATAGTAGAGAGATACAACTAAAAGAGTAACTGAAAGTAACAGAATAAACAGAGGATATTGTTTGATATTGTGGTTAACAATATCTAACAATATCTTAACAATATCAAATAATATATAAACAATATCTAACCCTCCCCCTCAAGCTGGAGCATACAAATCGTATGTGCCAAGCTTGTTACAAATATAATCAATTCTAGGACCCCGTAAAGATTTAGTAAAAATATCTGCTAAATAATCACTTGAGTTAACAAACTCAGTCTTGATGTCTCTAGACATAATCTTTTCTCGAATGAAATGACAGTCAATCTCAATGTGTTTGGTCCTCTCATGAAAGACAAGATTAGAACTAATATGAAGAGCAGTCTGATTGTGACATACAAGTGACATTTGACACTACAAAAAAAACGCTTATTATCTACGGGTAAAATCCGTAGGTAATGTCACTTCTACGGATTTCTTTCCGTAGAAAGTCCGTATGTAATTTGGTCGTAGGTAATTCCAAGATGTAGAATCTATGTTGAATCACCATTTGACAGGGCTCCTAGGGTTGGGTTCTCTTTCTTGGGCAGGACATCAAATACATGTATCTTTACCAATTAACCAACAACTTTATCCGAGTTTTGCCGCGGGAGCAACCCCATTTTTTACCTTGAATTGGTCAAAATATCATAGGGTCATAAAGGTCTATATGAGATCCTAACAACGTCATGGCATGCTCAATTATCTATTAATCTAGCTATGACAGGATTCGAACCCAATACCTCGAGTTGGAGGCCGATACTCCAACCACTAAGCTATTAGGATATTTTGATAATAATATACAAATAAATTATATATAAATATAAAAAATATATATAAATATAAAATATATAAATATAAAATATATAAATATAAAATATAAAATATATATAAATATAAAATATATAAATATAAAATATATTTATATTTTGATATATTTATATATTTATATATTTATATATTTGTATTTATATATTTATATATTTATATATTTATATATTTATATATTTATATATTTATATATTTATATATTTATATATTTATATATTTATATATTTATATATTTATATATTTATATATTTATATATTTATATATTTATATATTTATATATTTATATATTTATATATTTATATATTTATATATTTATATATTTATATATTTATATATTTATATATTTATATATTTATATATTTATATATTTATATATTTATATATTTATATATTTATATATTTATATATTTATATATTTATATATTTATATATTTATATATTTATATTTATATAATTATGTATTTATGTATTTATATATGTATTTATATATTCATGTATTTATATATTTATATATTTATCTATTTATATATTCATGTATTTATGTATTTATATATTTATGTATTTATATATTTATGTATTTATATATTTATATATTTATATATTTATATATTTATATATTTATATATTTATATATTTATATATTTTATATTTTATATTTTATATTTTATATTTTATATTTTATATTTTATATTTTATATTTTATATTTTATATTTTATATTTTATATTTTATATTTTATATTTTATATTTTATATTTTATATTTTATATTTTATATTTATATATTTTATATTTATATATTTTATATTTATATATTTTATATTTATATATTTTATATTTATATATTTATATATTTATATATTTATATATTTACACGAATAAATATAAGTATAATTTAGTTGTAAATTATTTTTAGAATATCCTAATAGTTTAGTGGTTGGAGTATTAGTTTTCAACTTTAAGGTGCTGGGTTCGATTCTTGCTAGGGACAATTCTTTTAGTTTAATATAATTTACCTATGGATACTAATTCCGTAGGTAATTACCTACGGAATTACCCACGGATTATCCGTAGGTAATGGATAATTACTCACGGATAAAATTTCGTAGGTAAAATACACTTTACCTACGGATAGTAATTACGTAGGTAATTACCTACGAAATTATCCACGGATTACATTACCTACGGATAGAATTCCGTAGGTAATGTAAAATTTATCTACGAATTTTTATCCGTAGGTAATAGCCATTTTTTTTGTAGTGTGAGTGACATCTCCAAATTGTAACTCTCTAAGCAATTGATTGAGCCAAATAAGTTCACAAGCAGTTGAGGTCATAACTCTATATTCTGCTTTTGCACTAGATCTTGTCACAACACTTTATTTCTTACTTTTCCATGAGACCAAGTTACCACCAATGGAGACACAATATCCAGATGTAGATCTTCTATCAGAAGGAGATCCTGCCCAATCAACATCTGAGTAGCAAACAACTCTTGTATGGTTATTAGAATCATATAACAATCATTTTTTACGAGATCCTTTAATATACTTTAAGATACGAATGATTGCATTCCAATGATCTTCACATGGGGAATTAAGAAATTGACTTACCACACTGACTGCAAAGGAAATGTCAGGACGTGTAACTGTAAGATAATTCAATTTTCCAACCAATCTTCTATACTGCTCAGGATCAGGTATAAGCTCCCCCTAATTTGGTAGAAGTTTAGTATTGGGATCCATGGGCGTATCAACAGACTTTGAATTCATCAACCCAGTTTCCTCCAAAATATCCATGACATACTTCCTCTGTGATATAACAATATCATCATTGGATTGTGTCACCTCAATACCCAAGAAATATCTAAGTTTGCCAAGATCTTTGGTCTGAAAATGCTGACAGAGATGTTGTTTCAACTGAGAGATGTCATAGTTGTCACTACCTGTAAGAACGATGTCATCAACATATACTATAAAGTAAACACATTCAGCACTTGAGTGTCGATAAAAGACAGAGTGATCTGCTTCACACTGAGTCATACCAAATTGTTGAACAACCTTGCTAAACTTTTCAAACCAGGCCCTAGGAGACTGTTTTAGGCCATATAGGGAATTGCGAAGACGACATACCATCCCAGAAGACTCCCCCTGAGCAACAAACCCAGGAGGTTGCTCCATATAGATTTCTTCTTGCAAATCACCATTGAGGAAAGTATTTTTAACATCTAGTTGATAAAGAGGCCATTGTTGAAGAGCGACCATGGCGATAAATAAACGAACAGAAATCATCTTTGCCACAGGAGAAAATGTATCTCCATAATCCAACCCAAAAATTTGAGTATAACCTTTGGCCACAAGACGAGCTTTGAGGCGATCAATAGTACCATCAGGTCCAACTTTGATAGCAAACACCCACCTGCAACCAACAACAGATTTCCCAGACGGTAACGAGACCAATTCCCAAGTTCCACTATTATGAAGAGCACTTAGTTCATCTAACATGGCCTGACGCCAACCAGGATGGGCTAAAGCTTCACAGACAGTTTTTGGAATGGTCACAGAAGAAAGAGAGGAAAGACATGTATAAAAAGGTAATGACAGTCGATGATAACTCAAACCAATATAATGGGGAGAGGGATTACGTGTAGAACAAATACTTTTTCTGAGGGCAATGGGAAGGTCAGACTCATGTGTCATATCTGGAGGAGACAGAGTAGTTGACACTTTAGTAGAGTCACATGGTGGTGGTTGTGATTGGTTTCGGCAACTATAAACCTGAAGAGGGAGTAAAGAAGAAGCTGACTGCGGAGTAGAAACTAATGGTGAAGAAGACACAGTT